ACGACATCATCTACCTTAAGCGAAAATGACTGCAACTCTCTACTACCAACGGAACAATGTCAGTTGAAAGAGAATCGCAAGTCAACAGGACCATCCGCTAGTGTTACCGGAAGCTCAAAGAGAGCGGTCTCTCAACCGGATTCCAATACCACACGCAAGAAGCCACATACGGGATTAGCAACGGAGGGAAAAAATCTTCGGCATGCACCTCTAGCTGAGCAAGTTCGGCCACGATGCTTTGATGATATCGTCGGTCAGAAATCCTTGATCGGGCCAAATGGTACACTCAGGCGGTTGATTGAACAAGATGAGCTTCCGAACCTGATTTTATGGGGGCCCCCAGGAAGTGGTAAAACTACAATTGCCAGGATCATCGGGCCAATGACGAGGAGAAAGGTCTACGAGATCAGTAGCTTAACTACAACAACGACAGAGTACAGAGACATCGTCACCAAGGCTACACAGGATGTGCACGATGGTCGGAATAAATCCATCATATTCTGTGATGAGATACATCGACTCACGCGTCCACAACAAGATATCTTTCTCGATGCTATGCGAAGAAATAAAACTACTCTCATCGGTGCGACGACAGAGAACCCATCATTGAACATTCACCATACTCTTGTCTATAAATGCAGGGTCTTCACTGTCGCAAAGCCAACTGCCACTGATTTGGCCGCTATCCTTGGTCGTTCATTGATATCACAAACCCACCCAAAGTCATCCCCGCTTCTGGATGATGAATTCCTTCAATACATAGCTGAATTCGCTGATGGGGACAGTAGAACCGCACTAAACGTTCTGGAGATAGCTACGGATCTCTGCAGACGGCCAAATATGACCAAGGAGAAGCTGAAGTATTCATTAACCAAGAGCTTACTCTACGACCGTTCGGGCGACCAGCACTATGACACCATTTCAGCACTTCACAAGTCAATCCGAGGCAGTGATCCCGATGCTGCGCTATATTACCTTGTACGAATGCTCCAGTCAGGCGAGAACCCTTTGTTTATCGCTCGCCGACTTATCGTGGCGACGTCGGAGGACATTGGGCTGGCAAATAATGTGTTGCAAACATATGCAACCTCAGTCTACTTGATGATTGAGAAGCTAGGGATCAATGACGCACAGTCTGCTTTGGCTCAACTGGTGATAACAATGTGTTTGTCGAAGAAGAGCACTCGATCTTATCGTGGGCTTAATAATGCCCTTGCTGCAGTGAAGGAGCCTGGGATGGGCGATCTTCCAATCCCTTTTCACATCTTGGATCGTAGACCCGAGCTTCTGAGAGAGGCTGACCGGTTCGTGACTACTGACTTCCAACAAAGTCAGAAAAGGCTGCCATCTACCCAGGGGTTTCTTCCGCATGCTCTCGAAGGTCGGAAGTTTCTGGAAGATACTGATTTTCTGTTCAAACGAGATCCAGACCTAAGTTATGGGTGACTGCCAAAGGTTGCTGCTGCTTGAATGCCTACGTTGTGTAAAGGATCAGTTGTCGGGATCCAAGCAGGAACTTCCCGAAGATTGCTGACCTTGACATTTTGTGTTTGCGATTGTCAATTCGAATTACCATTCACACCCTAGTGTAGTGAGCGCAGATAACAGTGGACTGTTCGTCCTGTGATCAGCCTTATGAGTATATATTCCGCTTGAAATGGGGTGAAAATGCATAAGCGATAAGTTATACTATTCACACCTTGCTTAAATACATAATTAGTACGGCATACTGAAGGTCCATACATCAAGAATATGACTCATGCAAACCGCATTTGGTCGGCCAGCTTCTTATCAGTGAGGTACAACCCTGCCGTATTGGTTTCAAAATTAAATCCATGGGGTTTCCTGTCCTTGCCGTAGCAGCCGATCCTCCACACCGACCGCTGGCTGCAGCGTTGATGTTCCCTTGATGACCCCGAAATTGGAACGCCACAGTTCCACACATAGAATCGGGGCTTGTTAGCTTGATTTATATTACTAATTCTCTGAGCCACGCTGTGTTGCTATGTGCGATTTCGGCCGACCGAGTGCGTTTCTGAACCGGGTCAAACCGTTTCGGTTATGCTGACGCCTTATGCCTAAGCGGCATCCTGGTGTCTGCGCTGAATAGTGCTGATGTGACCTTGGCGTTGGCAATGTCTGTGGGTTGTCATGTTCGAAAGCCGCCGCTTATCCTCATCGTCGTTTATTCGGGCTGGATGTTGAGTGCTAATTGGCGCGGTAAAGTCATGTGGCGTGCGGCTGCCGCTATCTTTGCCCATAGTTTTTCAAGGGTCTCGGGATGTCGGAAAATTTTCAATTTGTTTCCGGAAAGCATGGGACTGTTCTTGTAATTCAAAATTGAAGTGTGGGGCATCTAGAACCTCATACAAGAAGCAACAGCCAATCCTTCTGCAGCATGTGCGATAGCCAGAAGGAGGTGGAGTTACCACTGTCTCGGGCATCCCAAAGTTCTTCAACAAGTTGAAGAGCCATTAAATTTGCGGGTATGCGATTCAAAGAGTAGATGGCCCGCAGTCTGTCACGCACTTTATCGCGCAGGAGGTGATGCGACTCGGTCAATTCGGACCCGGCTGATAGAAGAGCAAGGGATTGAAAATTGAGATAGTACGAGGACGAAGGGATTAGCATCAGATGACGAACTGTTTCTTCGGCGTACCGTAGGATCAATGACTCTTGTGCTTTGGTCGAATTCGTATCCGTAGAAAGACTCCTCTGTGCATGTGCACGAGATTGATAAAGGAGAACAAGACCGTGGTTGCGGAACGCTTCATATAAGTGGACCAGGTCGGGGTTATTGGAGTTCGTCGTCCAGTTACTAAGCTCCGCCTCCAGCATATCTTCTTGGGCGAAGTTGCGTCTCTGCGGCATATCATGTACCTGCCGGCAATATCGTCCGACATTCGCTATGGTAAGTAGTAGACGGCTACATGTTCCATACATTGGGTGGTGCCAGTCACCCATCCTGCGCACCGCGAGAAATATGTTGAATGAGTTGACACCCTGTAATTCACCGGGCTTTACTAAGAACGAACTGCCCATGTCCCAGTAAAGATAGACTCCCAGGCAGAGTCGAACCACAGGGTCGTTAGTCGTCGACACAGATGTGTCTTGGAGCATACTGTTGATCAAGGCACAGGCACCGAATAAGTGCTGTTTGCCATAGTCCTTCGGGTCAGGACCAGCAACTTGCATAAGAGACAACAGCATTATGGTCAGAAAGTGCGTGTAATGAGCACGTTGGACTTGATCTATCTCTCTTCGAAGGCAAGCTATGGCTTTGCCACGTTCCTCAAGGGCCAGAATGGGGGCTTGGACCGGGAAGTACTGTTCATGGCTGGCACTGATTGACTGGATAGCATGGAGAAGTGCCGGAGATTGGGCAATGTCTTTCAATATAGGAAAAGAGAATGGATTGTTCTCAGGATCTATAACGAACGCTTGGCTGACTTTCTCCAGGTAATACTGTAGTAGACGTCGATTGACATGTGTTTTAGGCTGCAATGAGAGCCACGGTGCTTCAACTTGCCACTGTGTTGGCCGCGGTGCCGACGAACAGACAAGGCCTCGACGCTGACACCGCTTGCACGTTGGATAGGCCTCATCGCATTTGACCCGCTTTGTCTTGCATTCTCGGCAGCCCAGTTTGCTTTTGTTTCGCGCTCGGTTCGGTAAAGTCTTGTACTCCTGCTGCGTGTTCGGATTTGAAGATCCGCTGACCATCACTTGTTTGAAACGTAACCGTTGGAAGTCCATATCTGGTCAGATAGACTGTTGGCTTCCTGAGTTGTTCTACGCGTCTCGTGGTGGCATTGGAGACGAATAATCGGGTAGAATCTGAAGGATCGCCACGAGGGTTGCCGCAAGTTAACGTTAACACCACGGGATTACTAATATCGTTCCGCAAAAACAACATCAAATCGCTTCAGATTTTATGTACCATAATCCGATTTCATTCTCAAACTTCTTTTGGTATAAACGACGCGGCTGCAATCACTCCGCCCCGGCACTGACCGTGTCTATATCGCGCGCATGTCGATGAGATTGCCCTGGTGGACTACGGAGCGGCCGAAAAAGTCATCATCGCCTGAGAGAACAGCACAGAGTATCCTTACTCAGGTGCAAGCTTGTGCCAGGAGTGGGGCCTCTTCTTCTGTCTGCGGCCGGACGCAGACCAGTGATTACTTTTTCATCGCATAGTTGTATAGCATGAGATAATTTTGGTAGTGCCCTGAGTGTATACCGAGACTTTCGGTATGAGATGACTCACTCTTTGTTATACCTAATGGGGGGCGTTTGTTGTCCAATGAGAGGGGCGGAAAAATGATATCGCCATCCGTTTAGAAAATAGATGGGAAACCAATTATCAAGGTGTGAATTCAACATTTGGCCACCAAGGCGGGTAACCATGGCTGTGTCCATGGAAACAGCGAGACCTCCCCACTATGGTTTTTCCCTTTTTTGGACAGATTGCGAGGGTCCATCCCAATCATCCGATTAGCATTTTCAATTGGCGTGCTTGACTCCACCAATCTCGAGACTTGATGAGAAAAGTAAACACTGCGTAGATACTCTATGATGTCTAGAACTCTCTTTGACTCCCAGTATCCTACGATAAACCTTACATTCCGGGCCACCTAACCTAGTGAAACCTTAGATAGTAACTACGGGGTACTTGGCTTAAGTTTATTCTGTGGGGGGTCTTCATCGCCCCGCGCCAGGGGGTAGCTGCAACATAATGGTTGCCTACAAATTTTCAACGTAGAGAGTGCATATTAGCAGCCCCTTGGATCCACTTGACTTTCCTCTTCTGTCAATAATGCGAGTTTGAACGGGCACGTTAGAGAAGGTTTTGGCTAGCTTATGCCACCCCCGACGTACATGAAGTGATGATACCCTGATAGTTGAATACACCTACGAGTAGGCTTCTCACTCATCACGCGTCGCCTTTGAAATTACGAGGAAGCAGGCTTCCGCTGAATATCATCACAACTGTCAAGATGGAGGCCTTGACCTTGGGTGCGACCGACTTATCACGGTTCGACGCATTCTCCATCATCTCCGTCGGCTATAAAACAGTTAGCGACCATACAATCACCGTGGACGTGCTCTATCCCAAGATGTTGAACGAACCAGCGCAGCAGCAGTTACTCTCCGTCCCCCGACCAGTCCTACTTCGCTATCATGGTGGCGGCCTTATTGCGGGCTACAGTCTCTTCCCTCCATTTTTCAGCCCGTGGTATCTCGAACTAGCGCAGGAATACTCAGCCATCATCGTTTCTCCAAATTACCGACTGTTGCCGGAGTCTTCTGTGCCGGATGTGCTTGAGGACGTGGAAGACCACTGGCAATGGATGCATCAATCGCTTCCCACCCTACTGCAGCGAGAAACAAATGGTACCGTGAAGGCCGATCTGAGCCGGATAATGACAATTGGTGACAGTGCTGGCGGCTATCTCAGTTTGCATATGGGTTTAAGTCACCCAGACGAGATTCGAGCGGTCAATGCCGTTTATCCTATGGTCAACCCGAAAGCATCCTACTTCAACAATGGCCAGGAGCGACCTGTACTCAACCTCCCGGCTTATCCACCGGATACTCTGAGATTACACCTAGACAGTATTAGGAGACAGGAGGGAGTTACGCAAAAGCCTGTGATTGTATCCGCTGCCGCTGACGCTGATCGATTCCGCTTAATGTTTGCGGCATGCCAGCATGGTCAGATAGGCCAACTTTTCCCAGCAGCTCCCAATAGTCCCTATCTCCTTGGAAGACTCGATGCTGGGGCACAGTTTCCACGCGGTGGAGTCTTGATACTCCATGGACGGGATGACAGTGTGGCCCCTGTTGAGGAGAGCTACATGTTACAAAGAAAACTTGCCCATGTTGACCCTAGCCTCAACTTTCGACTTGTCGTGCGGGATGGAGAGCATGGATTTGACCACCTGGCCAAGCTACATGATGGTTGGCTGTGGGATGCAATTCAAGACATTGTTAGATCCTGGCTTGACTAAATATTTTCACTTTTGTCAAACGTACGATGCCTAGCAATCGCTACCGTACTTAAGGCTGTTGCTTTGCTTTTTTTTCTCTTCCCGTGGCGTGTATGTTCATCGAAAGGAAGGTTCATATTGTTTGTGGTCGTGATTATCGGCTACTGATGTGGGTAGTTGGAGCAGAGAGGGAGATGATTTCAAGTTGGATCTAACCAGTTTGGCTGCTTCACGTGAAGGAAATTCCAAGTCTTAGAGCTAGATAGGAAGTGTCGTATGCTATTTTAAAACGAATCATAGTCTGTTGAGGCGCGTGAAGTATGTTTAATGAAGGATACTGCAGAAACGAGGAGAATATTGGTTGCGCGCAGAATCCAGATATATTAGATACATTAATCAAACTTAAGTAACTTACAATCCACCTCCCTGCTTGATACAGACTGGAACACGTCCAATTTCAAGCATCACAGCTTCAAAGACGCCCAATCCCACAATTCTTAGGAACATAAGCGAGAGCATCCGTCGCAGAGCCGGCCGGTGCAATAGTCAGTCCGGCAAAATCCTTGAAAAAGCCAGTTTCAGAGCTGCCAAAAGCACCGGATTTGCTATAGCTATTGGCCTGGCAAGCGCGGCCCAAGGCGGACTTGCAAGATGCGGCGTTGGCTTCGCTGGCGCTGAAGAGTTGGTTCTCGGGCTTGGCGGGGGCAATCTCGACAACATCTTCGAAGAAGCATCCCTCGAAGAGACCGCGGCCCTTGTCACCGCCCTCGATGGCGTGTCCAGGGATGGAGGACCAGACGCTGTTGACTGCGTGGAAGAGGGTCGTGCCGGAGAGAGCGGGTCCACGGCCGGTGGTGTGGTAGACGTAGTTGTCTGTGAGTGAACACGTATGTTAGTCGAATAGATGCTTCGTTTAGGTTTTCATGGGACACGTACTCTGGAAGGTAATTTGGTCCCCAGGGCCAACTAGCTCCATTGTCCAATAGTGGTGGTCATCGCAGCCTGCGGAGTGGGTGGTTACGCCGTTAAGGAAGTTGTTGGACCAAGTCATGCGGGTGTTGGGGTGGAAGCCGGTCACGTAGTGTTGGCGTCCGGTGAGGGAGGTCTAATCCATAAGTCAACGTGAGAAACTCGATCATGACTATCAGATGATGGAGATTTCTGTCTTACCTCGCAGTGGTCGATCCAGATCAGATCAGCGCCAAAGAAAGTAAACGCGTCGCCACCCCAGACAAAACTGTAGTGAAAAACGTTAGAACACATGGTGTGTCTCCCAAAGCATTCGAGAACTCCTAGTTACTGGGATGATACATACCCAGGGTTGAGGTTCGTAATCTTAATGTTCTGCACGATGATATTGGAAACACCACCCTCAAAGTAGAGACCCTTTCCGCTGAGCACGCCCTTGTCTCCCTCACCAACAAGAGTCTTGTTGGACTTGATATGAATGCCATTCTTGGCAGCGTTATCATACGTGATGGTTACGACGGGATTTTTACCACACCATCCATTGGAGTTGATGGCCAGCTGGCAGGACTTCCCAGTACCCCAGGGTGCGCATCCATCCTCGGTCGTGGTTCCCTCGGTTCCGATGAACTCAAAGGTCTTGGTGAGTACGACGACTTGGGGTTCGTCGCTCTCGAGCAGGGAGACAAGCTCCTCGTTGGTTTTGGGGTAGCTGGGAGTTATATCGCCGCCGCCTGTCACGCCGGCTGCGAAACCCTGGGCCGCGCCTTTAACAACATTGGCGCTAGCCAAGGCGGCATTTAGGCAGAGAAGTTGGAGGAAGGGGACCTTCATAATGGATAGGGTTTTGGAAAAAGTATAGATTGGGTTGACAGATGTACCGTCCAGAGCTCCAACCCTTTATCTTTATATGTATTCAAGTTCACCTAGTGACATATAGAAGCGAAGGATTGAATTTTGCCGAAGAATAGAGCACTGGTAGCTACAGGGCCCACCATTGTTACAAAGTGATCATAGTTCCTTCGGCCAAGAACTGCCCTGCCCCACTGCAATGCGAACCAAATGCACAAGTAGGAAAGGTCTGCAGTGACAGTGGTTTCAGATATATGTTGTGCACATCGCGCAATTCTTGAACCGAACTCCTAGCTCTACGTATTGCGGTTCACTATACTGGTCTTTCTTTAGATGCTTGGAAGGATCATGGGCCTTCGCAGCACTTTGTGGGTCTGATCATTCGGACAGTTAGAGGTATTCTACGGACTTATTGAGCCATATCGGTCTGTTGTGCGCTCACTTACCGAGCTACCCTAAGCTCCATTCTATAAGACACCAGAATATCTTCATAACAGTGGTTCCTTATGCAGAAATTTGCTGGCCAGTTTGGTAGACGGTTATGCCATAATCAGCTGGTCCGTGGTGGGTCTGGAGGACCCTGAAACTGGAAGAACTAACTTAGAATAGTAAAATTCTGGGGGACCCTGACCCACTCCCCCGAGACAGCCACGCGGCTTTCCACTGAACAGCGGAACGGGATGTCACCTGTCAGGGCTGAGAACGAACAGGCCACGCCCATATATCACGACTGTGCATATATCTCCATCAATTCAGAATGTTCATATGATCACATGTCATTGCAATGATGTATATCCAAATCTATAACATACTAATAATCAGTTGTCTCAATGTTTCAGGTCAACTCTACTACCAATCCATCCATAGTAACCATGCTAACCATACTAACATACACCGCGGGGATTACTCGGACCCCAGTCGGAATAATTACATGCAAACGCTCGAAATTCTCCGACGATCTTGATCCTTTGCTTGCAGTTAACCCACAGAGACCTAGAAGAGGGTACTCTACGAGCTCAGGCCGAGGCCGTCAGCTTTTAGGTGCCCGTCACATGTTTTACTCTCAATCTGGCGAACCGGTGACAGACTGGGTTTCTAAACAACAGAGCTGCGATCTGTGAGACAAGGTCTATGCAGCTTCCAGTTTCTGCTTTGTTCCTTCGAGTATCCTAGATTACACGATGCCACGGGGAAAGATATCAAGGTATCAACATGCGGGGTCAGATGTGTTACTATCTAGATCCCAGATAGAGAAAGACCCAAAGGGGGGATAGGTAAGGCCACGTAGGCGGCACAGGATCAGGGATAGTGCCTGGCTACTGTGAAAGACAGAGAGGTACCCCGAAGTCAGGCACACGTAATGTCCTCCAAATTCGAATTCCCCATATTGTTGCAGGTGAAAGTGGGAGAGTCACCACTGGGTGGAGTCACCTTGATGTCTTGGACAGTGATATTATGGCAGACCTAGCAGCTGTTAGTGGCCGTAGGTCAATCTGCAATGCAAAGTTGCAGCAAAGAAACCTACATCCGGACTACTACATGTCAACTCTCCAATCTCAGGATCGTACTTCTTAGATGTCGTTCCCTTAAAGTCCTTGAAAAGTACATCCTCAATGACGAGTTTTGACTTTGAAAGACCGATCAGCTTTTTCCTTTTATTGAATCTTCTGCCTATCAGGAGCTTGTAAATACGTACAGGATATGAATCGCACATCGTTTGGTTCTTCGACTCATAGCACTGCGAGACAGAAATGACGCGGTCGTTATTCTCGCTTTGCATGTGTTCATAGGTAACGTTGCGGACGCGGCCTAGTCCTCCACCGCTGGTTGAGCCAGACGTATCGGGAGGAACACCAGGCCAAACCTTGATTCGGGCCAAATCTGATGCATCTGTCATGGAGATGTTATAGACGTACAGATCTTCGACGATGTCCGTTTCCCCTTGGTATTGACCCAGGCTGCCGACAGAAATACCGTGGGACCCAGTGCAGTCGAGATTTTGGATGACAATCTGGGTGGAGTTGGGTTTGAAAGATACACAGTCTGCGGCGAATATACCATGAGTGACGTTTTAGAGAATACCATCAAGGAATGCCATGGCTTACCGTCCGTGTTGACAATCCTTGAGTCTTGGATCACGATATTCGAGCTGCGGTATATGTCCCAGCCATCTGTGTTCTAGTCACAGTACAAGTCAGGTTTGGTTAGCAGTGGGCTATAGCAGAAGGAACCAGGGGTGATATGATAGGTCGCACCTTGGCTGGAGCATCCGATATCTCACTTTTCACCAACATTGTCATATTACTGATGAGGATGTCCGTGGAGTTCGCAATGAGGTTGAACCAATTCGGGGAGTTGAGCATCGTGAGCCCAGAAATGGTGGCATGATGCAGCCCGTCTGTGCCCAGGAGGCAAGGACGCACGACACTGGAATCTTCAGCCATCGCACTCCACCAGTATTGACCAGCTCCTATATTAGAACATCAAGGTCATTAATCTTTCCCTAATAAATCCAGCATCAAGAAGAAAATTTATTCACCATCAATCACCCCCTTCCCATCGCCATAGATGTTCACGTTATCGCCTCCAAATCGCCAGAACAGACTGGCAGTCTGGAACGTGTATTGAAATGCCTGGGTTGACCAGAGATCGAGATCTTTTTTGAAAGTGATGTTGCCCCAGATGGCAAAATCGATGTTGTTTAGGAACGTGAGATCCAGTGCGGTTGCGATGACAAAGTCACCCGGTGGTAGAAAAACGGTGCCTCCATTGTTGCAAGCGTGGGCTGCGGCAAGAATACCAGGGCCAGCATCTGTTTGGTTTGGCTTGACCTCACAGACATTGCTTGTGCTGTTCTGGCGTCTAGAGGCGGGCTTGAAGTTTCCCAGAGATTTTGGATATGCAGAGATCGTAGGAGCAGAAGGAGATTTGCTAGACACACACAGCACGGGAAGATTAATAAGTAGAGTCCCTAGGATGAGAAGCTTCATGATGAATTGGCTTGGAATTGTTGCCTTTAGGAACCAAGGTATTAACGAGGTACAAGGAGTGGTATTTGAGGGTAAAGTAGAATTTGACTGTCGTGTCGTGACACCTCAGCCGAGTAATTACCCATGAATATTGGCTGCTCCGAGATTGCAGATAACAGGCTAAATCGTAGGCTATGGGTATGGAGAAACATCCCCGAACTAAGCAGATGTCAAGTGGCAGGACCTCTCTTGGCAAACAGCATGCGGACGGCAAGCTGTTTCCTTCCGAGCGTATAGAATTTACATGGCATCAATCGTGCGTTGTAGTACCTGCCAAGGAATGTTTTCGATGCCAACGTGGCTGAAGTAGCGGCCAGCACGTGGTAATCGAAAACGAATGGCTTTTCTCATACATGAAGAAGCGCTTAGGATAGCTCTGTTTCAATCACTTGCTGACTGGATTCCTTATGACAATTAATACATCCAATGCATTTCCCATTTAGCCTGGGGGATCCGTCTACGTGCCCGGTTTTCTTGTCGGAATCTTCCACATCACGAGCCAAGAAGAGCATACACGGCATGCAGCTTGAGCTTTGGGTAATTCTCCACCAATTAGTTGTGTTAGATCCTTGTAAGAAGTCCACGGGTAAGGCTGCCCGTGCCGCGCTGGACCCTTGTTTGCCGTCCATGCCGGACCTCGGAACGATCTCTTTCGGTAGGGTGGACGTTAGGGGCCATCCATTTACATTCGACCCCTTATGATGAACTTTGAACCCAGAGCGACCAGTAATGCCAACTCAATTACAAAGTTCATCATAGTGGGATTCTCGCGAAGTTTCATGTGATCCAGCCAGAAATCTACAGCGAGCGGGCCGTAGTTTGAGCACAGTCAATCCCAAGGCTGCTACTAGAGAAATTATCGCAATCGACCTCTGCACACCTACCACGAGTATTCACGTCCCAGTTATAAGCCTGCACCTATCATCTTGATCGCGGCCGCTTTGGCTATTATTCTTCATCACTGAAGCCCTGTATCGCGAGAACGAACTGTCAGATTGTCGATGACTGGGTTCTAGTTTGTGGATTACGTTTTCCAGGCTTGTGTAAAAGCGCTTGTTTATCTTTTTGGACATGCCCCTCTGCTCAATTTATTTTGACGCTAGGGATATAATTTTGAATGTATGCTCGTCCAATCATCACACCTTACATCGCCCTTTTTTACGTCACTCGGTATATATTAGTAGTAATTCCCTCGTCGTGCCTCGGCCTCGGTTGTATAACCCCCTTCTTAACATAGGTCCTCCTAAGGCATTGCTATTTTTGGCGTCGCCAATTCGCTACCTTGTGGAATCCTGGGCTCGATCTTCGCATATCTACGTGGCTCCATAGCTTCACTGACATATAAGCGTATGCTACGCGCTATCAGGACATCGACTACAGTTACTTCATATTTTACTTTGACTCGATTGTTCGGTCTATTTATGATTTAAATAGACGTAATCTGCTTCGGTGGCTATCTCCTGGAATTTTAAGCTAATAGAATGTTACCTGCCCTCGATTGATTTTAATATTCGCGGCGCCGTATCCTCATTGAGAAGGCCTAGGTAATACTCTATTCTCGCACAGTTAGCCAACCCAGTCCTAGACGCTCTTGGGTCAACGTACCGCAACATAACCACCTTGCGTTCACCATTTGTAAAAATCCTCTCAGAATTCGTAACTTTCTCAGTGCCTCATTGGTGTCAGTTTCCATCCATATCCTCTCTGTCACTATGCTTGCCGCTTTGTACACAAGAAATGTGATAAAGGGAGGAAAGCGATCCAAGTCTAAGACTTGTGCACCACTAACAAAGGGGTCGACCATGTCAGTTATGGTGGTGAGAAGGGGGTTTATAGATGATGTGGCAAGTGTTTGGCAAGTTAGAGTTTGTGCATCGGTAATCTGGACTTTGGTACCGTTCTCGTAGGCTAGCAAAATACCACTGTGCAACATCAGTATCGATGGGAATATTTCAAGGAGACCTGTAAAAGAAGAACGCGGCTCAACTAACGTCTGACAAAGTCCTAGCCCACCGGAGTATATCTGGTCCGCATCTTCAACCTCTTCGATTAAGAGCGTGCGGAGGGTATATGATGTCTCAACCAAAAGCCTTATTTCTTCTGTGTTGAATGTTCGTTCTGAAGTGGGGTTTTTTAACGCATTGTGAATGTTATCAAGAAGTGTGGACGCCTCGAACAGACGGGAGAGTTGCCAGAGAGGGTTTCCCGTGTCTTTGTCGATGCCGGTGGGCCAGGGGCCTTTGTTGGGATCATAGATACCCTTTAAGGTAGAGTAAGTGAGAAGTGGACGATGTCCAGATTGTACTGTTATATATCTATAATGTTGTCAGGACCAAGGGAAATTATAGGTTTGAGGGATGAATGGGGACCCGTACCTGTCCAAAATACGGATTGCGCACCCGACTAGTACGGCCTCCTCCCTCGCTGACTCTTCGTTAGTAGACGGTGAAGATGATGGAGGTGAGTAATCATGAAGTTTAAGTGCATCGGCAGCTCTGACAGTAGTCCCAATAGAGATGTACGCTGCCGGGTAGAAGCCATGTGCAACTTCAAACAGGGTGACCAGTGTCCTTGCTTGGACGATCTTGAGCGAGGTAATACCGAGTCCTTCGATCACTGCGATCCAGCTCTTGATATGTAGGTACGTGGACTGAAGACCAGACAGAGTCCCGTCCCCTGAAGAGGGAGGCGGGGAGGTGCAAAGCAAACTAATACAAAGGGCGAGAAGCGTGTAATCCAGGGAAGCTTCGTTCCAGGATTTCGGGAGCTGATCCTGTAATGTTAGTGCGATAATAGGGAACCAAGGATGGATGGATTGGATGTATGTCGCAAAGATATCGCTCGGGGCTGATGTGAGTTTCGTAGCAATAGCGTCTTTGATATGGCCAGAATTCAACACTCCAAGGTGGAGCTCTGCATCGAGGGGGTACGATGGTGTCGAGCTTGGAGATGATACCACCTGTCCTTCATAGTGACAGGCTTGACGAAGTCTAGAGTCTGTGTTAGTGATTTCACGGCATCAAAATACCATTTCAAGCAAGCACTTACCTCCGACATAGTCCGCATTGAGGAGTAGCCCTGTCGCATCGCCTCTTCTGCGATCTACATCGTGCGCAAGCCTTTCCGGCAAGCTGCACCCGACGGCGAGCATTCATGCTGACGAGTTTATCCTGCTTTAAAATTAAGGGTTGGATTGCGGGATATTGGGTAACGTGAATCCGCATTGTGGCGGGAATTTCCCGGTGTTGAATGTTTAGTCAGCCAGAATTGCGGTCACCGCTCCGGCGGAGTTTGTCGGGTTGGAGCGGGAACAGTGCGGACTTTCATGGATTGAGGTGCGGATTCAGAGCGGACCCTTAGCAAGGTGATTTGAATGCTTTGTAAGAACTGTGCTTGAACATGAATATATAATGGTCTTATGCTCCGCGATAGAATTCTCTCTGTAACTCATTTTCTATTCCTTGAAGCGCACCCAGAATAACATTGGTTTTCAGCATGATGCCTAAAATTGAAACTGTTGCTATCGCTGGTGTAAGTGCGCCAAAGAACCTACAAGAGCCAGAGGCTGATACATTTTGATAGGCATCTGGCACCCTGGGACCCCACGTGTTCCAGGCACTTGTCAATGCAGGCTTTCGGGTCTCGATTCTCACTCGTTCTAACAAGCCGGGAGCATATGCTTCGAACATCAACGTCTTCGAGGTTGACTTCAATTCAGTGGAGTCGTTAACCTCTGCACTTAAAGGTGTGGACGCTGTCGTATCCACTGTGGGTGGTGCAGCAGTCGACAATCAAACTGTGCTTATCGACGCCGCCATTGCCGCAGGAGTGAAGCGTTTCATTCCGTCCGAATTTGGCAATGTGACCACCAATCCAAAGGTCGAAAAATTTCCAGTTTATAGCTCCGTGTTTAAGATCCGGAACTATCTCCAGGAAAAGGCAGCAGCCGGACAGTTGTCATGGACAGTCCTTGCATGCGGCGCCTTCTTAGACCTCGTTTTGAACACTCCAACTTTGCTGGACTTTCAGAACCACACTGTGACTATTCTCGACGAAGGCGACAATCGGATCAGTTCTACCAGCTTGCCCGCGGTGGGGAGAGCTATAGCTGCAATCCTGCAAAACTTTGACGCCACGGAGAACAGAGTCATGCATGTATCAGAGGCAATTTCGACTCAGAACCAGCTGATTGGGTTCGCAAAGGAGATTCGGCCTGATATCGAGTGGAGCATTAGCAAAGAGCAATCAAGCCTGCTTTTGCAGGAGAGTCTGGAAGAATTTGGTGCCGGTGACTTCAGTGTGCCTACCTTCATGAAACTTCTGAAAGGTACCGCTCTCGCCGGTGATACTTATGGTGCCGCATTTGATGTTACGGATAACGAGTTGCTTGGTATCAAAGAATTGGCACCAGCAGACCTGAAGAAACTTATCGCCGAGAAGCTCGCCTAAAGTGGAGTGTGCTTTACAAAGCTAAAAATTCGAAGTTCTGAGCTGAATAACAAATTTCATTTGAAAGCACTGTCGTATTGAGCCATTTCAATTACTTTCTTGTGATATATGCAGTAATCGGAGATATGTATATAGAAATATTCAACGCACGATATGATGTCTGGGGCTAGAGTAAGAAATTACTAGACACAAAATAAATACAGAGAAGAGTTTCACCCAATACAAAGTGATTGAATCATTCTGCGCTTTGACATGCCATGCCTTCGTAGAAAATGATACTGTACACCTCAACTATGCCCTGAACAGGTAGTTCTGGCCATAGAACCCGGGATAAATGTGCTTGGAGCTTTATACTAGCCGACATAAACTGCAGGGGCAAGGAATCTGCCTGATTTACATCTGTAAGATAGTTGGGCGAGTGGGCCCAGGACAGGAAATTACTTCAAGCTACTCCGGGTGCCAGATTATCCAGGAAAGAATACCTGATTCCTATAGAATATTCGCAAGTCCTATCTAGGTCATTGAGCCTTTTTCTGCTGTGCAATTGAATGGGGAGTCGGAACAGGCCTTCAACACCATGACGGTGCGCTCAGCTACAGGAACGCGTGCTAAAATCAATTAACCACTTTCATCTGCTAATTATAAAGAAATACCATACATCAAGATGGGTTTCAGCCGTTGTAGTGGGGAGAACGCCGATAAGCCCCTGCGCAAGTAATCGGACTGGGCCACAGACGCTGTCGTCTCGTTCAGGAAGTAGTCGCGCGATCTCGCAAACGTTCTGAACATCCCTATTCTTTTCAATAAGACCAAGACTCCAGAATGAAGTCCTCTCAAGGCCAACTATGATAGTCAGTATTAGGTAATGCGTTCAGACGAAGGACTGTTACCAATCTTCACATCACCGTCAAGTGTGATGATCACTTCAAAGCACTTGAGATTGTCATGAATGATATTCAAATCTTTGTGGAAATAGAGAAGTTCCTGTAAAGTCTGCCTAGTGACACGGTATTACTTCAGTCCCACATTCAGAACTTCCGGGTGTGTAGTAAATAGCCGAAAGAAACAGAGACTATGTACTGCAACTTACTTTCCAGACCAGGAAATTCCAACCCCAAGTTGGGACTCTCTTGATGTTGGAAACCATACAACCTCTTGAACAATATCCGCTATTTCATAGAATATTCCCAGGCAAAGTCCAGGGTCTACCTGATTGAAATGAGAAGGACGTCGCGGAAACTTCCCCATTAGTATGATATACTTCGAAACAAGGGTTACCGCACAGCTATGTCAGTATATAGTCCTATTGCTGAAAAAAAAGATATAAAAAGCCCATCTTCACCTGCACACTCTGTACAACAGAACAAAACGTCCACTCTCATCCTTTCGCAACGACCACAGTCAAACCATAATCTCACTTTCAAAATTCAACGACACCCAAAACTGCACCCATCACTATGTCTCAAATCCTTGTCCCCGAGGTTTCTTTTGTCCCCAACCACCTCCGCACTTTGATCGGTAACCTCGAAATCGAATACCTGGAGTTATGTGGAACCCCACCCCGACCAACGCAAGACCACATTAGCGGCACCAACATCCAGCTCCTCACCAATGTCTGGACACTCCACATCCACACCAAAGATGACATGGACACCGCCTCCATGCATCTCATCATTGATACTCCACCCATCAGGGACACAACTCCCTGCCGCATGAATGTCACAGTGACTGACGTGCGCAACAGCTCCCCCGATGCCCAAGACATCCTCAAGCGCGTGCGCATCAATAACGTGAACCTAACCATCGACGGTCTCATGAATCTGATCGTTGGTAATGACCTTGATAGATATAATTATACCAGTTCTCATGTTCATGAAGAGCGCAGGTTTTGGTTCAAACGGTTCATTGAGGCACTAGCGGAAGTTCGGGATATTAATGGAGGAGAAAAACGGGACGCTCTCAATGCTGTGACCTATGTTTGGAAGGGTGAGGGGACTGGCATTGGGGATCGTGTAGATCTTGCGTATATGGCCAACGTTATGCGGGGACATATTGATTATCGTGTGAGAATCCCTTTCCGTGAATAATGGTATGGACGGAAATTGATTTGGGGGAAATGTGTCGCTTGCGTGTGTGCGCTTGAGAGTGGCTTTGGTTCTTAGGCTAGGGTACTAAATTGTTGCAATGCCTACGAATCAGATTCTCGGAGTATTAACTGTGCATTTCTAGTAGACCATCATATGATGGTAGTGATCGCGTATCTCCCTATGTAGAGGCCTTGTAATATTGTCAACTGATCTAGTAACAAGCAGTGTACGTGGGATGTGTATATCTTAATTAGATATCCGAAGGGTTGTACTTCAACAGCATATTTACTTCTTACTACAGCAAATGCTGTGAGGTATGGGATAGCAGATCAAAACTCTCATCCCTCTTCTGGACTACCATATACACTGATTACCTAACTCATCATCCCTTCTTGACCCCATCAACCCTCAAAGTCAACGGCTCGCTCTCCCTGTCCCACGAGACAAACATACGTTTCGAGACCTTCTCCATCTCAGCTTCCCTAAGTTTCTGTAGGTCCGGATGCTCAGGCCCCTGCGTCACACGACACGCTAGCAACGCCAGCGCTGATGACTTCCACAATCCCACTCCTTTAGCCCTCGCAGTATGCGCAACAATCAAAATCAAGAATAAGATCGACAGGATAGTGATCACAATTGGTGCCACGGCCCAAAACCAGCGCACGGATATATACGTCTGCGTGGTAAATGCCTCCCCGGTGATTGTGGTGCTGTTCGGCCCAGCGCGAATTCCCTTTGTAATTCCAACAGCAACGTTCTTCATAACAGGGCTGGTACCTTTCCCCTCCTGCACGGAATACGTCCATCCAGCTTCAATTTGGTCAGAGAGTGATATTGTAGATGTGAAAGAGTTGAGGATTTGCAGCACAGTATTTCCTGAGATGGCGTAGGAGCCGTTGGTTGCGAAGCTCGGGGTGGAGCTATTCAGCGGAGCCAGCTCATTGGGGTAGAACATTTGGAAGTATTTGTTTTTCGTATAGAGCTGCTCCGTCTCAGAGGCTGCAAGTGACCGATGGTCAGAGCTGTAGCTGTTGTTTGTGTATCTCTGGGCGCAGAAATAAAGTGCGCATTCAGTGATTTGTGGCTTTGGTTCCAAGACAGTATGGTTTTCGGCCGTATATATTATGTAGGGGTCATCGTATATCGCCGCTGCCAGGCCAACTATTGGGTTTAGGATCCCAGCAACCCGAGGCCCTTGGGAACTGCTGAGGTTTAGGCGATCCATATCAGTAGTTGCGAATGTCCAGGTATCCTTCTCGAGTTCAATTGCGTTTTCAGATCCAATGTCTACAGTAGCTGCTTCGAAGATGTCCGGCGTTATCTGTAGGTCTCCCGGAGTTTTGTACGTGCAATTTGGCTTGGCCCCTCCATATGCGGTGCCGTTGAAAAAACTGGCATACGAACTGTTTGTGGAGAGAGCAGTGCAACTCTGCCTAGATTGCGAGGTGACATCCTGGCATTTGCTGCATGCCCCTAGCGTGTCGAAAGTCGGATACTTGCACGAGCCTGTACTGCAAGTCGGCTCCTGGGTATTGTCTGATCCATAGATACTTTGGAGAATGAGGAGACTCATAGTATTGTCGCTGTTTGCGTTGCCGGGTACGTAGGCCTGAGCAGTTTGCAGTGAAGCAGTCTCATTCAAAGCGGGAACGATACGGGAAGGAAACGTGAGAATCTGCTGGGTCAAGGGATCGAGTGCGGCCGAAAGAACCAAGGTAACTGCGCCGAGCGTAGCCAGGCTGGGACGGTTCGTGGTGATCAGCTGCAAAGAACCCCAGCTTCCTTGGCTGGCCTGATCCAGAGCGTATAGATCGTATAGCCGTCTTTGGCTGCGATAGTGATTCCATTTGAGTTGACTGAGACAAACCCCAACCGGAAATAGCAGTGTAGCTCTGTTAGCGGTTGCTACCACCGCGACCACTGCGTTTGGAGAGACTCTGTATGCCCAGTCGGCGTAGGACATTCCATCCAGGTGGTTTAACAGCACGATCAGGATGACCACACATGCAACACTCAAAACAGATGCGCCAATTTCCCATCCCCAGGATAATAAGCCACTGGGGGCCGTGCTCTTCTTGGTACCTGGTCCATGAAGCTCCGGGGGTCCCTCAACTTCACGAAGTAAGTATTTCTTAGATGATCCATAGTCGGGACTTGGGTTTCTCTGGTTCGTGTATGTCTCTCTTGAGTCGGAGCGGGGATATTCACGATCGAAATCTGGTCCACGAAGGGAGTGCTCCAGAGACCTGTTAGATTCTCTCGATGGGCGGACTGGACTTGGAGGACGCGAGACCATGATCGTGCTCAATGCTTCTCTATCTTCTCAGATCGCGCGATGTGGTTGTGGTTGTACTTTAAGAATAATCTGCCGGGAGTGAAAGCACTATATGGGACAGCCTTGCAGTGCCCTACTTAGCCGGAGGGCTTAGCGCTTATTCTCCCTGCCACGCACTAGTCGATCCCTCAAGACTGTCAGCGAATGAACAGCTACGATGCTTCAGACCCTCTTGAAGGATATTATCATCTTGTATGAGCCACTTTTCTAGGTGTCTTGGCGCCCAGTTTACTTGGACCCTCCCTCCTTTTTGGGAAGTCAATCTCACTCACCGTACAACTGTTCTCCAGCTGGCACAGCGAAACTGATTAACTGGCCTAAAAGAGTTAGACTAAAAGCAAATAATTCTTAGAAAGGTCAGTCTTGGAGAGCTTGTAGACGATCCTTTCGAAGTGCCTCATGTCCTGTGTGCTGCCGGTATTATTTTCCGTGTTCACATCACGTGTAATAGTTGTTGCCGATATGAAACCCTATGATCGAACTTGCAGTTTCTCTTCCCCGACGACCATACATTCTCTGATGCAACCAGTAAAGATTGCAAGCAAAATAACGCTCGAAAATACGCGCAGCTTCTTCTATCACGCCATAAAAACGTGACAGATTAGAAAATATCGACTTTACTTGGGCAGGACGGAAGTCAAAGCCAGAGCCGTGCTTCGTTCAAATCTCGCCTAAATGCTCGTGATCGGTTTACCATGTGTACATAAAAGCCTTGTGCCTTTTGCTTGTCTGTCTGATTCTCTATAAATGAAACCTTCTGCTTCTGAGTTTCCCTGCGTTCGCGGTGACCTTTCGGTCGGGCTAGATGCAAGGGGCCGACATTCCCGAGGAATGCGCTTCTTGAGAGAGCAGTTGTTATGGAATCTTTGGTTTCTATGTCTCACGATTATTCTCCAAGACATACCGTATCTTGTTCCTTATGCGTGGTGGGTCCAGCCAGCCACACCGTCCTTTGTTACTGTAGATCATACTATATAACTCGCGCTCGATCAATATATCGTTCCCTTCCAACCTAAGTTTCCAAATCCACTAACGAAAATGCAATTATTTCGTCTCCTCCCAGCCGTAGCCCTAGGCTCAGGTACGAGCACCTTAAGGACTCCGAATGAGTCACCAGTCTAACAACCATGCAGCTCTAGCTACCGCAGATATCGTCACCTACTCCCCTCCAACCGAGCCAGGCCTATCCTACAGCGTCACCATCCCCAATACCACCGCCGCCGCTGGCTCCGGCCCCATCTACCTACAAATATCCGCCCCGACAACTCTACAATGGGTCTCCTTAGGTGAAGGCGCCCAAATGGCCTCTGCAAATCTCTTCATTCTTTGGGCTGCCTCTCCCACGGACGTCACCTTGTCTCCCCGTTCCAGCTTAGACGGTGGCCAGAGTGAACCTCAATACAACTCCCATGCAAACGTTACTCTACTCCCCGGCTCTGGGATCGACAACGGCGTGATGATTGCCAACATCCGCTGTGATAACTGTCTCTCTGCCTGGCCAACGCCTGCTGCACCTTCAAGTGACCCCAGTTCTACATACACCTTGGACCCTGAGGGGGCCTCGACACCTTGGTTCTGGGCTTCTTATACTGGACCTCCCCTCAACAACCCCGACCCTTCTGCAGACCTGGCGATGCATGATGATTTGGGTAGCATGCAGCTCGACTTGAGTCGAGCACAGTTTTCGGTCTCTGGGGCTATGGCAGATCCATCATACAACCCCTTTCAATAAGCCTCGGCGAGTGAAGCATGAGTCGGAGTCTACCTAAGATTGGATAATTTCTTGTCATTTTCGGAATGGCGGAATCCGCGAAAAGCAACTGAGCTGGGAGATGGGTTAGACAAAATCTAGGACTAGTAGAAAGAGAAGAAAAACTATAATAGGCCGAATCCCGTAGGGCATGTTCTTTTATGACAGGTTCGGGATTATGCGCATCTTCTTACTCAGCGAAAGCAATAAGTCGCCGTGTCCGAAGTGCTACTTCCGGCCTTTGAAACTCAAATCATATTGGTCGGGCATCCGCCGGCTTTTGAACCTAAGGCAGTCCCCTGATTGTGGGTTGATGGATACTGAAGGAGATAAGCTTATGACAAATTTATCTGATAAGCACTTCGTATATCCATATGAAGTCTCGTGCGCAAGACAGGCAGAGACTAATATGCGCGTCTCTCTGTTCATCGGAGCATTCAAGAAACCGTATACTGTACTGAAAAATACCTTTAAGTTCTGGATAGTCTCCTATTTGCCTTGGGTACTAGTAGACGTTCAAGTCTGTTTAAAGAGCATTATACCTTCAAACGAGGCAAATATAGGTACTATGTACAAACCCAGTTGAATGACCAAAGGGGCGGCTGTAGGCCAATCGGCGTTTGATTCGGCGTTCCAACGGGCATTAAGGAGCCCCAGTGGAGCCATTGCGTCTCACGTGAGCAAATATGCCATAGTATATATTGTTCAATTGTGTTTAGCCAGCAACTCAGACGATTCCCATTCATTATTAATTACAGAGCAGAAGTCGCACTATATTTACAAGCATCAAGTCAAACCAACTTCATGATGTCCTTAGTCCCCGACTCCGTGATCCCATGCCCTGCCACAGACGACTACTACAACCTTGGCACATACAGTCGACCCATCAGCACTACGAATCAAGATGCGCAGATCTGGTTTGACCGCGGCCTCATTTGGTGCTACGCCTTCAATCACGCCGAAGGCTATCGATGCTTTGAACAGGCAATAGCCCATGACCGCAACTGCGCCATCGCCTACTGGGGCCTAGCTTACGCGATGGGACCAAACTATAACAAAGCCTGGCGTCTGTTTGATCCAGTGGACCTCAAGCATAGCATGAAGCTGTGCCATGAGGCTACACAGAAAGCTTTAGAGCTCTGTCAAATAGCGTCCGTTACGCCCGTCGAGCGCGCACTTATAGAAGCTATGCAAACTCGCTTCCCCGTTGACCATCCTGCCGAAGACTACGACCAGATCAACCACGCCTACGATGCAGCAATGAAGAAGGTCTATGATCAGTTCCCCACTGATCTCGATGTCATGGCTCTTTACATAGACGCAAAGATGCATACGGCCCAGCGCAAGATGTTCCACATCAAGACTGGTTTCCCCATCGAGACGTCTCCCGTTTACGACGTGCAGAAGCTTTTCAAAGATGGCTTGGCCCTTCCTGGCGCAGATACTCATCCGGGTCTGCTTCATTTCTGTATCCATTTCTGGGAAATGTCCGCCACTCCGGCCGTTGCGCTTCCCCCAGCAGACGCTCTGCGCCATCTTGTCCCTGACGCTGGGCACCTGCATCACATGCCTACTCATCTCGATGTTCTGGTTGGCGATTACCGTCGCTCGGTCGACTCAAATACTGCCGCAGTTCAAGCAGACGAGAAGTTTCTCGCGCGTGAAGGTGCGAAGAACATGTATAGTTTCTACCGTCTTCACAACTACCACTCGCTCGTCTACGCAGCAATGCTCTCCGGCCAATCCAAAATCGCTCTAAGAGCTGTAGACCAGATGGAAGCATCGATCACAGACGACGTGCTTCGGGTAGACTCCCCTCCGCTAGCAGACTGGCTCGAGTTCTTCAAGTCAGTACGCGTTCATGTCTACGTCCGCTTCGGACTCTGGGAAGAGCTCAAGGCACTCCCAATCCCTGAAGATCAGGACCTCTACTGCGTCACCACAGCCATGACACACTACGGCAAAGCGGTCGCGTTCGCAGCTACGAACAACGTTCCGGAAGCACTGAAGGAACGCACTCTCTACCAAGCGGCCGCTAAACGTGTTCCTCCCAGCCGGAAAGACTACCCGAACCTGATCATTGATATTCTAAAGGTTGCAACCGCTATGCTAGACGGCGAGATCGAGTACCGTCGAGGGAACTTTACGCAGGCGTTTGAGAGTCTGCGGGAAGCGATTCGTCATGACGATGCGCTGATGTATACCGAACCTTGGGGGTGGATGTTACCTACGCGACATGCATATGCAGCCTTGTCGCTGGAGCAGGGCCATGTGGAGGACGCTGCGAGGGCGTATGCGGAGGATTTGGGTCTTGATGCAGAAATTACTAGAGCGCATCAGCATCCGAATAATGTGTGGGCGCTGCATGGGTATCATGAGTGTCTGATGAGATTGGGACGCAGAGCAGAGGCACTTATCATTAAACAGCAGCTGGATGTTGCTTTGAGTGTGGCTGATGTGGATATTAAGTCTTCGTGCTTTTGTCGGCTGGGTGTGCAGGGTTCGCAGTGTTGTTCGTGAGTTTGTTCGGGTGTATATAGAAGAGTCTTATAGAGAAGGTCCTCGTGTAAATTGATTGAGTATCAAGGATAAATGCATGCGCCATATCAAGTAAAGTTCTTTTTTCCTCTTCGTATATATTTTGTCGCAGCAATCTAGTCATCATATGTCTTCTGTCCGATGGTTGGCTAAGATGAGCACAGTGCAGCGCCAAGAGGCGGAAGCACTCATCCTACTTGACCTCAACTCTTCGCAGTGACGATGCATTCACATTCCGTCGTATTAAACCATCAACCTTACCCAGAGAAATCCCTTGACTCAGTATCAGATCCCATCGCACCATCTATCCCCATGCTTGGCATACCAGCCATGCCCACCGAAATAACCGTGACCCCATCCGAGATCGAATTCCTCGAAACACTACAAGAATCCAAGAACTCCGTAGTATTCAAAGTCACCTTCCAGGGGAAACCATGCGTCCTCAAAGTAGTGCGTATCTCCCGTCCCCAAAGCTACTCATATACCTCCCCCTAATAGCAGCAGTACCACGACCGCGGCCCATCAGAATTCGACCCACCAGACCGCGAAGTCAACCTCTTCGTCGCTCAATCAACAGCATACCAACGCCTGAAATCAAAAGAATTCTGCAATCGAGGCGTCATCCCTGACTCCTACGGGATTATCAGAAACATTCAACCGGCTCTTTGGCCAGGATTCGGCATGTTTCTCGGTGATAAACTACCACCCAATGCGATTCTCATTGAATATATCCCGAATATGTAGGTGATAGGTTTATCAAACTATTGGGAGCGACGTATGGCTGAATTTCGTCGGATTCTTGATGATATTCACGAGGCGAATGTCCTGCATGGTGACCCGATGCCTCGGAATATGATGGTTTCGGTATCGGGGGATGAGGAAAGGGTGCTGTGGGTGGATTTTGATTCTGCGCAAACGTTTCCAGAGGATGGGAGTCATCCGAGACAGAAGGTGTGGGTGGAGGGAGAGGATGAACTTGTGGATTGTTTTATGGTGGCTTTGGTGAGGTCCAGTGTTTTGGTTGTGTGTAGGGAGATTTTATCTGCTGACTGGGTCAATAGGGTGAGGATTATCGAGATGGAAAGCTGAGTCGGACAGTCTCTTATTACTATGATTGTTTTCCGATTTGAAAGAGACGAGTTAGATGGTTTCAATATGGCTTACGTGAACTTATCTTATTCAACTCATTATACGAACGTCTAATTTACTTTTCCACTATCGAGTGATTATCATATGGTAAAGTGTAAGTATATGTGTTGTGATCTATCTGGGTTATTCTATTCTAATGTCTCCTTCCTATTGAAGTTGAACTGGTCGGTCCGTAAACAAGCCAACAATAATGAGACATGATCTCGATTCGCAAAGAGGCAGATAGACAATGGATGTGAAAGACCACCTAGTACCCCAATGCCACGGTTCGAGCAATGGCCTGATCTATATCATTAATCTGGGGGTCTTCCGTATCATACATCACCAAATATGAGTGAAAGTCCTCTTGGATATGCTGAGTATCCGCCAGGTTACGTCCGACAACAAGCCTCACGCACTCCAGCTTGGGACAGATCTTCTTATCCCTTAGCAGTTGGAAGACTTCAAGCCAACCCCCTTCAGGACTATAAACCTGTTGGAGGATGAGAGTCATTAGGCGCTTTCCATACAACTCGAGAAATCGAATGAGGTCTTGAGTGCTGACATCGACACATTCGAGCCTCAACGTCCAGAGATTGACGCCGTTGTCTTCCTTGGAGTCTGCCCAGTCACAGGCATCAATGGCTAGTTTCATTAGTCTTCTCCACCAACGAGACAGAGGCTGCATTGGCAAGCCAATCCACACCAGATACCTGAGCTTCCAAGCGCACAAAAACAACGATCCAAACATCTGACAAATATACTCCTTGCTTGCCTCGTCCCAGGGCAGGCCCACCGTCAAGCAGACCAGCTTATTCCACACAATCTCGACATTGTAAGGGAGAGTGTAGAAAATAGGTGCTATATGGCTTGAGGTTTCTGTCGTGGGTTGAATTGAATTCTTCGTGAAGATCAACAGGTATTCAGGCTCAGCCCTGGCATCTGCAAGGACCGAGAATAGGATATGAAGAAACATGGCGCTGGTATCGTTGGCAATTTGTGGGGACCGGAAATATTCAATGATGATGTTCTTGATGTTGGGAAACGCGGACTTCACGATGTCGCGAAACTGCCTGAGCGCCGGGAACGAGTCGATTCTGAGAGCATCTGGCGAAAGAGGAACAGTGGATGCCATCAACCTCCTGTTAGGCAGCTTCCTGGGCTCAAACCAGAGAGTCTGAGGGTATGGGCGATTCCTTTCATCGCTTGCCACCTGGAATAGATAACCGAAACCGTTATCGTCATTGGTGATTCTGATTGTGGTATATTGCGAGTTCAACTGGGCCTCTATCATCCTATTGCGTAGCCCTTTTGACGCAAGCAGCAGCGCTCGATGGGCCGACGCATCGAGGCAGCACGTAATCCGGTAGTACAGTCCAAAGGGTATAGTTTCCAGTCGTCTCAGGTGAGCCCACGTATCCAATCTGCCGAGCTCTGTCTCTTGAAACACTTTCTGGATGTACGCTTTTCGGGTAAATCGAGAAGCGTCTTGCATGTTGATTTCTGGAACAGGGGGCTAGCGCTGAGTGAAGGGTGGCAGTTGACAAGAATGAGAGTGGTCAGTAGTCTGTCTTCATTGTGAGAATCCAAAGACCTCATATCTTGTCGGAGAAGAAGGTTGGCATTGTCCTCACCTAAATATACGGTTGATCGTACTGGATATAGTTGTAGTTGGTACTATTCAACGAAACGAAGGACGCGGTGTTTCATGTGCACCAAGGCAGGACGATACTCCATACCCATTGTCTAAGACCAGCGTGTGGAAAGAGGAAGGTAAGAGCAGAATTGCTCTCACCACTCATCATGGTCCCTTCCGTCAGCAACTCTGCAATCACATTATTCTGGGTGGGTTGTGGTTACCGATTATGTCTGAGCAAGACCTTCACGCCTGAGGCCTACATTTTGTGGCTTCAGGGGTCCGCTTGTTATCGATCCATCATTCGATGTGGCTTTCACGGAAGCTGCTTCTTACCCATAAGCCGTACACTCCGGTGCCTATTATAGTAACTAAAGCTGTTTCCTACCGTTGGATATAAATAATCCTATGTCATATTGGCATCATTATAGAGTGACGCAACCTAATTCACTTGAGCTGGGATGGAAGGATGCAGAAATCGTCCGGTTATTTCCCTTTCTCCATCCTTTCATGTGTCTGAACTATTTAGTTATGTGCTCTTAGAGAGAACCTGCTCATACTGTTTAGCACATATACAAAGTATAGTAAGTATCAAGTACTGAAATTGACGGTTCTGAAATGTTCTTATCATTTATAAGTTGAACGTCTAGATAACACTCTCTTATATATTCCAACCCCTCCCCTTCTCCCCACATGCTATCCCATTCTCAAACGCTTCCTTTGCCAAATCCATGCCTGCAAGACCATTCCCTAACCACAGAAGGTAGAAAAGTCAAATGTGCAAGCTAGTCCATTATGAGGGCAGCTCAGTGGAACATCAATACCATAACTAGTATAACAGAAAACATTAGCCCTGCATCTCCTCCATGATCAAACTAACGTTCAGCCAAGAGAATAAGTACCAGTTCGATGGGTTACAGTAGGTTATGGGCATCGGTCCATCCTCGCTGTTATCCGTATAGTCGTAGTTCAGCGAATAACCGGAAATGCAGTCTTGTGTTCGAGTTAGTATACTAAACCATATAAGAGGGGAAGAAGAAAAAAGGCACGCAGCTCAAGAAGCTGGAAACATACCGACGTTTTTGTCTCCAACACCGATTTCGCCGTTGCAGGTTTGAACACCGTTATCAGTTGTAGTGATGGTGCCATCACCGAAGGTATTTGGATTGTACGCTTTTCCAGTGATGACGAGGCATCCAAAGGCGGAAGATGAAGAACCTATCACCAAAGCAGCTATAGCCAGAGCTTTTGAACTGTAGACGACCATCTTAATGCGGTTGGATAGTGTAGAGTTTCAACTGTACGAAATGCGTCGGAGTGCAATATGAGAAACAATGCCTTTTATGTTGGCAATGCAATGTATTTAGATAATTGAAGATATCTCTGGCCATGGGCTACTTATATAGATATCTGATCCTCTGATTCTCCATCCATCGTCCGTGGCCGCAGCAGACCCTCATGATCGTAGTAGTTCGCTTGCAACCAATGGCTGTCCATGTAGGACATCTTGTTGTTGGATAAATGCTCCTGGACTCCTTATTTTTGGACGCCTTACTGTTGAATTCTGTATTGTTGGACGCCTTACTGTTTGGCGCCTTGTTCCTGAGCGCCTGCATCCACAGAGGTTCCCCAGTTAAGGTGTACATCTACTTGGAGCATCTGATCACGTGATTATATCTCGAAGAGGTTTCCGAAAGCAGTAATCTCTTCATTTTCTAGCCTCGGCTATAAATAGGATATGTCTTCACCCAACTTCACTAGTGAACGATGCAGACTCTGAAACCCCAATAAGGGTTCCGAACGTGACAGATGGAGTGTGGCGCAGGATTGCTTGTTTTTGAGGCGCAATAAGTGAGTCTGATACAGAATGATATTTGGTCGGCCTATCAAGGGATGGTATCGATGAAAACACTGCAGACAGGTATATCACTTAGTACTAAGTACTCAGAATCAAGACGGACTAACTACATGACTAGGGGTGGTAATTATCTGCCCGTGGCTTTTCAGTAATCTGGCTCAACATCCCCGCTCAGCTCAACCCGCAGAGCGCTGACAGCCGCAGGCCTTCCTTGGAGGACAATATTGACCATAAGAATAGGACCTGTAAGTCTCAGCTCTTCATCCTTATGATTTATATCACTATAAGTTTCTTTTTCTAAAAATTACCTCCAAATACTAAGCAGGATATCTTTATTTGCCTTGCCAAATGAGAGCGCAACAATGATCACATTACAATGGTTGGTATACGTTTGCTATTTGTTGCTTGATGTAGATATAATAATCTATTTGTAGCTACAAGAACATAAATTCAGACTCATCTTATTCTTACTACATTCGGTTGTAACATGACATTCCGCATTCTCGAGAGTTGTGCTTATTATTCTTGATAGCACGTCACAACTGGAAAGGATCAGATTATCGTCTAGAGGTCAATATGACTTACACTATCTAAAAGAGAAATCCTGAATATCCCCTCAATATCTTCAAAAGTTCCAGCTTGCAGGGGGCTGCTTTCTGCAGCTCCTCCTTGTTTCATGCATTCCTCCTCGAGTGTCCTCGCCGTATATGCACGTGATGCATACATGCTTCGGAGAAATAGCGATACGAGCTAACCGCTATTCAAAAAAACATTCAGCATATCAAGCGGAGAAATTGCGGAGCCATGCAACTCTGCAGCATCTCTACGATCGCGAAGTGAGGGGTTGTGAATATCAAGTCATTCCCCCTAGCAGCCACACGAGGGTCTGGATGATCATGAATGCAGGACGATTATCAAGTCGAGGAAGTAAGTGGCTATCGTTCACCTATGGTCCGTGCGGGGTATTCTTTGTTTCGCCGTTGTTTGGCTCGGAGAAATAGAGTATGGCGAGTCCTGCTGGTTCGGTCCCGCGGCTGCAGGGCTTGTCGGCCAATTGGAGAAATATCTAGGTTGGGCTAATGCGTTTTGGTCTATCAAGGAATAGCTAGCTAGTACAGTATTGCATTCTGAGGCGTGATTTCAGAGCCCTGATTGATGTGTCGTATATCATCATAAACCAGACTGGAAATTATTTATATGGCTTTCGTTCCCAGTGATCCTTCCCTCTTCGTTGGCGCACTCGTCCATAGGAAAGAAACCGAGTCTTCCAAACTCAGATAATCCAACATGGGTGCTATGTCGCTTCCTTCAGACGAGATCCCCCAAACTCAAACGGTGGCTCTTGTTCGAGAACTGGGAGGCAGTGTGGAGTTTCGCGAAGGCTATCCCGTTCCTACCCCAGGGTCAAATGAGGTATTAGCGAAGGTTTTGTATACAGGTGTCTGCCAAAGTGGTCAGTCTTGATGAACCTCTGTCATACAATACTTCCCAGAGGCTAACGTGATCGGAAAAGATTTACATACAAAAAACGGCACTGCGGCTGGTGCTGATGGCAACCCAATCACGAAGATCAAACTGCCGCATGTTGGAGGCCATGAAGGTGTCGGACAGATCGTGGCTCTGGGTCCCAACTGTGGCGCTGACCTGAAGGTCGGCGGGCTAGTCGGCATTCGCTTCGCTAGTCGGATTTGTAGGAGATGCGAGTTCTGCTTAGCCGGCACGGAGCAGTACTGTGTCAAGGGCACGAACCATCTCCATCATGAAGATGGCAGCTTCCAGGAGTATATCGCTCTGGATGCTGACAACCTCACGATTCTCCCTGATGATATAGATCCAAAGGTTATCGGGCCGGTGCTGTGTGCTGGAGTAACTGCATACAAGGTAAAACAGTTCTAAGCACAAAGCATGGGATCTGATTGCTGACTGTCCGTAGGCTGTTCTCAATACGAATATCCGGGCGGGCAACTGGCTCGTTGTAGTAGGTGCTGGAGGTGGTCTTGGGCATCTGGCTGGTAAGTTGGGTGCATTTCGCAAGGCTACAACAAACTGACCAGACAGTTCAATATGCCAAGGCACAAGGAGCACTGGTTATTGGCGTCGACGCTGCCGACAAGCGAGACTTTGTCCTCGGTTTGGGAGCAACAGAGTTCATTGATTTTACTTCCACGGATCCGGTGCAGAAAGTTCATGAAATTACCGGCCTTGGTGCGCATGCCGTTGTGGTGACTGCGGGAAGTGCCAAAGCCTTCGCCCATGCTTGTGACATGTTGCGGGTTGGGGGTACTCTAAGCTGCGTGGGAATCCCGCCAGGCCGTCCAGTTCTGGAAACCCCTATTTGCACAATCGTGATCAAAGGCCTCCGGGTTACCGGGAATCTCATCGGCTCACTGAAAGAGTGCATGGAGGCAGTGGACTTGGTCCGGCGTGGGGTGGTCAAACCGGAAATCAAGGTCCGGACTTTCAAGGAGTTGCCACAGGTATACGAGGAGATGGAGAAGGGTGATATTGCAGGTAGAATCGTCCTTCAAGTTTCGCAGTAGCTCACTCGTTCTTTATAGTTCAGAGAAATAGCAGTTCTGCAGTGCGTCTTATCTCTTCGAAAAACTCAGTCACGCTCATCCACTTTCTATTAATAGAGAGCCCATCGCGAATCAACGTACTGCTCAGGAGAGTCCACATGCTCTTCGGTAGTGTAAGCGTTATCTTGATCGTCATCGAATGACCAAGGGTCATAGTTCAAGTCCAGTAAGCGGGCGGGGGCTTTAAGCAAGGCCTCAGCCGTCTTACTATGCAGTATCGACTTCAACATGAGATCTTGCTCCAGGAAAGGCAGCAGCTTCTGGTATAAGGCGTGCAGAAAGTCGTGTGGCCCTAACTGGAAGGCAGAGTACGTTGATACCGATGGCGTGAGCAGGACAGTATCCGCGAGTGAGTTGGCGATCTCGAAACACTTCAACAGCTAAACTCGGGATTCGATTAGTACCTGGCAGCCCAAAGAATCGCGAAACAAACCTGGTCGCGCCCCAAAGGCAGCAAGTCAGACTCAGTAAAGCCTTGTAGCGACATCAAAAGGTCACGGCTAACCACTGCCGGGAATCTAAATGTCATGAGCTGGGCACCGGATTTCGAGGAGAGCAGACGCTGAGACAGAGCTTCCTGCCAGATGATAGTCCTCATCCATTCTTTCGTGATGCAATAATCCGCAATGCGGGTGGAAGGTCGGTCGCCTTTACCGAACGATAGCATCGATAGAACTGTCTCCGTCTTCGCAAGACTATCCGCAGTTATTACTAGCCTATCTCTGGAATTTGTGCTCCTTCCGGACGAAAACCCATCGAACGTGGCAAAGAGTCTGCCAAGCTCAAGCAAGCCTTTCGCATCCGCGCTGTCTCCTACATCAACCTCGTCGGGTAGGCGAATAGGACTGGTATATGATGGTTCGAGACCGAGATGCATAGCATAGCCCCTGAGCAATGTCAGTATGAGCTACAGTGGTCTTGCGAAGAGGCATTTCTACCTTTCAGAAACCCAGAGCAAGAGGAATACAATCTCTTTATTAGCAACGACATCTGCACCGAGCGCAGTCTCTTGCTCACCCACACCCTCATCCAGCTTCAACAGCCTAGCGCCATACACAGCCTCTCGTATGAACCGCATGGCCGAGTCCCTCTGGTTGATCTTGGCATGATATACATGCAGGAAGAACGAGACCAAGACGCTCCTCAAATCGAGATGCGCTTCACGCATCCCCATACACTCCGCCGCCATCATCGTGCTATCAACAGTTGTCGGAGCAAGCTGCAGCTGTGCCATAGTGGCTGCACAGAGAGCCATGGCCAGACACAAGGTTCCAATATCTGGCGTGCCATGCTCAAGCTTGTTCAACAGCACTTCTGCATTGACAACCGGCCACACGCTATAAGACGCCTGCTGGTAGAAGCGCACTACCGAGACCAGTTCTTCTGTTGGGATAGTACTCGAGACATGTTGCTCTACCTCAACACGGGCTATCCCCTCGTCACGCGGATCAACATGTGGAGTGATCAAAGGACCGGTTGTCGCGTGTTCCGGTCCCTGACCCCCGATATACCTTCGTACCTTAGGTCCCCTTCTCCGCGCAGGTTTCAGGTAAGTGCAGTTGACTTGCTTTTGGGCACTCTGGCAGGTATCACAGGGCCAGGCGCCGCTGCACTTGACCTTGCGGGAGATACACTCATCGCATGCACGCTTTGTGAGTCGATGGCGCATGAGTAAGGAAGGGCGATCACTGAATCTTAATCAGATAGCTAGCAAAGGGGATGAAGAGGAAGAAAGATAAAGGGGTATCCAGGGAGAGAGATAAATGGTGGCTGCAGATGAGGGGAAGCAAAGCAATGCGGAGTCAGAAGACCGGCATTCACTCAAGATCCCGATTACATGCAGATTCCACCATCTTCTCCCACCGCAAAAATTCCATCCCAGTTGTCAATATCTTAAACTAAGTCAATATAATGTGGCCCATAGTTACATAGACATGTTATGATGTGGCACGACAGCATCCCAAGTATACAAGTGATGATCATGTAATCATTTATGTAACAGGGTGTGCCCCCACCCCCAACCGAGCTTAGCAATCAATCCACCTGGACCCCTCCTGTCATTTCCCAGCATCTACTAGATATTCTACTTCTTCTTTTCCTCTACTATCTCCCACTCCTCCTTACTCACCTGAATCCCGCCTTAAAGCGAACAAAGTCACTCATCTTCTACAAAGAACCCAACTTCTCCACCAAACAACCAAAATGGAAGACACTCCCCTTCCCCCCGCAAGCACCGACGTACGTCTCTCCCTCCCCCATCCCGCACCCCCACAAACCCCATCCCCAAGCATTCCAACCTCAATCCCCCCCTACCCAACCCTCCAAACCACCTCTTCAAACCCCGAACTAACCTCCCTTTTTGACAAACCAAACAGCCCCGCGACCTCGCGGCCCTCGAATCCAACCCCTCCGTAATCTTCCCCGCCTTCACCTCCAGCACCGCGTGGACCCTCGGTCTGGCCCTGCGCGAGCGCATTCTATCTCTCCCACCCACACAACGCAAACCGGCCCTAGTTTCCATCGCTTTGACCGGGGGCTCCGAACCACACGTTATTTTCCAATGCGCGACGGAGCCCGGCACGGTGGCGGACAACGAGGTGTGGGTGCGGCGGAAGCGGAACACGGTGTTGCGGTGGGGCATGTCGAGCTGGTTGATGAGGCAGAAGATGTTGAGTTCGACGGGGGCGGAAGCGAGTGAGGTGGAGGCGGCGTTTGTGAGGAAGTTTGCGTTGACGAGTACTGGGGGTGGAGGGGCGGCGGATGAGTTTGCGATTCATGGGGGTGCGTTCCCGATTCGGGTGAGGGGGGTGGATGGGATTGTGGGGGTGGTGGTGGTGAGTGGGTTGAAGCAGGAGGATGATCATCAGGTGGTTGTTGAGGGGATCAGGGAGGTTATTTCGAAGATGTGAGGGGAGGATTTAGTGTATTATATAGGATTGTATTAGAGTGGATTGGTTATATTGTGTGGTGGTTGGGTTGTCTGTCCTTTTTGTGTATAGTCTATGATCTACAGGAGATAGAATTCATGTGATATAAAAGGTATCATGCAATTGCTGCCTCTAATTCAAGTCAAGGTCAGGTCAGGTATCATACTCGGTTGGACGACTGGTCAGCAAAAACCGGGCCAAAACAATTGTCTCAACAAAACACACAATCAAAAAGCTAACTCCATAAAGATCCCTCTAATGGTATGGTAATTTTACAGTTCATCATGCCCGCTGGGCTCGTCATCCTCGTCCGCCGGCGCAGAGCCATACAGCTTGCTGGTGATCGGGTACGCCACGTTCGAGAGCTGCTCCTTCTGCTCCTCGAAGTCCTCGGTGGTAGCAGTGGCAGCGTTGTCCTCGAGCCACTCAGTCACCTCCTTGACGGCGTCCAGGATGGTCTGCTTGTCGTCCTCGTCGATCTGGCCACCCAGTCCGTTCTCGTCGTTGACCTGGTTCTTCAGGCTGAACGCGTAGTTCTCCAGGGTGTTGCGGGCCTCGATCTTGGCCTTGATGGCCTTGTCCTCCTCGGCGAACTCCTCGGCCTCGGCGACCATGCGGTCAATCTCCTCCTGGGACAGACGACCCTTGTCGTTGGTGATGGTGATGGACTCGGCCTTGCCGGTGCCCTTGTCGCTGGCGTGAACCTTCAGGATACCGTTGGCATCCAGGTCGAAGGAGACCTCAATCTGAGGAACACCACGGGGAGCCGGGGGAATGCCGGTAAGCTCGAACTTGCCGAGCAGGTTGTTGTCCTTGGTCAGGGAACGCTCACCCTCGTCTGTAACAGTTAGCAGGCATTCCAGGCTTCTCGGTCAAGGCATAAGACACTTACAAACTTGGATGAGGACGGTGGGCTGGTTATCAGCGGCGGTGGAGAAGATCTGGGACTTGCGGGTGGGGATGACAGTGTTGCGGGGGATGAGCTTGGTCATGACACCACCAGTGGTCTCAATACCCAGGGTCAGGGGGTTGACATCCATCAGAACAACGTCGCCGGTACCCTCCTCACCGGAAAGGACACCACCCTGGACGGCAGCACCGAAAGCAACAGCCTCGTCAGGGTTGATACCCTTGCTGGCCTTCTTGCCACCGAAGAACTCCTCGAGGAGAGCCTGGACCTTGGGGATACGGGTAGAACCACCGACGAGGACGATGTCGTCAACCTCGGACTTCTTGACCTTAGCATCCTTGAGCACCTGCTCAACAGGCTTCAGGGTCTTCTTGAAGAGGTCCATGTTCAGCTCCTCGAACTTGGCGCGGGTGAGGGTCTCGGAGAAGTCCTCGCCGTTGTGGAAGGCCTCGATCTCAATACGGGTGGACATCTGGGAAGACAGAGTACGCTTGGCCTTCTCAACCTCGCGCTTCAGCTTACCCATGGCCTTGAGATCCTTGGTGACATCGACGTTGTTCTTCTTGTTGTAGAGCTTGACGAAGTGGTCCATGACACGCTGGTCAAAGTCCTCACCACCCAAGTGGGTGTCACCAGCGGTAGCCAAGACCTCGAAGACACCGTTGTCGATGGACAGGAGGGAGACATCGAAAGTACCACCACCAAGATCGTAGACGATAACCTGGCGCTCATCACCAGTCTTGTCCAATCCGTAGGCGATAGCGGCGGCGGTGGGCTCGTTGACGACACGGAGAACGTTCAGGCCGGCAATGGTACCAGCGTCCTTGGTGGCCTGTCTCTGGGCGTCGTTGAAGTAGGCGGGGACGGTGACAACGGCGTGGGTAACCTTCTTTCCAAGGTAGCCCTCGGCGATCTCCTTCATCTTACCAAGAACCATGGCGGAAACCTCCTCGGGGGTCAGGGTCTTGGGGGTCTGGTTGACATCGACCTTGACGTGGGGCTTGCCGTCCTTGTTGACGACCTTGTAGGGGAAGTGCTTGGCGTCCTTCTGGACATCCTTGTCATCGAACTTGCGACCGATCAGGCGCCTAGGGAACGTCAGTAACAGATTTCCCCGAAACCCGCGAGGAGCAGAAAACTTACTTGATGTCAAAGATGGTCCGTCTGGGGTTGGCGGCGTATTGGTTCTTAGCGGCGTCACCGACCAGGCGTTCCTCATCGGTGAAAGCGACGTATGAAGGGGTGATACGGTTTCCTTGGTCGTTCACGAGAATTTCGACCTTTCCATTCTGCATAACACCGACACAGGAGTAGGTGGTTCCCAGATCAATACCAATGACTGTTTCAGAACAAATAATGTTAGTGTGCTTCTTTCAATATGCCTGGAAAACCCTCTGCTTACCAGTTCCGTAGCTCTCTTGAGGCGACGTCTCATCCTGAGCGTGTGCGGTGCCGAAGAAGGCGAGGGGGGCAATGAAAACAAGCAACAAGTAGAAGATGGTGGTCCAAGCCGTGAAGGGCTTGGCCGCACCCTGATGCGAGATGCGCGCCATGATGTGTGTAATGTCCTTTCACCGGAGGACACGTCGTAGACTTTTAATCGACGAGCTGCTCAATTGGAGACAGCAGCGAATGAAAGTGGGTATGCGGTAAAGAAATCCTCCTATTCCTCGTACACAGTTTTTTCCCCGGCACGAAGAAAGAAGAAAAAACTAAATACAATCCAACCCAGATGAGAACGGGAAGGAAAGGGAAGAAAGAGCGAAGGGGGGGAGGAGGGAAGGGGGAGGGAAGATAGTTGGGTGAAAGAAGGCGACGACGGAGAGAAGAAAGAGTGTCCAGAGAAGCTCCGGCCAGCTTCTTGTATGGCTTGCCAGCGGCAAAGAAAGCGCAGCGGCCATGCTGGCCTTTTCGCGGGTATCTGACTTTAAGGTTACTCCTCGGCCTGTGATTGGCCCCCGACGCGTCCAGGGCACTGCTGAGTCAGCGTGCACGGCCACCGCCCGGTGGTTCTGCCGGCGGAAAAATGGAAGGCGTTCGTCCATTTGGGGGAAGGCGGTCCACCGAACTTGCTAGAATCGTCGCGTGATTCGCTCGCTTCGGTTAGGCGTTCTTCACTCCTCCAGGGGAACTTTGCCTCTTTCGGCACTTGGACAACTGGCCGTTCCGTTCCTTCGGCGCCCTTTGCCGGGAGATTGACCCTGCTGAGTCCGGGGGTTTACGCTGAAGGATGATGAGAGGGCAAAAAAAAAAGGGGCCAGCCTGTCAAGAACTCGTCAATCACCACATGGCCAGATTCCACTGTTGACCATCATTGAGTCAAATCATTACTCCTTTTTGAGTCACAGAGATCACCCCAGGGTCTTCCGGTGGAAGAAGTGGATACATCCTCCCCACTCAGGAGGCGCATCCTAGCTTGGCCTGAATTCCTGAATTATTGAGCCAGCCAAGACCTCATGTTTCTGCCAGCCTGGCCAGATCGTTTGATCTTTGTTTCAGTTGATACGGCTGAATGGGACCCTTTCTCTCTCTCAGCCACCAAGGGTACCATTCGAGCAGTAGGAATTACTAGCACACTAGTAGCCAAACATAGTAGTCTTGTATAGTAAGATTAGTATAGTAGTAGTCACAGTCAAAGCATCATTTTCACTCCATAATATGATGATCAATACTAGTAAGTAGTAGGAGTATCAGTAGTAGTGATAGGTCATTACCAATTTGCCGATCACGATATATTATTATCGGTAGCTAGTACTACTACTATTGAATCTAGGACACCGAAGTGGCGCGGAGAGTAAATTATATATATAATGTGTAAATGTGCCTATGTAACTAGAGGAACATCCTCTTTAGATCCAATATATATATATGGTCCTCACAATGCACTCAGGCCACCATCTACTCTAGCAATCCGGCGGCCACCGTTTCACCTCCAGCTCGTAGTACAATGCGTGTGGGCGCCTCCAGAGGTACCGCCTGGTCCATCTCTACCACTATCCGTGCCACAGTACCGGGAGCAACAATCTTAGGCCTTTTCTTGATGCTTGCGCCAGTCACCTTGTCCAACGTTGCGACCAGCTGGCTGATCCGGCCGGGTACGTGCAGCCGACCCCGGTGGATGTCCACCATGCTGGGCAACAGATGGTCAAAGGCCAGCACCTTGCATGTAAAGGACGTAACATTGGCAATGGGTGCCGAGGCACGGCAAATGACATCGCCAGATCGGAGATGGATGGGATCAATGTTGACCAGGTTGAGCGTGACGTTCTGACCCGCCACCGCCCAGTCGCTGGGCTCCCCATCCACTTCCAAGCTGCGTATCGTGGCCTTTTCGCCACTAGGCATCGTGAGGATCTGGTCGCCAACCTGGAGACTACCAGCGTCGATGCGACCGGATATGGAAAGAGGATTCTGAACGCTGCCCCGGAAGACATCGCCAATGGTCATTCTCAACGGCTTCTCAATGGCATGGACGTAAGGTTCCGTGGCCTCAAGCTCCTCGATCAAAGTACGACCCTTGTACCATGAGACATTCGGGTCCTCACTGCGCCTGGTAACGTTATCGCCGCTGATACCCGAGCAAGGCACGAATGCGATATTCTTGGCTTGGAATCCAGCAGTGGTTAGGAATGAGGAAACCTGCTGTTCAATCTCCTCAAAGCGACCTTGGTCCCATTGGACAGAGTCCATCTTGTTCACAGCAATGATGACCCTCTGCACACCCATACTCCGCACGAGGAGAGCATGCTCCTTTGTTTGACCTTTCAGACCAGACTCGAAATTGCCTATGCTAGAATCGATGACAAGGACAGCAAAATCGGCCTGACTGGCGCCCGCAATCATATTGGGTACAAAGTCCCGATGACCCGGAGCATCCACGATCGTAAACACCGTACTCTCCGTCTCAAACTTGTTTGTTGCAATATCAATAGTAACACCACGAGCCCTCTCCTCGGAGCCTTGATCCAACACCCAGGCAAGGGCAAATGATCCTTTCCCGATCTTTTCAGCTTCTTTGCGATATTTCTCCAGCGTGCGCTGATCGACGGCTTTGAGGTCGGCCAGCAGGCGTCCCATTAACGTACTCTTTCCTGCGTCAACATGACCTAATCGCCTGTCAGTGGCGTCCACTACAGAGAGACGGATAGTAACGAACCGATAACGGCGAAGTTCATAGCTTTCTTCCGTTGCGTTTTCTGATACTCAGACAGCACATCTAGGTTCTTGCTCTTCACATTCACCTTCTCCTCTACACTCAGGCTGTTCATGCCTTCAGCCAAACCAGCCTGGGATTTCTTGTCACCTGCTGACTTAGAAGCAGGTTGTTTCGATTTGAAGCCTGCATGTCCATTAGGGAGGATCTATATCTTGCGCCGAATAGCCAAACCTTTTGCAGAGCTCTGAGCATTCAAGACAACATCGTCGGGGCTTGGGCCTGCAAAATCAAAGGGTTCAGCAAATTCTTGACCGTATATCTTGATGAGATCTAATGTGCTGGCAGATAGGTGGCTGGGCTCGGCCATCTTTGGGCGTGTCGCTTCTCCAACGATCGTGCTGGCAAATGTGGATGGTGGTGCACGGATGTTGAGACCGGGTTCTTCTTCCTGCTTCTTGTCGACTGACACGGGTGGTTCCAAATCTGCCTGCCCAGTGACCTCCGGACTGCTTTGTTTTCTTGGCTCTGGGGACGGCATTTTCTGGGGCGAAGGGCTTCCCAGCCGCGATCCCTTATTGAGTGACCGAAGCGATTGCAGACCCTCTGACGATTTCTGCGGCTTGCCATTGCTAGCGAGTCTCTCACGGAGAGAAAGGGCAGGGCTCTTTCGCTCAGTGGAAGATGGCCGGGAACTTTCAACTTCCGACGGAGGTGTAGGAGTTGGAGCAGCAGACTTCTCCCCCTCTTTCTTCTTGCGCGCAGCAGCCAAAGCAGCCAACTTGGACACCTTCCCCGAATTCTCAGGAGCTCCACCAAGCAGACCCAATCGAGGATATAGAGGCTCAACGAGTATGTCCGCCTTACGGTGTGCAGGTATGTTAAGCCACGGTGCATCGCGGAAGAAGTCGGCTGCTGAGAAATGTGCAGTTGAAGAGGCCGGAGGAGATAACGGAACAGGATATACAGGCACTAGGAAGTCTGTTAGAACATACTTCAACTTCCGTAACGGCGTTAGTTCAAAGCAATCAATCACAAGGGGTAAGAGTAATACTCACAGTTTACGAAACTCAGACCGAAAATACGTTTAGGTGTAAGGCAAATTGCGGGTGACCCAAGCCCAACCACCATAGTGAACACGAGCAGATGCGCTTACCTGTGCTTGCTTTTGCCTTGGCAGCCGGAGCCGGAGCCGGAACCTGTTTCTTCTTGACTTCTTTCGTCTTTTTACCTGCACCCAATGGTTCTGATTAGCATCCAGAGAAGCAGCATGCCATTCCTGCTGGAATGCAACCAATATTTCTCTTCCGGAAAAGGAGTGATAACGCACCTCTCAAGTAGTTCACAGACTTCTCAACATCATTGTAGTAGTGCCATAGCGCCTCTTGCACCTCATCGCGAGTCGCGGTGACAGGAGGGTCCCCCGCACGGAGCTGGTTCAACACTTCCGTAGTACACTGCTCAAGAAACTCTTCCTCCTCGGGATCCGGGGAGTCATAGTCATCGTCAAAGTCATCTTCGTCGTAGCTGACAGCTTTAATGCGATGGCGCGACATGCTGGTGTGTGTTGTTGACGGGAGCGGGGCAGGTTGCTAGGGAGGGGTTTTCCGGGAGACGGTAGGTTGAACAAGGGATTGGAGTATTATTCAGAGTGACAAATGAGAAAAAGCAAAGATTTAAATAAAAAGCACGTTATGTGCTTGGGTGAATGCCCTCGTGTGAAAGGGCCAAAAGTGTAGAGGGGTGAAGTTGGCAAAACAGAGAGCCGAGTCGGAGGTTGTCGTTGTGGAGGAGCTGATCGAATCCCACCACGTCATTCCCCGCTCGGTGGCCTCAGGCCGGTAAACTACTGCGAATGGCTCTTCCAATACGAATATCCTCCAGAAGCGATCTACGGCGCCTTATTTCCAAGCTACATTCTATGTGCTGCTTGTTTTTCGGATCGTCTGTTGAATAGATAAATTGGGTTATTTTCTATCTATCGAGTGACATGTGATGTCACTTCCAAATTCACTTCATGTATAGCCAACTATGACAGGACATCCAAATGTCGCCTCTATCTTGAGAACTTGTCGATATAGCAAGTCGATAACATCATATGCAAACGTCGTTAAAGATCTATACTCCGATTCAGACGGAGATGTTCACTTCAGGGGACTTCCACTGAAGAAGTCACCCGTTCCAGGGCCAGCAAAGCTGCCGTTGCTGGGCGTCAGAGCGATGGAGCGTCGGAACGCCTGTCTGGGAGTGGCTGGTGCACTAGCAGCGGCGCCGGCAACATCAGAAGTGCTGGGAGTATTGCGACCGCTGTTGTTCTGCATCGTAACCGCCGTTCCGGGGCGGGAGAGCACGGTTGGGACACCGTTCCTGGGAGGGGGTCGGAATCCAAGCTTAGAACCTTCGCGGAAGATCTCTTCCAATATTTGAGACACAATGCCTGCATCTTCGTATTCTTTAAATTTCTTCCATAGACGCAGTGCCATGCGTGCGTCTTCAATGGAGTCGTGTCCTTGGCTGTCATCGGCCGGTTCCTCTTGGATGTATTCCTTGAACACCGCCCAGGCCAGATAACGAAGGCTCAGACGGCGATTCTTTCCGGGGTGGAAGAATAAGTATTGGGTGTCCACGGTCTGGCTTTTGGGGACTTGAATGTTAACTTTGCGGAAATCAGAGGCTAAGCCGTGTCCGACAAACACGCAGCCTAAGTTGAGGAGCAGCCAGAGCTTCTTGTATGCCACCTTCAGCGGGACAAGGTTATGCTGGCTAACCCTAGGGTCCAGGTCCCCGGGCTTAATCCCTGAGTACTGAGTGACGTAATCGACGATATTCTCTTTTATGGTGATATAGTCGTCTATGAAGGGAACACCTTCTCGGATCCCTGAGCCTCTGAGAACAGACACCCTAGCAAGACCGCTCTTACTGGGGCGTACAATTTCCTGAGAGCCATCCGCTTTCACATCGATTTCTGCTTTCTCAAGATCTACAAACTCGGTATCGAGAGCAACAGGCGTACCGGGGGTGGGCTTCTCCTTTTCGGAGAGCGTGACGCGAGACTCTACCGGACGGCCACCACTGAGAAAGGGAAGGTTAGCGCGAAGCACTTGCTACTAGAAGGAGCTCAACTTACTTTAGCGACCAGTCACGGAAGAGAAGAGTGGTGTCGAGCGCGTCTTTCCAAGTATCATCCATAGCATGTCGACCGTCTTGCACCTGGTAGGCTAGCACGCACGGTATCTTCCATGGTTGATTGAAGCGGAGGGCTTCTTCTTTGTCGACTTCCGTAACGAGGAAGTCATTGAAAAGATGCCACTTGTTCTTGGCTTCCGGTTCACGAGATGAGATGGATACGTTGATGAAAGAGACTAGATGTGCCTTTTGGTGCTCTGGAATATCGATCTCACAAACCAAACCTACCAGGTCATATACCACCAGACCAGGCATCTTAGCTTGGACTCGAAGTTTCAAGTCTTCACCTTCGAAGCATAGGATCTGACCACCTTCGATGACGATTCCAACTTCTTCCGGCAACCACCCAGGAATTGCCCAAAGCCGCCGGCAGATGGGGTTGGTGAGAGCCGCATTAAGCATCAGGACCTGAGGCATGCGGTGAACTGATTTCCGAATAGCAACTTGCTGATATCGACGACAGTAGTTGCACCAGCCTCTGTTTTGCGCTTCTCGCTCAATGCTGGCCCGTAAGATATTTGAGAACCGGAAGGCAGGATTCCTGCGAGCTTGCTTGATATCGATCGCAGGATAGTTCAGCTCGTTGACAAGAGAGTTTCCCGGTCTCACAATCTCGTTCTGGCAGAACATGCAGCGAATGGACTCGGACGCGACCGTTGCTAGTCTGTGGTCTAGGTCGTCCGAGCTCGGCGAAATCATACGGAAGTCGTGCGAAATCTGACCCAGGAAGAATCTGTTGACAGCTTGAATCGCAGCCGAAAGTGACTTATTTGTCAAGTTTTCTTCAAACAGACCTAGGTTGGACGCTTCGCGATAACTGCTGAAGGTCTTCAGTAGGTTCGTTGCTTGGCAGTTTTGGCCGCTCGCTTTTTCGAGCATATCGAACAGGTAGCCCATCTCGCAGAGCAGACATGTCTCGAAAATACAAGAACTTGCGGCATGGTGGAGAGCTACGTTGCGTATATAAGGGATGAATTTGAAAAGTTGAAGGAGAGCGTTCGTGAAGGAATTTGCAATATGTGTCTCCAAACCAGAGAACGTCGTCTGATTGTAGAACCTATTCAAAGCATAAGTTGCTGTGTATCATTCCACGGAATACGAGAAAACTTACCTAAAATCGAAGTCATCGACACCAAACCTACTGTATTTGATCTCAACATTGCTGTATTTGAGGAGAGGATCATCGTCCGTTTCTCCATTGATTTTGGCACCCGCCAGAGCCTCGGCAGCGTCACTTATAGCCCCCTCTGATTTTGCCTTATTCTGCTCTCGTGCCTTTTCACTCAAAAACTTGGGAGCAATAAGAGCAGGCTCAGCAGAAGCCAGAGCGCGAGTGTTCTCCACCTGATAACGCCGTGTCTTCTTCGGATTCGGCGCATGGTGACCGAGCTCTGCCGGACGGAGATAAGGGATCAGAGCCTGATCTACCTGAGGAGGGGGACTGCCGACTTCGAAAACTAGATGACTCGGCCACGCAGAGAAAAGACGCTCGTGATAATATGGCATGCCAATCATACTCAGAGGCGTTTCTGGAGACCAATCCAGGGTAGGGGGACGAGGAGCTACATCGCCGAATTCTGCTTCTTTGCTCATCTCATTGAAATGAACCTTTGCTGGCGATCCCCATAGATGAATTGCACATTCGGCATCATTAATAGCTAATGCTTCTCCGGATGGTGACAGGTCGATACCGAGCATGAAGGAAACGTTCGCCTGGCGAAGGTTGATGGCATTCGGATTCATCAGGTCCACAACCTGAAGCTGGCCTGTCTGAGATGCAACAAAACTCGTTGTATGCAACTTCGGGTGCATCCGTACATAGGCAGCTCCGGCGTGAAAGGGTATCGGGGGTAACGGCGAAAGGGTCTTCAGGTCGTACACGTTGGCCAACGGATCGACGATCGGGGAACCCAGATGCCTGACAGAGAAGCCGCAGGTAACCAAAAGATCATTCCGAGCATCCATATCATTAACTGCAGTCCCGTGTGCTTTCCACGACTTCACCACACTGAAGTCGTTCAGGCTCAGCGCGTTGACTGAGCCCGTATCTGTCGCTGCGCAAAGGTATCGGCTCTTCTTCATGATTGTGTAGTTATACTCGGTATGCAGCTTGTCTATTATAATTCCCTTATCAATATCAATTGTAAACATCGATTTCTGACATCCTGCCACTATAATCCGGTTGGTTTGGGCTGTGAAGCTCATGCAGCGGATATCGGTCATTTCCTCATGAGCGATGTGCCATTGTGTCAAGCCGCGCCGTGTTATCATGTGCACACTTTTCGGGGAGAGCGAGATAACGCCTCTGTCATGGAAAATAATCTGCCGTACCGGCTCCGTCGCAGGATGTGCCCGGACGGAGGTATATCGCTGAAGTTCAGGGCCGAAGAAAGAGGTGATTCGTCCCTAGTGGAGTACACAAACGCTGGTCAGCACAGCCTTCGGTAGTAGCTGCAAATAATGGAAAACCGACAAATTCATTTCCCACCCACAACAACTCCATCACATCATCAAAGGCTATTGCGGTTGCGATTGTCGGCAGGGCATGCACGCTCGGTGCAGGCACCGGAATGCGCGACAGTTCATCCCAATCGGCCTCCATGGCCTTGACATCGCACCCGGCAAGGGTGACGAGCTCTAGATAGAGATGATATTCCGATTATCGCGAAGTCAAGATGTTTCAGGCAAGGCGTAAGGTCAGTCCATTGGGGGTCAGGGCGAAAGCGGGCATCGTTCGGCGAAAGCGCGAGTGCGGGGAGAAGGTCTGGCTGGAAAAGGCGTGGTCGTCGAACTCCGGAACACCAAGCACAGGGAGCAAGATTCACAAGCTGGCACCCACAAGAACAGACCCAGGCTCTCGTTTCTGGGAGCAACAGAACACGAGACAAATGGTCTCTGGGGAAGGGGTACCTTCCAGTCAGAGCTGCCGGCAATGGCTGATGAGGTACCGACGCATAATTTCACGTGACTTCAGCCCGAGCGGGACAAACATCCAGCACATCACGCCGTTGCTTCGTCACCGCCTACTGCATAAACCCTCGTACATATGTATTTCTTGCTGAGTTGCGTGATTGACTGTATTACTGACTATTCTATTAAGGTTTTAACGTTCTCAGTTACTCATAAACCAAGTTCTATTGGTATCTAGGCATTTGACAACTAATAGTCAGGACTATGCTCTTGTTGCAGACAACGGAGCACCTGGATGGCTAGCAATTTATATAGCCGGCTCAACGGGAAGACATACTACATGTCCGACATTGTACGTTGAGTAAACTGTATACTACTAGTAGTAGAAATAGGTTCGTAAGTGGCCCTCTGATATAGCAGCACGCGAATAAGAAAAGAAGGTTACAAAGTAGGTGGTGCCTTGGTATTATGATAGTCACTAAAAGACCAGAGACTTATTGGTCTTTGAGTAAGAGGTAGAAAGATTAGGGGCCCAGCTAGCAGGCTGAATCTTACAGGCGCCCATATAAGATCCATCATCCGAAGCTGGGGCTCCAGGACTATCTCTGTGTGTGTAGAAGAAGTCCGAGTAACTCTCCGCAAGGTTCTCGAGCATGCTAGATGCGTAGGTAGGAATTCAAGCCTTACAGCCCGCTTTATCACGAAACTAGTCGTTCATTTACCAACTGCAAGAGCTCAGGGCTGCAGTAAGATATGTAGCGGATCGCCATGATGACAAAGTGTCCACTATACCAAGCCAACAAGACCACTGTCTACACCTCTCCATATCTTCGCATTCGAACCACACACCCTTCCCCACAAGAAACAACCAACGTAAGAACCTGCCTCTCGTCGCCGACTCCTTTCTGCATCCCACATCCCTCCACCTGCTCAATAACCTCGAATGTCTGCAGCAACCGCATAATGGTGTACCCGACCTCTAACAAGGCAAATTCGCGTCCCAGACAAACCCTTGGTCCCCCGTTGAATGGCAAATACCCCCAGCCTACATCCTTCAACGCATCGTTCTCCCAGCGCTCGGGTCGAAATTTATCTGCGTCGGCGCCATAGATATCTCTACGCCGGTGCATCGCGTAGACGCAGTATCCTACGGCCTCGCCTTTTCGGACGAGGATCGGTGCCGTGCCTGTTGGTCCGCCGCCTGTGGGGAGGGTTGTGGTTTTGGTGGCGGCGCGCGAGTTTACAGGGACGGAGGGGTAAAGGCGGAGGACTGGGAACTTAGTGAGGATCAGGGTAGTGCGATTGGTTTGGGTAATTCGAGGTTGAAATACCTTCTTTGATGACGAGGGAGAGATACGGAAGTGACTTGAATTGGATTATAGTAGGTGCCGGCGACCTAGGTCCAATCCCGACTGTATCACTGATTTCGGCCCGCAACTTGGAAAGGACGGGAGGATGCTGGACAAGTAGACGTCTTTATTTGTTTCAAGAGTCAGCTTACTCGAAAGAATAAATCTCGGTACATCGGTCCTTACAGAGTCCAAGTGAGGCAACAAGCCGTAGTGTCCCTCCCAGCTAACAGGATATTCAGGCACTGATCCCGAAGCACTTCCGGGTTCCGGGTTTCCTCCATCAAGGCATCAATGAAGATGTACGGATCTGTCTTGGTGCCCGGAGTCTTTCTTGTAGTCGAGTCCAAGGCCTTCTGTACAGCACGGTCCACAAATTCATGGCAAGTCTTACATGCTTCTCGAAAATCCCTTCCATCTAGAAGCCAGTAGAAGTCGCCCAATCGTCCGCGTTTGGCCAAGTACTCCTGTCCAAGATTGAAAGCGTTCGCGAAGTCCGATTCCTGGTTTCTGATGCCCTCTAATTGGAGAGACGGCAGGTGTTGCCCAAACAGTAGAAAGAGGGTAGTCTCGAACGTGAGGCGAAAGAAAAGCGGCTGTAGATCGACGGCGTTGTCATCAGAAATGCTGGATATGAGATTGTCTACGGCGCTGCGTATTTGCTCAAAGTTGGTGAACCTGTTCGTCATGAACTGTGGGCGTAGCCGCTCGCGTGAGTGCCGCCACTGTGCACCATCCTGAGTGAAGATTCCACTCCCCAACAAGGGGCAGAAAGTTGGGGGTCGCAGTCCGAGTCCAAAATCTGAAGTGTCATTTGTCAGTGGTAGCAAGAAGATCCGGCGTTCAAGGTCCACTGACCAGCATATTGAGTCGACAGAAGGGCTTGTATGTTCTGAGGGTCGATAGTGTCGACTCCTCGGGAGAAAAGGAGATTTTGCTCGAACGTTGTGCCAGACTCAGTAACGACACCGAGAAAGAATTTGAGAATTTGCTGCCTACGGTCATAGTGAAATGCTTGAACAAGTAGATCCAAGCCCAGCCAAGTAGAGTTCCATTGTCTTGGTGGTAAGCATCCATTTGCGGCAGCAACTTTGTTGTTTGCCTGGGATACGAGTTAGGGAACAATGAATCTAATGCGGACAGGGTTGCTGGACAACGACTCATACTCGTAGTTCTCGCTGCTGGGCAATGAATCTATAGGCGAGTGCGCATATCAATGTTCCCACAATAAGGCTGGGAGCCATTGAGTTGAGAAATGCCATGTCGCTTGCGTGAAAGTAATCTGAGTGAAAGTGCAGTATTCCAGAGAATCACGTACTGGGTATCCAAGCTCTGAAGTACTCATATATGACCTCCCCACCTACTCTGTGGTTGCATCAGTAAGATGACTCAGGGGTAGAGCGCGTACGCCTAGGCACTCAAGGTCGCACAAACCTGTACTAGTATGAGATGATGACTCCTGGCAGCACTACCATAAGAGAGAGAAGTGGGGTTGATGCTTGCTAGACAGGAAGTCCCAACATAGTTTCACCGTTCTTTATGAAAGGCCGCGGCCCGCCTGCCTTGCCATTGTGTTTACGCGAAACGTCAGTGGCTGATTTTCAGAGTCGAGAGTGTGGTACGCGCTTAAAGAACTCTCGCGAATGTCTCTGATCATACACATTGTGGCAAATTACAGCTGCTCAATATATTCGTTCGTACACAGACGGGCTCGGGAGAGCCGGGCATGAGCACTGCAGAGCAGGCCGTCTGGGCTAATATCGCAGCGGTAGTCTCCTCCCACCGCTTTGTGAAAGTGAGAACTAAGAAATTTTTCGGAATGACGTACTTGCTTCTGTAGACTACATCCAGGCCTGTCAGGGAGTTAACGACCAGACAATCCGGGCAAATCGAACACGTCGCTGGTATGGGCTTACCCAGTGGCTTGGACCGGGGTCGAGGCTTGGCCGCGAGCAAGCCCAACGCTCTGCAAATTTCAGCAGTGTGCTTGCTAAGTCAGGATGCTGGAAGGATGCGGAAATACTACAGTTGCCTGTGAAAAATTATACGCCCCGCGTCTTGGGATTTGACCATCCTTCAACGCGGCGGATAATCTTGGTGTTAGCACAGACCTACTGGAGTCAAGGGCGTGGAGACGAGGCTGCGCAATTGCAACAGACTGTCTTGCGGGCTTGTGTCGCTTCGTAAGGTCCCATTGCCCATGAGACTCTGATGGCGAAGGATCTTCTAGGCAGACAAGATGGCAGGAAGGGCGACACACCCATGCCAGATTGCTGCAACAATATGCCGTTGACGGGCTGATAAAGCCCAAGGGTACCTTGACGGGCATGAGCAGTCTCGGTCGTATCATGGCCAAGTTTTATGAGAACCTGGATGAAGCAAAGCCACTGTTCAAACGGGCTTTGCATGGACTGAGGAAGGTACTCGGGCCAACATAGCGAGGCCGAAACCATCCTACGCAGCAGATTTTTTATTGCAGAGCGCAATCTCGGTGACAGCCACATAGGGTCCCTTCTGGGGAAAAGTCATACTAGGAATAATCCTTATCAACCAATCTAAATTTTCCGAGGCTGGTTCAACACTTCTTGACGCGATGAAACGGCTACGGCATCTGGCTTCTTATAGGGGAGACTTTCATCCGGACCGACTCGGCGCGATGATTGTGCTTGCGAGAAGCTATAAGCTTCAGGGAAGTTTTGATGCGAGCATTCGAAACTGCGACGAGGCTATTGAGGGCTTGAAACAGATCAGTGTGACGCAATATTCGTTAGAGAGGAAGCTGCGGGCCCAGAAAGAAGAGACAATTGCAATGAGAGAACAGGAAGGCCACCTTTGAGCCCAATTATGCGCTTTCGCTAAAAATGGGTGAGCTCCTGTCGCAGAGGTTTCATGATTCTAAGATCTATGTCTCTCAACCATGAACCCTTGATTGGATCATTTGTATGGTAAAGACATTTAGTGCACTGCTTCTGTTTCGCAAACGTCGGCGGTAGGCTCGGAGTTTTGAATCTGACGCGGCTGTGATCCTACGCGCCTAACTCAGCCCTAGCCCTCAACCCCCTCCCAGCTACCAAGAATCCCCAGTAGAGAACCAGTAAACAGCTGTACCACAGCGAGTAGAATCCCATCTCGTGGCAGTTTCCTGTCATCTCAGGGATGAGCTCGATGCGTCTTTCCTATTGTACGCTGCTATTGATGCCGTACTCAAGCTTATATAAATAAAGACTTGGCGACATTTTGTCTAACTACTAAATCTGAATGTTTCTGCTAGCGACCGCAGTAATCAATGCCGAGTGACATCAGCAGTGTCCTGTGCATCAAACCCGAGGTCAACTGGCAATACCGAAGATAGATAATATGATGGGAAGAGACGAGCCTAATCTTGAAATGGCTCGTGAATACTAGGGTATAGCCCGGGCTCTTAGGTCCCACTGCTAGATTACCTAGCTCCGCGCCATAGCCCCCTAACAGTATGGACCTTCCTCGGCGCCTTGAGTACATATGCTACAACGCCAAACAAATAGAACATGTTCTTATACAGGAAATTTTGGCAGGTGTCAGGAATTTTTCAGACAATAGGCAGGTTTATGCTTGTTACGTGGCTTGCATTGCAGGCGCCTGCATTTACAGATCGTCGAGGAAAGGCGGGCCTCATAGGGGCCAAGCTTTGAAAGGAAAAGCTTGGTCAACAGATCGCCCCTGGCACTAAATGCAAAGAGGAATCGCCTCTGGGCTTTGAAATTACCCGGATCATATCTTCTGAGAAGCCACTATTGGCACACTAGTTCGTTCGTGACTGTGCCCTTCGGTGGTCCGGCGGCTGTTGTCGGAGAATATGACGCCGCAGGGGCCGCTCCACCATCTCAAGTGATGATATAATGGCTACATGGTAACCCGGCTACGAAGGTTTGATTTCGCATCAACCGATAGTATATTAGCCAAATGCGCAGGCCTGGGACTATGAAAGCTGTCCTGTGCAGCCTGGCCTTCGTGGTCGGAGTTGCGGCCAAGGATGATCCGGACTATGACCCATCCCTCAATTTTCGACCCAAGAATGTGACCCTCAGCATCCTCGATTACTGGGTTGGATCGTGAGTTTCTGGATGACACTGAGCTGTTGCGTTGACGCTGACTGCGCAGGTACTATAACGGTACCACAGACGTGAAATTATCGTTTTACACCGGGCTGGCTGCCAATTGGAGCCACCTGTGCCCCAATCTCATCAACACAACGGTTACCAAACAGTATAATAATTCCGTGCTGGGCCTTACAGAGCCCAGCTCCTATAATGTTGGCTATGACCCAGTGAATGCTTTCTTCACCATGTGGCCTCGCAACTTTAATTTCTCCACATTACCTGACCCAAGGTGGTCCTGGGAATCAATACAATATGACGCATCTTTGAAGTTCGCTTTGTTCTCATCTGAGTGAGTGATTCCACCCACCAAAATCAGAGACGTCTCGGCTGATAGTCCCTAGTCCTACATACTGGGTGGGGCCCAAGGTGTCTAACAACTTCAACTGGACACTCAATGCAACACAAGGCCCACCGTACAGTTTATCAAGTACCCTCACCGATTATGACCCGCTTGGGGGCTGGGCCTCCAACTTGGCCAGTTGCAACGGGAGTGACATCGTCGAGTGGACCTTTTACCCGACTCCCTGGGATATCATGGGGAATGGACTTTACCTGCCAGATGCGGTGCTTGATCTTCAGTTTGACGAGAAGACTGCTAACCTCTCGTTAAATGGCTACTTCATCGGCTATCAGGCAGTTAAGGTAGGTACAGAGACTCTTAGCACTGGGGTCCTCGTAGTAGGCAAGATGAAACTATCCTTCTTGGGCGTCTTGGATGCCTATCATTCAGATGTCCTGGCCAATAACACCGCTACGCCGACTTGGCTGCGCACTGTGGGATTCCAAAATAATTCTTTAAATGTTGGATACACTAGCACAGCAAGCAGTGTATCAAAGGGAAGAGCATTTCTTGCTACTATCACTGCTTTGACGGTGATGGTTGGGTTTGTCTAGACGAGGATTATCACTCTGGCAACTTCGTCGCGGTTATAAAGGCTCTTGAGCCTGCACAGCCAACTTCAGGATGATCACTCCGACGAGGAATGGATCTATCTCAATATGTAGTAACAAATATGCAGGAAATAAGCAAATATGAAGTTTGAAGCATCGAGTGTAGGTATCTGCTCCAGTGATACGGTTAGAGTGTGGTACATACAACAGTGTAGACCGATGAAGTGGTACTGAATATCTTGCTACTACTCGAGTGCTCCAGCTTAATACGGCTGCATGGGAGACAAGATGCTGCATGCGAATGCAACAAGTGATAAAGACTACAATATGTTGCTACTAGCCAATATAAAGATAATTAACGTATATTTTTGAACATACTTGCAGCAATAACTGCACAAGAGTATTAGCTAGATAGGAGCAAGTCATGACCCAGATTTAGGCCAGGATCACGTAGGCTCGAATTATAGAGAGACGATAATGAAGATATCAGATAGAGACTCCAACTACACTTTGTCTAAGTCATCGAAAAGGGCAATAGAGTAAGTTAATATACTCAGGTTCGAAAGATAACACTTAGACTCTAAGCCATGTATATTGCTTACTATTTATCTTTAGTAATTCTCTTGTAAGTTATCTGCGGCTTTGTATCAGTTCTTGTTCATTTATCCCAGCATGTCATAGGTGGCTCAGCTAACATTAGAGCCACACTCCTGCTTTGAAAAGTGGAGTATCTGTCTACTAGCTAGCATGTCATACAGTTGGTTCAACTGGTCAGACACTGTGAAATGACTTTCGGATTGAACGGGCCGTAAACCATAGCATTGGACCTTCCTATCCGAGATGAATGTGAGTTCAGTTGATACCTGGCTCTTCTTCATTCACTTTCTTATCTTCTTCCTCTGCTCCCCTCCGGCCAGCGGAAGTCCGAGGTCAATCTGAGCAACATCGGAGATAAGTGACTATTGCGTATTAGTCCAAGGGTCCGGGCTCTGGGGCCCCACTGCTAGACTGTCTAGCTCGGCGCCACAGCCCCTATTGATTTTCTCTGACCCCTTGGGGGTGAAATGAATACATTCGCCGTGGAGGCATTTTGTTGTATATAGAATTATAGTAGATCTCTTGTAAAACAGACAGTACGATATACTTGATACTGGGTGGAATGTCAGCCTGCATTTACGGATCGCCAAATAGAGGGAGGCTCATAGGAGTCAAACATGAAGGGTGAAAATGGGGTCAATGGATCCTTGCTGATACTAAAACACCAGAAAAGATCGCTTTAGCGCACTGGATTGCCCGGACAAACACCACTCCAGTAGACCACTATAGGTGGTCTGATTCGTCCCTGCTGTACTACTCAGTGGTCCCGACGGCTAATCATCGGGGAAAATGTTGATAGCGCATCACCATCGTTTCTACTCTATCGCTCACTTATTGAATTGCTGATTTTTGAAAGCCTGATCTATGATTATGTTATGCTGAGAAGCCTGCGTAGGTAAACACATCACCTGACCTCATGCCGTTGTTATCCTACGCTTTACCTTCCTCTATCATTGCTTTTAGACTTGACGCGCCGCCTGCATCACACCATCAACAACCCGATATTCCATGACATGTTGCTTTCGGGATCCGGCCCAATGAGAGAAGTATAGCCTCGGAATAATGCTAAACTCGCAGCTCAGGAATCCAGTCGCTCCACTGTCGCAACCACACTTTCATCAGCGATGCATCCACCGGACCCAACGCTCGCAAAGCTGCACTATGCTTCTGAGCATTGGTGGTGTCCGCAGGAGGACGTATCCAACCCTCAGATTCAGCTAGTGACGTGAAGAATCCTAGCAGCGATGCCGCAGGAATTTTCCGCTTGACCTCCTCGTTGAGATTCGGGTCAGATAGCCGGTTCGTGAGGTTTTTCACCCATACCCTGAGCGGAATAATCTTGGTGGAACAGGCTTGGCTGATAATCTGTGCCAATGGCTCCCAGTGACTAATATGTGGGTTTGTGATATGATAGACCTCTCCATGGTTCGACTCTGTGGAAGCTAGTCGACCACTATGTCTCCCGCAGCCGATTTGGACAATGCTCCGAGCAGCAACATCCTACAGAATTAGTACACTACAGATTTCCTAGGAACATATTCGGGAAGTGGCTCACATACAATGGGCACCCAATCCACTGGGATTGAACCAATACTGCCAGGCAGCTCTTTCATCGTCTGAGATGTTCGTACCAGTGCCGGAAACCAGTCTCGCGTCGTCCACATTCCTGCCTCAGCATCTGCAGGTCCTCCCAATTGACCAACACGATGAATAGCAATTGTCTGCTGAGTTTCCCTCGCGACGAGGTCACAGAGAACTTCTGCTGCGTATTTCGATTCTGCGTAGCCTTGACTCAGTACTGTTGACGGTCCATGCAGTGTTTCTGCAATGTGATCAGTTTCAGGCAGGATGGTAGAGCGACCACTAACGGCCGCGATGGAAGAAATGAAATGGAATGCTGCCTGACGTGCCGAGCCCTTGATTAGGTTGAGAAGCCGTCCCGTCCCTTCCAGTTGAGAACGGAAGCTGGACAATGGCAGATTGAAATTCACCATCCACGCATTATGGAATATGATATCTACTCGCTCCCGCAAGTAACTATATTCCTCTTCAGTTAGCCCAAGCCTTTCCTGGCTCAGGTCAGCCTGCCAGAATTTGACTCGAGAAGATTCCACGAGCCAGCCATCAGCTAACCGCTTTTCACGGAATTTAGCGAGCTGTCGGGTTTCCGCATCTGCCGAACGATTGAGGCAATATACTTGTGTGATGGTCGGATCCTGCAGCAGCTCCTCCAAGAGATAACTGCCAAGTTCGCCAGTCGAACCGGTCAGAAGGACCGTCTTTCCGCGGAGCTGAAGGCTCTGTGCCTGCTGCCAGATTGCGTGTGTCAATCGATGCTCTCGTGACCAAAAGCTCACTGCGTGTTTCTCGCCTTCCGCTCCAAGATGACCACCTAGTTGTCGAAACAGCGTACTTGCGAGGCGCTGGACCGTGGCTTGCTCATAGATGGCTGCACTAGTCCACAAGATAGATATTTGCTTGGTTTGACCCATGCGATCGGCCGCATCTTGCAGTACCTGGGCGAGTCGAACTACCTGAAGGGAATCCATCCCTAGAGTGACAATGTCCACATCTATATCCACAGTAATGCCACCCAAGATCCGAGAAACGGTCTCTTGTAGCCACTGCTCAATGCCTTCCATAGTCGACTCTTGCAATTTTTCCACGTCGCGGGTAGAGCCTTCGTACCCTGTTGCATCACTATATAATGCATTGATAACATCCTCATAGAGCTGAGCTGTTTCTCGCCGGCGAAGGGACCCCTTAGGGGCCAGCGCAAATGGCCGATCACGAGAGGCAATTGCGACACGATTATGATGGATTTGTCCGTGGGCAGGCAACAAGCCATTGGCATCCTTCATGAGGGGCTCCAGAGCCTGCTTCAGCCATTGTGGGGTCCATGTCTCCGGGAGCTCATCCCAATTAGGTTGAACCAGCAAAGTCACTTGGAATCGATCCTGGCCGAAAATGGCAGCGCGATGGACTAAGGAATGGGACTCAAGATGGTGCTCGGCATCAATAGGGTTGAGCTTTTCGCCGTTGCTTAGAACAATTATGTCATCTGCCCTCCCCTTTGACCGCCACAGGTGCGGTTTTGTTGGATGAGGTTCAAAAAGATCACCCGTTTGATATTCGCTAAGATGTGGAAAGGCGTGAAATATGCCATGATACCGACGGGACGAAGGTCGAGGGATGACCAACTCCCACAGTCCATCACCGACTTCCTCCATGCGATGTTCGAAGGCGGGATTCCATTCGAAGCATGCCCAATCCGCGGGGTCTTCACAGAGAAGTGTTGGTGTGTAACCGGTCTCACTGCTACCCATCAATGTCTGCAGGCGAAAATGGGATGAAATTGCGTTCCCCGTGGCGCTTGACAGTGGTGCGCCACCAAAGTTCACGGAAGACAAGCCCTGCAGCGCCTGTCGCCCCTTTTCAGACGACCAAAGATCCTGCAACGCAAATGGAGCGATTAAACACCATCGAGGTGGGTTGGGAGTCGCCATAATCCGTGAGAAGAGATCCGGGGTTAGAGGTCGATCTGGGGACAGCAAAAAAGGTGTCTCGTAAAATATGCATTCACAAACGCATACTATGCCAATAAAGTGGAATAATGGTCCGTGGCAGAATCGCATCTCACCTTTATGTCGCAGAAACAACTGGGCGGATTCACGACCCTGAGGCACGGGAAGAGTTTGCATCTGATCTATCGTTGCTAGATACCCATGGGTAAGAGTTACCGGTTTGGGGAGACCCGTAGTCCCCGAGCTGTGGATTATGATAGCTGGACGGTCTTCTATATCTGCGAAATTCTCTTGATGGGGATATGGTGTGACAGGAGATGCTGCAAAGACATCCCCAACGGGATCCATGCGCCATCGTTGTAACCCAAGATCAGAACAAGCGACTTCAACCTGGTCGACAACTTTCTTTAGCTGGGGTCGCTCGCTACCATCCACAAGCACTGAGCAGCTCGTTTTTAACAGCAAATGATGAAAGGCTGCCTGTGAGTTGCGAGTGGATAAAAGTAACGCCTAAGCCTATCAGTCAGAAACAAGCATCCATACTGTGAAACAGGCATCTCCAACTAGGAATGTGTGAAGGTCATACCGCATGGCCTGTTTTCATGCAAGCCAGCTCAAAAACCAAGTATCGCAAGTCAATCGTTCCGATATAGGCAAGAACCTGCTGCTTTCTTCCAGAAATCTTGCTGTCAATCCACCATGATACACGGTTCACAGCAGCAGACAGCTGCTGGAACGTTATACAACGCCATTCACAATCGGCATCCTGGGAGCTGGGGTGCAGACAGTACAAGCGATCAGGCTGATCCTTCGCTTGTTGATCTACCAGCTGAGTTAAAAGCCGTCCTGAACTATCAGCGGAGCCCATGTTGCTGTCTATACAATCCTCTGATGCTGCTAATGCGTTTTTTTTTTTTTTTTTTTTTTTTTTTTTTTTTTTTTTTATTATTTTTTTTTTGTTTTTTTTTTACCAGTGCGCTTTTTTTTTTTTTTTTCTTTTTTGCTGTTTTTTTTTTTTTTTTTTTTTTTTTTTTTTTTTTTTTTTTTTTTTTTGCAAAAGAGACGTTTTAGACTAATTTATATATTATACTACCCCACTCCATCATTCCGCAGGGAAAACCACAGATACGTGACTTACATCAACCGTGGTATAGACTCGATGATCGCCAAATTCAGATGGCTGCAGCCTTCATCCCTTGCAGTACGAGAAACGTTCTCGCTACACTCTGCAGATCTGCCCTATTCTGCAATTGCAGTGGAGATCCTGTAGACCTGCATATAGAAGGCATGTCTGACGTCAAGGACTTTCCTTTCTCGACTTCTTGCGACTTGCTCCAGCCGTCTATAACAGGCAACGCTGACATAGCATACATGTACGCAAGCTGGTGTCACTAGGGCAACTTTTAAAGGGGCGAACGCTAACTCCGTGATAACTACGACGAGAACTTATAGGATTACGTCACGATAAGCACAGTGCAATCGCATCTCGATTACCTTTATGCGAATACCAGGCGGCAGATAGTTGGGTGAACGATGCATTAGAGTAATGGTAATTGGCTCTTCGCCACAACCCATTCCACGGCAGAAAGCATTTGCTTTAACTCTGGCCCTGATCGTGGGATGTCATGACCAGCCGAATGTATGATTGGCCTCCGAGTATTCGAGTCACAAAGACACTCGACGAGGAGGCCACAATCGTCCAGACCTGGCACATCGTTCTTTCCACGCAGGTGGAGAGAAGGAATTGATATACGTGTCGGTACTACATCTGGGTGCAGGGCACATGGGATAAGCTCAAGCGGGCGGTCGAGGAAGAAAGGCACCGATTCGCGTGTTATAGAGTGGGCTCCCTTGATGACTTTAACCAAACTCTCGGTCACAGAGCGAACCGGCTCCGGAAGCTGTGCAATCTCTTTATCCTTTCCGGAGCGGAGGCGTTGCTGGTCCGCTGACGAGAGAGTTCCGAGTACAGACCGACAATAAGCTTCATCCGCGGCGCACGGAATCGTGGGCGAATAGAAGATTGCGAAACGAAATGGTGGGGGCTCATCTGGGTATGCCGTTTTGTGCTCGAGCAGGAACGAAACCGAGATTGCAGCTCCTTGACTGAACCCCAAAACTCCGTCAAAAGGGCCATGCTCATCAATAGCCTCTTCGATCAAGGCATGGGCAGCATCGATTGACCCTGCGTCAAACGACCGCGTCCAGCAGTAGTATGGAGGTGGAAAAGTGCTCCCAATATCTATATTCGGTTGATGAAGCTGATGTTTAGCAACAATTGATTTGCGATAAATGACTGACAAACATACCTGGAGCAGGCGGACATTCAACTTCAGCTGAGAGAAAATGAAACTCCCAGCTTGGGTCAGCATCTCGCATCAACCCCGAAAGTTGATATCGCAGAATATTAGGCCCCGTGCCGTAGCCATGTAGGCAAAGGATTTTCATTCTGATTGCTGCTTTTGGTGCGGTATTTCACCAGTAGAAGATGCGATTGGACACGGTTGGACAGGCCAGCAAGGCTGTTTCGAATCGCATCACTTTGCTCACCCTACCAATGGATTTTATAGGGCTCCAAGACACTCGTGTCGGGCTTCATGGCCAAGCAACCAGTACCATGGCAGAAATAATCATACTTTGTAAGTTAATTGCCTAACAAGGATGTCCTTGCGGAGGCTGACGTTCTCTATGATGTGGGTATCGAGGTCAGCAGATAGATGCCTGATCTAGTTTCATGGGAAGTATGCAGGAAGACCATATTGTTCACAAATCATAGGCAAACTATGTTTGAAGAGAAGTTACAGCGACGCTGATTTATCGTTTCACGACGCCAGGTGGTGACACAAACGTTGTCGATCACAGCCGTATGACCATGGCTCGCCCCACGGATATCATCGACTGAATTAGTGGCATTCCAACGACCTACTGATTATGGTACAGAGTTATTGAGGAGGCAAGTGAGCCGGTGAGTTACTACTACGAACATTATCTCGCCGTTCTGCGCAAACTCTAGGATGTTGCTGATACAGGAAGCCAATACATCTATCCATTTAAGTTCTATTATCTTCCTGACAAGGGCGCTCACGGGCACTTGGCCCTTGCGTGCGATCTCCACTTGTGGGAATTCCGATGAAAAACCTCCGGCGGATCTTATTGGGCTGATGTCCGTACAGTCTGCATAGCAACTCTAATCATCCAATGATATCGCAGTATGTCTACTTGACGATCTCGAAGGACATTAAGAAAGGTACAAATCGGGAGATACTATTCCTGTCTGATGGATGGACCCGCTATTGCCGAGTCTACTCAGCTTGATCCATTCTTCAAAACCCCCTTGTACAACCTGGAATACTAAAAGGTAGGTGGTGGTTAGCCTCATGGCTAACCTGGAATTTCCAGCCTCGCAGTTTCTCAAGTCTCATCGACAATATACACCAACTTAGAGGCCCGCACCTTGCCTCTCCGCAGCCAATCCAACCCCGAAGTAACGCCAGCCAGACCTCCAGGCTTGACCTGGAACCGAGGAGAAGCGATTTGGCGGGTCTGCAGGAGAATTTCAACGGCATTCACCCATTGAGTCCCGTACGAGAGGTTCTCTAGCTGAGCCTGGACTTCTTTGCCCCCCATCAGATACGGCTCCCCAATCATATCATATGCCATGGAAACATGAGTATCAACGTCGCCTCGAGGACAGCGTACGTCCAGTAGTGCATTGTAACAGCCCCCGGAGGATGAAAGGGCAGCAGCACATATAGCAGCCGACTGATTAGTGGAGATTGTATCGAAAGCTAGCTCAAGGGTATCATCGGTAACCTCGCGGATCTGGTCACCTACATGAGGATCGTGATAGTCGAGGACGATATCCACACCCAGCTCATGCATCCAGGCACGATTAACTTCTGAGCACGTTGTGATGACGCGCAGCCCCGATAGCTTTGCAAATTGGATTGCGAGAGAGCCTGTCGAGGTTGCACCACCGTAGATCATGATGCTAGGGATATCCTCATCATTCCCCTTCTCGTCTCTCTGCAGATCCGTGATCTTATCATCGCATACCATTCCAGGGTCAGTCAGCTGCATGGACTGATACAGATTCTGACCGATAGTCATCATGCCGACGCCCAAGCAAGCGGCTCTGTCAATGCCCATCCATTCCGGCACCCTGAATTGTATGTCCCCTTTCGCGATGACATACTGCGCAAATGCACCTCCCTGAGGCTGCATCACGTTACACCCGTGCACAAAGCCGGCAACACGGTCCCCCTTCTTCCAAGGCTTCGTGACTCGTGGTCCGATAGCCTCGACGACACCGGCGTAGTCACAGCCGACGACTGTTCCTGCGCAGGAGTCGAAGTCAACGTGTTTCCAGTCCGTTGGGTTCAACGCCACTATATTCTTTCATCAACTTGCGCCCAGATACTAGAAATCAGGTGCACACTTACCTGCTTGGGTCTTCACCAGGATATAGTCATCAGGCAGGGCGGGTATTGGCACATCATCGGCCAAAGTGACTTGACCACGCTTTCGGACAATGACAGCGCGCTGAACAGCCATGATTCTTGCCTCTAGTAAGTGCTAACCTGCAAGTGTAAACTCAAATCACTGTGGGATAGTGGTTCGGAATGCATCAGACCCTTGATATGAAATCGAGACCCAGCTACTGAGGGCACCAGTCAGCAGCCTTACCACTTCTATATAGCAACAGATTTTGTGGATCCGCTTGGCGCGATGACGAGATCTTTTTTCAAGGAATCGCCTCAATAGAAAACGACTACGACCAGTCCTGATCCAGCAACGACGATAAAACATAGTTCAAGTACTCAAGAATAAATCTGGACCACAACTAGGTAGTGGTCCTTGCATCATCGGTCGCTCAATTACCCTTCTTGGGCTCCTGTATTACATGCCTGAATGGTTGATGCCGCGGCCGTTCTAACAGCAGTTCGCTTTAACGTCACTTTTCGAAGTCAAATTTCATTATGGAAGTAGTATATTACTTATATATCGAAGCTGATAGAGGACCCAGGCCGAGAGCTAGAGCAAGAGTTATTCAAAGGAAAGCCAGGGAAACGGTTTCATACACTTGAAGTCGGATTGAACAAACAAGCTATCTTATGACATCAATCACAATGGAAGAGCAAGCCAGAGACACTTCTGGCCCAGAGCCAATTGCGATCATTGGCATGGGCTGTCGCTTTGCAGGCGAAGCATCTTCTGTTGAAGGATTCTGGGACATGCTGCGCCTAGGTCGAAGGGAGCATGGGCGTGTTCCTGCCAGTCGTTATCAAGCCTCCGCCTGGGAACATCCCAGTCACGAGCGCAAAGGGGCTGTATGTTTTTCATTGATTTTAGCCGCTTCAGGATGAAACTAACCACGAGGTTATGATCTATCATTAGATCAATCACGACAGTGGCTTCTTTCTAGCCGAGGATCCATCCCGCTTTGATGCGCCCTTCTTCTCCATCACGTCCAAGGAAGCTGCAGGCATGGATCCTGTTCAGCGTATTCTGCTTGAAGTGGCGTATGAAGCTTTTGAAAATGGTAAGTAAGTTCTGCACAGAGTCGCAGGGAATGAATAGCTGAGTCACGAACCCAGGCGGCGTTCCGATGGAAACCCTCCCCGGTAGTGCAACCGGCGTCTATAGCGGATGCATGACCAATGACTACGAGCTGCTTTCAACCCGAGATATAATGGACATGCCACATAACTCGGCTACGGGTAATGGGAGAACTATGTTGGCTAACCGACTTTCATGGTTCTTTGATCTTCGTGGTACCAGTATCATGATGGACACGGCTTGTTCATCTAGCTTGACGGCACTGCATTTGGCTACCCAGGCACTACGGGCAGGCTAATGTAGCCAGGTAAGTAAGCCGTCATATGCGATCTGATGACGACTACTGATTGTTGTAGGCGCTGGTGACCGGAGCAAGCCTGATATTGCATCCGAGTTTTACCCAGCGGTTGTCGTATATGCATATGCTCAGTGCAGATGGTATCAGTCACTCTTTCGATAGCAAAGCTAATGGGTACGGTAGGGGTGAGGGATTCGGTGCAATCTTACTCAAACCCTTGTCCAAGGCCATGGCAGACGGTGACACGATCAGAGCAATCGTTCGCGCTACTGGATCTAATCAGGATGGACGTACCCCGGGAATCACCATGCCGAATGCAACCGCCCAGGCTGATTTGATCAGAGCGACCTATTCTCAAGCTGGATTGTCGATGGGAGATACCTCATACTTTGAAGCCCATGGGACTGGGACAGCTATTGGTGTTAGTATAAGACTCATTGTTCCGTGATAAGGTACTAACAACGTCACGTAGGATCCTACTGAACTGTCTGCTATTGGAGCAAGCTTCGGAGCCGCGCGAACGCCAGGTGATGAGCCAGTTTACGTCGGATCCGTCAAAAGTAACCTAGGGCATACCGAGGGTGCTGCGGGCGTGGCTAGTATTATCAAGGTGGTTCTTTGCTTAGAAAAGGGGATGCTGGTTCCTAACGCAGGCTTCTCGAGCCTGAACCCTAAGATTCGACTGGAGGAATGGGGCTTGCGCTTAAGCAACAGCACCACACCGTGGCCATCTCATTTGCCGCAACGTGCGAGCATCAACTCTTTTGGCTTCGGTGGTGCCAACGCACATGCCATTCTCGAGAGCACAGCTCAGTATCTTGGTAAGACACAAGCTCCGTCCGACTCTACCATAGAAGGGACACCCCAGGTTGTTGTGGTATCCACGCATGACCAGTCTGGGTTAGACCGTACGGCCGACAAATGGACGAGTTTCCTTAATCCGTGCGTCGATGGTAAAAGAAAAGACATTGCCTTGTTAGATGTAGCACACACTATGGCTACACGGCGATCCCAGCTTCCGTTCCGCAGTTTTGCTGTGGTGAACTCACTAGCAGAGCTGCGAAATGTGATGGCCGCAGGCTTGCCCACTTTCCCTCGGGCGAGCCGTAAGAACCAGACGCACCTAGCGTTCGTTTTCACGGGCCAAGGTGCCCAATGGCCACGCATGGGTGTCCAGCTATTGGCAAACCCAGTGTTTGCGGCCAGTATGGAACGAAGTCAGCAGGTGCTGCAGAGCTTGGACTGCTCGTGGGATTTGCTCGAGGAGATCCGCACAGGGGCGACAACAAGCCGTATCAATCGACCCGATCGCATTCAGCCTTCTTGCTGTGCTTTACAGGTGGCATTGGTAGACATGCTCCGCAGCTGGGGGGTGACTCCTAAAGCAGTGGTAGGCCATTCCAGTGGTGAAGTCGGTATGTCTCTCTCGATTCGTCCAACTCTTGTCCACGAAATGACTGATTTGTGTTCCAGGGGCCGCCTATGCGGCCGGCTATCTTACACATGAGGATGCCATCCGAGTCACGTATTTCCGCGGTGTACTGTCTCAACGGATTGCTGAAAGTGGGTGCCGTGGTGGTATGCTCGCTGCCGGCATCTCCGCCGCTGATGCGCAGGAATATTTGCAGACCTTACCCCCGGAGTCCGTGGTGGTAGCCTGTGTGAACAGCCCATCGAGTGTCACTCTTTCCGGCAATATAGAAGAAATTAACCTGCTTGAGAAGCGCTTGCAAGCGGATGGCTGTTTTGCGCGCAAGCTGCGCGTAGACACTGCGTACCACTCACCGCATATGAGAGCGTTGGCTGATGACTATAAGGCAGCCATTGAATCCATTCAGCCAGTCGACAGTTACAATGGTTCTATATCTATGTTCTCGTCTGTCACGAAAGAGCTCTTGCAGGCAACGGATCTGGACGCGTCATACTGGGTGCGCAATCTGGTCAGCCCAGTCGAGTTTGCTGCAGCAGTCACCAAAGTTGTTACCATGACCGAGGCTGGCAGAGGGCGAGGGAGACGACGAGTGGTCCCAGTCAAATGGGCAGGATTCTTGGAGATTGGCCCACACGAAGCTCTTAAAGGGCCGTTCAACCAGACCCTGCAGGAAGCCAATGCTGATTTGGCTTCCACTCCTTACAGGAGTCTGGTGCTCCGCAAGCAGGATTCTCGACAGACAGCCCTCCAAGCTGCCGGGCTCCTGTGGTGTTTGGGCTATGCGATCAACCTAGATACAGCAAATCAAAGCTTTCTGGAGAGCAGAAGGCCACAGGTGAGCCGAGACCTTCCATCTTATGCTTGGAATCATCAGTCCACCTTCTGGCATGAGCCATTGGAATCAGCCCGGCTGCGACAGCGCAAAGAACCCCGTCACGACCTCCTCGGTGTGCCTTGGGACTACCAGAACGAGCTGGAGCCGCGGTGGCGTAACTTCCTGCGGGTGTCGGAACTGCCCTGGCTTGCGGACCATGTGGTCGCTGGCTCTATAGTATATCCAGCAGCAGGGATGGTGTCCATGGTCGCAGAGGCAGCCCGTCAGCTTGCAGACATTACGAAGTGGTTAGAGGGGATTGAGTTTTACGATTTGGACTTTTTCCGGGGAGTTGTAATTCCTCCAGACGAACGGGGGCTGGAAATAGTTCTCCATGTCGCGCCGCATCACGGCATGAATGGATGGTACGAATTCGGCATCTTCTCCTTGCCCGAGAGCTCCTCCTGGGTTCAGCATGCGAAAGGTGCTTTTGCTCCACGGTATGCTGATGAGGATGGAGTTGGATGTGCTGCAGACTGGCAATGCACTGTACAACGGGTGCGACAGACGCAAGCTTTGGCAAAGAAGGCTGAGGTCGAGGCCGTCTATGAATGGCTGTCAGAAACGGGCGGCGTCACTCTAGGGCCGACCTTCCGGTCCATGGCTGGTGTAGCTTTTGACTCGGAGTCTCGTCTGTACGTTACTGGAGTTGCACCGAACACCAAGCAGACGATGCCATATGAGCGTGAATCTCCATGTCTTGTCCATCCCACCTCTCTGGATAGTCTCTTCCAGGCTGCTGTGGTGTCATGCTCAGATGCCCTGTCCAATCACAATGCCAATATCCCCGTGGGAGTAGAGCGCCTTTATCTCTCCACGGCCTTCTCCTTGCAGCCTGGTGATCGATTCGATGTCCATGTCGAGACACGCTATGAGAACGGCGTTTCTTTCACGGAGTCCATCGCCTCGGACCCATCCTGGCAGCAGCCTGGGGTGGTTCTGCAAGGGGTGCGATTAGGTCGCGTGCCTACGCGGTCCGGCAGCTCGACCAAAGAGGAGATCCAGCAAAGCCGATTCTCGACGCTTCATTGGGCTGAGCACGTGGATTCTTTCGGTGGTCTAGAAGGCCGTTGCTCTGGTGGTCTGCAGAGCTGGCTTGGCCGGGTCTGCCACACTCATGGAGATGCTCGTGTCCTTGCGGTGACTACCAAAGACATAGGTCCGGTGGTTGAAGCTCTCAAAAAATATGCGCCAAAACGCAGTCATCGGCCGCGACCCCAAAAGCTCACCATTGTGCTATCTGACCCTGACACAGAGGTATCAACGAACCAGGTTAAGGTCATTAAAGAATCCCTAGATGGGTGTCAGGTTCTGCCAGTTGCCTCATTGCAGGATATAGGCACGGACTTGCTGGGCGAAACCGCCTATGATGCGATCATTGTTGATCATCCCGATGTCTGGAGTGAAGATAACACAGATGCATTTTTCGACTCTTTTCTTTCTATTACTAGGCCGGACTCTTGGATTGCCGCTCGAGCGACTGCTGAAAACCACGATGCGGCCATTCGCAATGCGGGCCATGCGGACTGGGAAGTACAGGGCTCGATTGAACAGCCCGGCTATCTTCTCATCCGTCGTCAACTTGCTCCGATTGAGTTGGATCCCACTATCTACATATTAAGCAGCGCAGCGGCTGAGTCGGTCGGTCCTCTCTTGTATGAGCTGGATGGCGTCGTAAGCAAACTCGGTTCTAAGATTGAGCTGGTGGATGTCGATAAAGCTCCCGATCTAAAGGAGAAAATGATCATCTCACTGCTCGAGCTAGATCGTCCATGGACAGTGAATTGGACGCCCGATGAGATATCACGCTTTCAGTCGCTGTTACAGGCAAAGTGTCTCCTCTGGATTTCACAGTGCCCGGGGCATGAGGCGTCCGGCTATGCAGGCTTCGGGGCTACGACTGGAATTTTGCGAACCGTACGCAATGAAAATCCCCATATCGTGCTGCCTCAATTACTTGTGTCCGGAAAGGATAAGGATCCTCACAATTTGGCGCGCAGTATCGCACACGTGTTGCAGCTAACATTGAAACCTCGGTCACGGCCACACGACTGGGAGTTCTATATGCAAGACAATCGTCTGCTTGTGCCGCGGGCTATCACGGCTCGTGCAGTAGATGAGAGCATGGATGCTCTCTTACATGGCCCGCGCCCTACGCTAGCAGAGCTCGCGCAGGACTCGAGACCGCTGCGCCTCTGCACTAAGTCGCAGGATATCAGTGACGCCCGGTGGGAGCTGGATGAACCGTTGAATTCGGCCTTGCCCGATGATTTAGTTGAGGTGCAGCTACATAAGGTGTCCATCTCTGAGCCCGCCAGTAAGAGCGGTCTCTCTCCGGAGGCGCGTATTGCGGCCATAGAAGCAGTCGGAATTGTTCGCCAGGTTGGATCGTCTATTGGCTCAGAATTCCAAGTGGGAGACGAAGTCTTGTGTGCCATACCCAGTGATGCGTGGCCCAGTGCTTTAACTACCCATGTTCGCCTCCCAGCAAGTGCTATCTGGAATTCGCCATCACAGCAGAGCCAGACACAATCAGTGTCCATGCCGGTGGCTTTTGCAGCTGCCTACACCAGCCTCTTCGGCAGCTCCGGAGCTTCTGCTTCATCTGTTCTCATAGTTGGCTCTGTTAGCCAGACCCTGCGAGCCACGGTTGACTGTGCTCTGGCTGCGGGTATGCAGGTGTACGTGGCAATCGATGGCGAGAATGGGGTTAATGAGATGCGCTCTAAATATGTAGGATTGCATGAGAGAATCATTCCTATTCACAGGGAGCTTGACACAACAGTCAAACGGCTGACTGGGGGCAAAGGAGTGGAGCTGAGCGTTTGCTGTCTAGGAGGTTCTGTCAGTCGACTTGCAGCGCGTTGCTTGGCCTACAGCGGCCGGTTGGTCGATCTCAGTGAGGAGCTGAACCTGGCTGCCCTGCCTCAGACGTTCGTTGACCGTGGGTGCACTGTCAGCTCCGTACGGTTATCAAAGATGCTCCGCGAAGCCCCCCGTCAGCTGCAGGCCAACTTCCATCGCGCAGTGGATCTTCTCGGATCAGACGCCCTCGCCAGCGTTCAGGCTTATCAATCCTTCCCTGTTTCTCAGGTTGCAGATGCCGTTGCTCATGCGCGAGACAGCGGTACCCGTGCGATTGTCGATCTCCAGGCTCCGGGTCAGGTGCCAATTGTGCCAGCCCTCCCAGATCCTGCCCCTCTGCCTGCGAAGAATACCTACATCCTGGTCGGTGGACTGGGCACTCTCGGGATTGCACTAGCCAATACGCTTGTTGACTGCGGAGCCCGTCATTTTGTCTTCTTGAGCCGCTCTGGGGCTGTTCGGGAGACACAGCAAACTGCGCTGAAAGAGCTTCAAGACCGAGGTGCGCGTACTGATGTCGTGCGCTGTGACGCGGCCTGTCAAGAGGATGTGGAAAGTCTGTTGACCCGAGCTGAAAAAAGTCGCTGGCGTGTTCGTGGTATCGTGCAATGTGCAACTGTTCTGAAGGTAAATCGAATCGCAGCCCAGTAGATTTCCTCAAAGCTAATTCCGCCTTACCAGGACGGCATGTTCGAGCACATGGACTTCGACGCGTGGAAGCAATCTACCGAGCCCAAAATCCAGGGGACATGGAACCTCCACGAGGCGTTTTACTCCACCCCGCTAGACTTCTTCGTGACTCTATCATCCATATCCAGCATAATCGGAAACATTGGCCAGGCCAACTACGCAGCCGGCAACGGGTACATGGACGCTCTGATGACCTGGCGACGCAAGCACCACCTACCAGGACATAGTATCAACATTGGCCTAGTCCCAGACGCCAGCGGAGTGGGCGACGTAGCCGAAACACCCGAGCAGCGACGCCAGCGATACCGACACATAGAGGGTACAGAGATTCTGCAGCATGAGGTTCAAACTCTACTGCGGGTGATAGTCCAGAAGATCACCCCAGTCCCAGCACAAATTATCGCCGGACTGACGGACACCCTACCGCGAACCGATGGGGCAGCTTCCTGGCAATTCGATCGCAAGTTCGATCACCGGATTCAAGTTGTTGCTGATGAGGATGCAGGAACTGGCGTGGTTAAGACCAGCACGTTGCTGAAAAAGGCGGAGTCGGTGGACGAGGCGGTACGCGTCGTGAATCAGGCGCTGCAGGAGTATTTGGCTAGGGCGATGGCGTCGTCGGCGGAGGCTATTGATTTGGAGTTGCCTTTTTCGGCGTTGGGTGGTGAGTATTTTGACTATACCTTAGTTGTTTTCGGATTATGCTGACGCTTGGGGTTTTAAGTTGACTCGCTCAAAGCCGCGGAGGTACAGAACTGGGTCAGTCGCGAGATGGGCGCAGAGTTGTCCTCGTTCGAGTTTATCGGGGCACAGCCGGTGAGGGTGTTGGCGGAGAAGATTGCGACGTTGAGTTCGTTTGTTGTCGCTACGTAGTTTGCATTGAGACCAGGTAATTATTATCGTATCATTGCTATTTAACACCAATTATTATATATTTTGTGAGTCCAAGGCTCAGCGAAATCCATCACCCATCTACTTCTCCCCCCTCATCATCTTTGCCAACTGCGTAGTCGCAGCCCGGCGCTTATTCACGATATCCAAGAAAACTTCTGCAGGCCCAAGACTTCCCACAACGATTTGGTCCTTTCCGTCCAGTAGTCCCTGAAATGCTTCATCCGTAAATTCCTTCAGGGGCATACCGACTTTACGGCCCTCTTCGCCCATATAATCGTGGAGTTCGGCTGCAGAGATAGTTAGTCAGATAGGAAATTTATATTTAGGACAAATAGATGAAAGAATTGGCAGTCGAAGTATAGAATTGGGGGTTTAGACTCACATTGCACCGCCGGCGGCGACACCTCAATAATCTTCACCGAGCTCTTACGCAGCTGATCCCGCAGACAGAGAATGAAGGCGTTCAGGGCAGCCTTGGAGGCAGAGTATGCGGGCATCCAGGTTGCGGGGACTATGGAGAGGTTGGATGTGGTGCTGTTTTATGGTCAGTACATTTTATTGCTTCCTGGTGGTGGTGTAACCTGGAAGATATGAAGAGGTACGCACTAAATCAAGCTCGTATCACCCCCTTTCTTGATAATATAAGGCAAGAAAGCATGCGTCAGAGCAACATAACTGGTGAAGTTGATGTGCATTTGCTTGTAGAAGCTGGGTAGGTCGAATTTTTCGGGATCGGTCATGTCGGTAGGGAGCATTATGCCGGCGTTCAGGAAGACGCTGTCGATTGTGGGGTATTTGGTCATTATTCTATTGAAGATATTCTAATTAGCTATTCATTCAATCTAGGTGCGGTACTTCATAGTAACCATATCAAGGCAGCGAAACTTACTCAGCAGCAAACCCAGGAATCTTATCCAAGTCACTAATATCGAATTGCACCGCATTGGCCTTGTCTTCTCCGTGTTCTTGCACGAATTCATCCAGGCGCTCTTTGCGTCGTCCGACGACTGTGACTTCGGCTCCGGATTGCACGAAGCGCGATGCGAGAGCTCGGCCGATGCCGGCGGTGGCGCCGATGACGAGGATGTGCTTGTATGGGAAGGACATTCTGCTTTGGATTGAACTGGATTGGGTTGAGTTCAGCTGAGTTTGTATTGTATATGTTGGACTGAATTCAGTTGAGTTTGAATTGGATTGAGTATGTTAAACTGGTCGTCATAAGTCTTATATACTTTGATAGACCGGTTTCCATCATTGCTCCCACTGGAAATAATGGTGATTGGCAGGACCGGGACAGCGGAGTTGGTGGACCGAAGTCGATCTCCGGGGATTTAGTGTGTGTGGCTGTCGGCTTCCGAACCTAAAGCCGGCATGGACGGACTTCGTCGGCTTTCTGGATAGCTTCAGCTGGGGTCGGTCGGAGATCAGAGTATAATATGAAGGATTGCGGAGATATTGGATGTTACATAAATATGCAGTGATTATTATTATGAACAATAAACATAAGTTGTGCGCAAGACATGATCACCACTACTGTCAACACTGTCGATTTGTATACAGAGCTGCATTTATACTTCAAGTAACCCTACGCCGAGACCTCCGTTATAAGGTATTCATTCCAGCACACTCTACACTACTTGAAGCTCTGTCTCACTCCAATTTTCGTAAAATGCTCGAACTCACACAGCTACTAACACAGCACATGCCCCCTGTATCCAAATCCCCTCATAGTAAAGAGCAGCCATCACGTGGCGTAGTGCCATCTGCGTGAATAAAAAATCACTGATGTCCCAGAAGAGGCAACGCGTCTCGCTTGTAGACGCGTTGTATACAACAGGTAATGAGGGCATTATTCTTTCTCGCACAAACACAGCTTCTTCTTCTTCTTCTACAAGGTGAAGTTCCTGATCATCTCATCTCTCATCCGCATACGCTTCCATCAAAAACTATCTATCTACCCATCACTGGTATACAGATAGTCAATCATCATGGACAGTGCATTCCCGAAGCGTCCTTCCTTCGTGAGATACGAACCATACACCTACGATGACTACGGAGTCACCGTAGCCAACATCCCCAGAGCATCATCCCAGACGCTGGCAACACTCTTCCCCACGAATCCGGTCACTGCACCCAGTAGAAGGCCCGTGAAGCGGTGGATAGCTGCCCAGCTCCAACACTTCGGCATCCCCTATCAGCCATCTAATACTATAGCTCAGCTGCTGGCTCTCCTTGAAAGAGAGTATAAAGACGGAAAGGTAACACTCCTCCACCCTCTCAGTTCCAGACAAATAGCTGACCAAAGACGAACAGTGCAGCTACGAGTCGCCTTCGGTCCGCCTTATCGACAAAACCATGTACGACATGTACAATGCCGTGCAGGAGGCCTATCAGCAGCAAAAGGCTGAGTGGCGGAAGAAGAAGTTTGCTCGTCAGGTCTCTCCTTCCGACGAAGCTCTGTTCGATCCTTTTCTTTTCATGGCCAAGTACTTCCTCGACAAGGAGAACGGAGTGCCGGACAAAACCAAGCAGACAGAGGCCATTGTCTTGCACAATGTTTATAACCAGCAGTTCGTGAGCACGGCTCTCTCCATCCCCGGTCTGAGCTTCCACATCAGCCACCCGGCCACCGTCATCGGATGGGCAGACACCTTCGAAGAAGGCTTGGATGCAGGCTTCGCCAGTCTGTCACAGAACCACGTCAAGGATTATGTGCCGACCTTCGAGGCGAACTTTGATCACTGCCGCTTCCTGGCCAAGTATTTCCTGTCGCTTGACTATCCCTATGAAATGGGTGTCCCTGCTCGTGACAGAACCGTGGAGCCCGTGCAGCTTATGCCCCAGCTGTATTTCGACGTGCGCGAGAAACTCAGAAAGGAAGTGGCCAATATCAACGGTCTTTTGATCGCTACTACCCCCGGTCGAGGCGGTACTTGGACACTTATTACCTGGAGCGAGTACGCAGACAAGCTCACCGGTGTAGTCTCGAAGATCCACGCCGCCAGTTTGAATGAGAAGATGTACGACGATACTCTCATCTCTCTGGTGTGGCAGTCCAAGCTCAGTCGCCATACCCTGTTCAAGCAGTGCGTGAAGCCCACAAACAACACTTCGGCGTTGAGATTGAGCCAGCTGCAGGGACAATATGTCATCCGTTGCAACGCCATCGATCCCTGGGGCTACGAGGACTTCTCTCTTGACATCAACGCGCCCCGTCGCAACGATCCCGCCGCGCGCGCAACCTTCTCTCTCGGAAAACTGCAGGGGGCTATGATCCTCGCTCTAGACTGCGACAAAGTGGACCAGATGCGCAAGATCCTGGAAAAGAAAAGCACCGCCACTCAGCATAGCACTCCCGAGTCCGATGATGATAATGAGATGGACGAACACTTGACCGTCCACCGATTCAGAGACGACGACGCTAAGTGGCGAGTCTATCTCCAGTACGCAGGTACCTGCAACGGTCTTAACCAGGTCGATGAGCACAATGAGCAGGTCGGGTTCATTGATTTCAACGTCGACCCTGAGCGAAGCAACGATGATGAGAAGGCTCTGGGCTATGGTCTAGCGTACGGACGCGGTCTTATCGTCGGCCCTAAGTATATGACTTCGCGCAAGAGCGACAAGGGCGAGATTCTGGAGATTGAGGTCTTCAAGTGGACTGGTGATACCGTCCGAGTCGCGGCTGAGTGGAATGCGTTTAACTTCTGGGGTGGATTTGAAGCCCGATTCAGAGTTGGTGAGAGAGCTATGACTATGACCAAGGGGTATGAGCTTTAGCTCTCTCTCTTTCTCTTTCTCACTGTGATGCTCTGGTTCGAAGTGATTGTTGCTTACCTTTTTCTTATTTCTTTTTTATTTCCTTTTCTTCTTGTTGTTTTCTGAAAAGAGAAAAGAAAAAGTAAGGGAAAAAAGGAAGGGGAAAAAAAGGAAGGAAATATGTTTTTGTCCTTTTGTTTGCTATTCCATTGTTTTTCCAATTCTGTTGTTTGTGTTCTGTTCTTGTTTCTTATTCTGAAAAGTTGTGGTATGATTCTCATGTACGATGGATGGGGAAAAAAGTGAGCTGATGGCGTCGATGGTGTTCGGTTCTTGTTTCTTTCTTTTTCTTCGCTTCATTTTGCGTGTTTGAGTATACCCAAGGGATGGAGGGCGGGCGTCTTCTTCTTCTTCTTCTTTTTTCTTTTCTTTCTCTTATTGAATGGACGAGCCATGGTGACGATGCTCGGGGGATGGATGAGTGAGAGTGAGGTGGATGAGAGATGGCTCCTGTTTCTGATTTCTTTTCAACTGATGATAGGATGATGGGGCAAGAAAAATTCGAGATGTAGGTATGTATCTCAGATAATGGTCATCAACCTTAGTGACAGTTAATGCAATTCATTGAATTGGGACTTTGTGCGTTTGCATTACCAGTCCGGATGTAAGGGATTCCGGGATTCGGTCTTCATCTTCGGTTCATATGGGAACTACTAGCTAGTATTTCTCAATTCAATGAAGGCAGCAAACGCGCAGAGAGCAAGTACGCTAAGTACACCGTACCCTGTGACCTACAAACCTAATCCCCAAGGCCAGGGTGAAAGAATACATAAGAGAAATATTCATCAACTGCACACCAAACCAATGGAAATGGGTAATAAGGATATCAATTCAACAACATCTGCCTAAGACCACTACTACATCTGCCTAAAGATGGTACAAATCACCGGTAGAACGACGCTGGGTTAGATACATCCGTTTGAGACGGGTTATATGCCTGGTATCCTCCGCCCGCGTTCAGAGCAGGATAAGGTGTCGGCGTTGTGGATGTACCTGGGACAGGCGGGGGCTGGTGCATAGGCGGTGGTTGGTGTGAAGGGTAAGGAGGCTGTGCCTGGTGGGCAGGGGGTCTGGAGGCGTCTTCAGGAGTGTAGCCTGAGGTCGGGTATTCCGGGTGTGGTTGTTGTGACTGCTGTTGCGGCTGCTGCTGTTGCTGTTGGAAATGCTGCTGCACGGCGGCCGGGACCTGCACGGCGCCGGGATATGGTGGTCGCTGGCTGGCAGGATGCTCGACCGGGGAATCGTAGACCGATGTACCGAGTTCTTGCGGATTCTCGTATGTGGATTCCGGACGGTGGTACACGGGCTGGTAGGACTCCGAGGAGGGTTGACGTTGCTGCTGTGGCTGCGGCTGCTGATACGGAGCGCCAGCAGGTGGTGTCTGACGGGGATCGGGCGATTGTGAAGTGGGAGGATATGCGTGTGCTTGTTCTGTGCCGTAGAATGCGGGCGCGTTGGCTGGAGGGGCTTGTGTTTCTGCTATGTGTTTGTTAGACATGAGCTGAGAATGTATCCATGCAGCACCCACCTTGAGGACGGGGACTGAAGTAGCGTTGAGGATCAGCCTGTGGCGGCCCTGGAGGATATCCCACAGGAGCAGCACCAGGATAGCCGTAAGGAGGTTGAGCCGGCCGGCCATACTGGGATTGTGCTGGGTGCGCCATGGACGCCTCCAGCAGAGACTCGTAATCTCTCCGCGCCTTGATGAACTTCTCGTTGAGCTGCGTGAACTCGTCTGCAAAGCATTAGCGGAGAATAGCGACATGTCGAAATCATCTTACCCTTTTTCTGCGAGTATTTCCCAATGAGCTCAATCAGCTTGGGGCGAATGGCCAATGTAGAGTGATACAGGGCCGTGATTTCTTCATTGTCCTGCACATTCAGCTCGGAGCTCCGAGTGCTCAGAAGAGTCAACAGCTTTTCCACATTCTTAATCTGACCGAAAACATCGGCTTCCATCTGGGCTTCCCGCTGCAACTCCTCCACTGTCGGGTCAGGAAGTTTCTCGACGTAGTTAAGGGGGAAGATGCCGGTCTGGCCTCTCAAGGAACCCTTCCACCAATCCTTGTAGACGGACTCGAGGACAGCGATGACATCTCCCTTGCGGAACTGCAATTCACCGGGTTCTGAAGGCTGAAAGTCGAACAGGGCTCTCACGCGCGACACTGTGGCGGCAGAAGTACCCGACGGGACTGCTTGGGAGGTGGCAGCAGGTGCCTGAGTTTGGTTGACTGGAGCAGCGCTGGAGCTGGCTTCAGCCTGTGGCGCAGGGGCGATCGTGGCCTTTTCTCTTATCGAGAGTGCGAGGGCCATTTGCAGCTCCTCCTCTTCCTTTTGGCGATCCGCATCGGTGATTTCCCGCTTCCCGGGCTTTGACGGTGGCTGCAGGTTCGGGTCTAAGATAGTGAGCTTCTCTCCAACATTCATAGCTGTTAACGATCTTACTCTGAGTCTTCAGCTTCATGTATGCTTGTTCCATGATTCCGAAATCTGGGTTACTGGCGAACATCTCTGTCCATTCTTGCATGCGTTCTAGGATCTTCGACTTGACCTGTTGATGGGTGTTCTGCTCGGTATAAGTGCGATGCTCTTCATCCGTGAAGATCCAACTTACTCTGTCATTCGCTAGACGTAGCAGAGCATCGGTGAAGCTCCTAGAAGCCAGCTCGCGATGAATCTTGGGACCACAGTTCTGAGCGAGAGCGTTCGCCAACTATAGCCGTATCAGTACACGTAAGCCCCCAAACTCGGGCATGCCACCGGATCCAGCACGAACCTCCAAAGTATAAAGCTGCACATTGGCGTTTCTGTGCGCAAGTCTCTTGATCATAGCGGCGACGGCATCTTTCGCTCTAGAAACAAATCCACTGTCAGAATGACGTGCACCGAAAACGACAACCGAACGGCGAAGCATACCCTGACTCCTCGGCACCAACTTTATCGCAAACATCCTAAACACAATCAAAAGCTCCAGTCAGATATATATCTTTCGGCCGATGCATGGCAGATTTAACGACCGTGGGGTTTGCGTACCAGGATGTATTCCCAGTTTTCGGAGGTCAGGTTCTCGTCGGTCGCCTTGGCTATACCACATCGCTCGGGTTAGTAACAAGTATAGGAGAGTAGAGCTGCACGGCGTGCAACAGAGGCTGTGTGTTTCATACCGACTGCATCGTCAAAGGCGTTTTGCTGTGCGCGAAACATTACGGGGGTTGTCTGCGAGCGCCCGGGGCAATCACTGCGTTGCAACTCGGACTATTATTCCACACGAACGAGTGGGGTTTGATTCCGCGGTATGAAAAAAATGTTACAGAAGCTGTTGTGCTCAAGGAATGTATTCCAGTAATGCAGGTCCGGTTCTCTCTCCTTGTTGTAGGTTCGATGGTTCACGGTATCCAGGCCGCGAGATGACACCCGATGCGGGGGACACTGCGGTCAGCGGGAGCCGGAGTAAACGAGGTCGGGATCAATTGAGGCGCTCGTGGATCAAGATCCGTTAAGAGACGGGGGAATCTACCAAGACAGATTATCGGACCACAACGAAGGACGGGGAGGAGAAGATAGCAGCTGGAAAGCCAAGGGGAAAGGGAAAGACAGGCTGCCACCTGATGTTTAGCAGGTGATCGCGCCGACGGAGAGCAGCGCCTCTGACGCTGACTGGCCGCGCTACGCCCGATTAAGCGAGACCCGCCCCTTTCTGGTCTAGTGGGGCACCGCCTTCCATTGACGTTGGCAAACAATGACGATATTCTACTTAGAACAACTACTGCGAGAGGTCTCAAGGGACTGTTATGATATACCCCGGGTGATTCCTGATGATTGATCGAAAGGTAAATAAAAGTGACATCGTGGTCTTCACGATAAATAACAAAGAATAATAATCATGACCATCCCTCACACATAAGCAATAGCCCCATGGCACTAAAGATCCCTCTATATCAATGTAACCGCTCAAATAATAATCGTCAACTCAGAACAAGACAGACAAAAGCTCCACACTTTTGTTCTTTTTTGTCGTCAAAACAGTCGGGAAAATGCCTCATAAATCATCAAGAATATCGGTCGCTGGAAGATATGGAGATGGGAACAACCCAACAGCTGCAAGACAAGTAACAATAAGATGGGGGCCGGAGACCACGCCGACCACCGGCGCCCGTTCATTATATGAAGCTTCAAGCTTCCTCTTGAGCTTCGGCTCCATGACAATAGTAAGCACTCACAAACGACAATATTGACAATAGCTGGACGGATGTCCCCAGGAGATTGTACAGGCTTTTTCACTCGCTCAAAAGCCAACGTCGAAAGAAAGAATCTTGCAGAGAAAACTCGTCAAGAAGGAAGGATATCTCCGCAGGTGTTTAGTGGCCAGCGACGGAAATCAAGCCAAGCAAAAAAAAAAAAGTAAACCGGATAGACAAGTCATTATCCGATGAGGTCATCGCCTTCTAGACATTCACAGGAGATGCGAAACTGCCAACATGAGTAGCTGCGAACAAGGGTCGGCCATAATGCAATGCCAGCGTCATTGTCCAGCAAATATGAAATATCAGGGGGGTAATGGGTATCTGAGAGAGAGAGAGGACAGAAGACATCGACGTATATAGTAACAGTTGAAAAGCGACGGCACCTAGGCGCCTCCCTTTTGAGCTTTTTCCTGGGCTCTGCTAGCCCGCGCAGCCTTAACAAGGGGCGAGAGATGATTCAGGGGCGCGCAAAGCGACATAAACGGATGCTAATCGACCAGTCAGTTATTATTTCACAATGAGCTTGATCGACGTGAACATACCTTGAGCAAGTCATGTGCCGAGGCTCGCTTCTCAGGATCCACCTTGAGAGCAAGGTGCAGGAAATCACGGAAGACGGGCGACAAGTTGTGCTCATCCTTAATTGTAGGCGTGCCGTTGGTGGCAATCAAATACAGAGCCCTCAGGGGCGATTCCGTAAGATAAGGAGGCTCACCCTCGATCATCTCGATGGCCATGATACCCAAACTCCAGATATCAACCTTGCGGCCATACTCCTTTCGAGTCACGACTTCAGGGGCCATCCAATACGGTGTACCGACCATGGTGTTTCGCTTGTTATGCGAGTCGTTGATTTGGGCACAGAAACCAAAGTCGGCTACATGATGTCAGAAAATGAATATTGGGGGTCATCGCAAAAGGTAGCTTACTGAGTTTGATGTTGCCCTCCATTGAGAGAAGAATGTTGTCCGACTTGATGTCACGGTGAATGACACCTTTCGAGTGAAGATGCTGTAAACCACTCAAAGTCTAGTAAAGGTTAGGAGATGCGAGATACATTAAGGAGAAAGATGCAGTAAGCTTACCTCTCTGCAGACAGCAGCAATTTGCCCTTCACTCATAATGTTGAAAGTAACCACATCAGTCAAACTGCCACCCTCCATGTACTCCATCACTACCCAGAGGTCCAGACCATGGAGGTAGCTGTCCAAGAAGTTGACAATGTTCTTGTGCTTGCTGTCCTTCATGACCAAAATCTCATTGATGATCAGATCCTTCTTGGGTTGCAAGTCCAGGTTCATTTGCTTGATAGCAACACACTTGTTGGTGTTGTTCTCGTAGGCAGTGAAGACACCACCAGACGCACCCTGGCCGATCTTGTTGAGATGGTGGTATAGCCTAGTAGGGTCCCCGGGCGTACAGATGGCAAGTAGTCGCGACCTAATATCCATCGCATTACTCTGACGAGGTCGCTGCCGGGGGCGAGCGGCAGGAGCGGCGCGTGCAGCCTCATCCACCGGGGAGACATGGTGGGGTGGGCTCTGCACCGAAGGTTGCTTCTGTTCCTGGCGAGTAGGCTGCTGTTGACGCTGACTGCGGCTACGGTCGAGTTGGATGGTCGCAATTGCCTGCTGGGCGGCGGCCATTGCTTGCTCTTGCTTTTGTTGGTACTGAGCCGGCGTAGGAACATTGTGTGACTGCCATGGTACGGGGGTACCATTGGCTCTGGAGTTTGATCTGCTCAACTGAGGCTTAGGTTCAGACTGCAGGGGCTCCGTTTCCGGAATGGGAGGCGTGTCGAACTGCGGAGGGGAATAGGCCTCTTGAGGTGGACGTGCGGGCGCGGCACTGTATGATCCCGCGGTTGGTGGCTGTGGTGCAGGCCGAGCCGGGGTGATATTGGCAGGGGTCGGAGGTTTTGGTGGTGCTCGATTGGGGACAAAGCCACCTACCGCTGGGGTGGCCGCAGAAGGCCCACGAGGAATAGGAGGCGGCGCACGTGGGTTTTCGAAGCTACCCTCATGATTCTGTGGAAAGCGAGGACTCGTCGGGGGAGAAGTCCGAGCTGAGGTAGGGCCGTAAGACCCGGCGCCGACAGCATTAGTCTGTCCTCCGGAAATCGGGCTGGAAACCGACTGCGGCTGAGGATAAGCGTGGTCAAATTTGTGCCACACTTCGTCATCGCCTTGAGCATTCTTCTCGTAGAACCTCATAATATCAACCATCGTCTGCGGGTGTTCCTCCTGCTCCTTTTTCGAGATACCGTTTTCTTGCAGCAGCCGCTGCCATTCCTTCGGGAGGCCAGTGAACTGACCGGTCTGATTGTCATAGCCAACGTGCGTAACGTGCACGGGGTTCTCCGGGGCGGAGATCTTGATGCCTCGGGGGGAGCCTAACATGCTATTGACGAAGCTAGAGAAACTGCTCTTTTTGCTCCTGCCCGTGCCAAATGGCCGCGAGCCAACACCACCACCACCCTCATCGGATAAACGTTTTGGATTCGCCGGGCGATCATTGTCAGTCGTCCTGTGCACGAATGTCTCCATCCGGTTCTGTAGAGCCGTGAAGCTAGCAGACTGTCTCAATCCTCGGGAGTCCGGGCTGGTGGCCGATCGGAGGTTGGGGGGTTTTTGGGGGACGGTCTCGGTGGTATTTTCCTGCAATGAACTGAGCATGCCCCGGCTGTCAAACGGGGGTCCGATCAATTCATCTGAACTTTGCTCGGTGAGAGAGAATCGACCCGAGTGGGGAGGGCGGGATTTGGAGGGGTTGGAGGTGTTCGAGAAGTATCCAGGTTGGTTGCCAGCGAGCACCGGAGACGGGCCGCCGCTATTCTGCTCGAGGGAGGATGAAGAAGATCCGTAGGCGTTGGACCTTGTCCGCGAGTGCTCACGACTCCCACCGGTGGAGGAACGGGGGTAGACGGGCGCTGAAGGGTGCCGCTTTAGTGACGTGTTGCTCTGCTGGCTCTTGAGGATGCGGGAGCTGAAACTCGGAGGATCCTTGTGAAGCTTGCTAGACGACCGTCGAAATTTTAGGGAGGAGAAACTATCGTGATTCATGACGTGCAAGTTTTAGGGGGAGAGTGGGTTTTGGGGGGGTGCGTGGAGGGACAGGTCGGCCGACTGGCACCAGCAGCACCAGCAGCAGTGCAGCAGCACCAGCAGGGTTGAGCGACTGGGGATGGGTGGTTTGATTGGAGGGAGGGGGGGAGAAAGAAAGCCACCGGGTGAGGCGGTGCGCAGTGCAGTAGGTAGTAGTCCCTACCGTCCGTTTCGACGATAGGGTGGACGAACAAGGCCGCTAGGCGGGGATGGGGGGGGTTGATGGTGTGGTGATACTGCACGGTCAGATCGATAGCCCCAACCGGATGAGTATTGTTGGATGAACGGAGGAATCGGAGATGTGAGAAGGACCCAGAATGTCTGAGCGACGCAAGGGAGGGCGCGAAAGTAGCAGCCGCGGACTACCGTCAACCAGTGGTTAGCACGTGGAGAGCCGCTGGATGGATCAGAGCAGAGAAAGACGGAGTCGACCAACAGAGGCGGTGACTGGCTCTGAGGGATAATTTGGGGGAGGATAAAAAAAAAAAAAGAGGGGAAGGGGAGGGGAATAATACTGGTAGGGAAAAATAATAGGGAAAAAGCAAGACCAGGTGAGAGGGTGATTCACTGAGATGCAGGAAAAGCTGCAGATAACCGACAGCTCAGCACACAGATCTGCAGCGCCAAAAAAGCAATAATGCAACAGTCACTGGGAAACCAACGATGACGGAGAAAGAAGTGGGAAAAGCACGGAGAATTGCCATGGGGGGGAAAGAGTGAAAGAGGGTAACTAGTAAAGAGGAGGATGGAGGGAGGAGGAGGGAAGGACCCAGCAAGGTGCTTTTTAGTTTTGGAGACTTGGGATTGGGAGGTCGAACCAGTGGCAGCAGTTCAACAACGGCCCGTCTTGAGAGTCAGTCCGACGATTATTACACTGGGTACTCCCGTACTACCATCAGAATAACGGGGCCCAGCCACTGAAACTGACTTACTTGGCCTCAGGTGTGATGGGGACCATTTAATATCGTTTGGGCTTAGCAGAGGGTAGTAATTTACTGTGATTTGGTTTGGGTACGGTAAAGTCAGAACTTAAGCTGCAGTTATTTTAACTCCTACTTTCTTCTTACAAAATATTAAGTTACAGTGAGATAGAGGGTAGATACAAATACCCTCGAAAGGACAAGAGAAAGAGACAACTACGTAGAGAAGTTGTCAATCGGGCGGTCAACACCATTCCAGTCAATTACCAAAGCAAGCCAACAAAAATAAAGGGAAGAGAGAAATGTTTCGGGTGCCTATTTTCTGCCTTTCCGTTTTCCCTAAATTGTCCAACAATAAATAAAAACCCAGTTGAACGGCTGTGTACAGATAATGAATATTTCTCAATCCCAGAATATTCCAAACATTCCCTGATGGATGGGTTTGGATATTATTTTTCCGGGGATGGGGCTCATTGGAGAGATTGTTCCCGTACTTTTTTTTTTGTTTCTGTGTTTTCCCCCTCCTCAAATCCGAAGATGGAAATACTCTTCTGGCAGCTTAAGTGTCTCAGATACCGTAGGTCCGATTAGGCAAAGAGAAAAATTCTAGACACGTCCTTGACCCCAGTTTGCGTCCCGTTGGCGGGTGGATCGCGAACAGATGCCTTTCCTTTCTCGGAACGATGGGTTCCACCGGTTTTCCGCTTTCCTTCTTCTTCTCTTTCGAGTTTCGACACCTCGGATATGAGACAGATTCCAAAGAGTTGACCGATTTCAGAGATATGAAAAGGAGGGTGTACAGGAAGCAGGAAGCAGAAGGAAAAATTATTTGGGGGAATTCCACATTCCCCAGTCTGTGAAGGAAGCGACAAAAATAGGAAAGATCCTAATACTAGGGGCTGACGTGGTCAATTAGCACAAGAACTGCTGTACACAGTAGTCTACTTACTTCATTCACTCAATCAGCTTTTTCTTACTGATGGAGACAGCTGGGTCTCGCTCTCTGCCTCTGTCTAAGCAGCCAAAAAGCAGCACCAGCACCAGCACCAGCAGCACAGCAACTTTGGTTAGACACCTGGGAGGAGCGGCCTTAGTGCCACGCTAGGCCGAGCGGGGCGGGCGAAGAAAGACTAGGTTCCAACCGACTTGTGCCGCACCCAACCCTCTTCTTTTCTTTCTTTTCCTTCCATAATGGAATTAAGGAATTCCATCCTCCCTCATTTAATTATTCCATAACACGGTGGATACGTTCCCATGGTCCAGGGCAAGCCACCAATATTTAGCTTCATTATTGATCTGGAGTCCGTGTAGCGTCATCGCTTGCTTTTTCTCTACAAGTTTCCAATCCGCTACAGTTGCCTCCTACGTCCTCGTATCTTCCTGCTTTCCCTTCCCGGAGCTAGTCTATTTATCTATCTATCTACTTATCTCGCCATCTGGATCGGATTTAGTACGTAGTCGTAATCCAGCTGCACTTGCTACTGAATTCCCCGAGTGAAATAAAAACAATAACAGAATATAAGGTCTGAAAGAAAACAAAACAAACGCTAAATCTACACTCGGACCTACAGAGTAGTAGTGTCTACTCAGACCTCGGAATATGAATATGGAGTAACTTTCGAGCTGATCACGGGTCAAGTTGCTTCCCTTTCAATTTTAGCCTCTGATGATCCCGTTGAAATCTCTGCAGGTACGGTGTAGTTTAGTTCGTTCTATACATCAGCTCCCTCTTACCGCGGAAGGCTTATTGTGTCTTCCCTCCTCAACCCCGAACCGGGTACGGAGAAGTACGGAGGGATTAGGTACTGACAGGCATCCTGGCATCCTCTCTCAATCATGACATGACACTCGCACAAACACCCCTGCACCTGCACCTGCAGATGATTTGAGGGAACAGTTACTACTACCCCAGCCGAGTCACACAGGTGTTTTTTCTTTACTCTCACCCCTGAAATGAAGGAGCAGAGTAAAATTACAATTTACACAGATAAACTCTTGCTCGGATGGTGGGTTCTGATCTGATCTCATACCATCAGAAGGTAGTCTATGTGACTGGTAATGATAACCACGAGCAGAGAATCTTGATGTATTTGGTTCTAGAAAAGCTTTCACCGACTAGAATACCTGCTGAGTACTCCATAAGCATGCAATAACTAATCACCCACAGGACGAAAGCCGACTTGATTAACTGACGGAACGGATTCCATTCCTTCCATCCATTGCAGCGGGGATGAAGTCAGAGTCCCCGAGACGGAGTGACTCCGCACTCTAGCTAACTTACTGTAAGTATGAATACGGACAAGAAAGATGTATCCGCTCAGCAACTCTAGATATCACTTCGACATATCACTTATTTATATATGAAACTTGGCTTTTGAATAGATTATACAATACTCTGCACATCCCAATTGAATAAACAATTACATAAATAATTAAATAGTATTGATTGAGTGGGATTGACCAGTCTACTCAAAACTGCCATGGCGCGGGATCGGCAAAGCCCGTCATTTTCCGTCTCGGCACAAACAAAATGGGATGGATGGTCGAGGCCTAGAACCTTTGAGTTTTATTTTGTTATTTTTGAACGGGTGTTTCGTTCCAAGGACGGAATAACATCATCTACTTACTTACTCGAGGTTGCAGATTTAGGATGAGTGGTCTGATGTCATGGCGGCCCTGTGTGTGCGAAATCGATCGAATCAGATGATAGTGATTTTTGTTCTAGAAAAAGTTGGATGGTATTCATCACATCCCATTTACTGCGCCACGATTGATGCAGTATTGTATTCTGGCCATACTCGGTCATCGTGTACGGAGTAAATAGTGGATGGCATGACTGATAATTAGTATGACTGCTCCATTTGTAAATCGATAGAGCATCTCAATGTTCACTTAAATCAGTGGCATAGCCCCCCTCCCTCGAGGCCAGATTCTCCTACAGTGTCTAGGCAGACATTCATACTATTCTCTTGCTCAAGGCCCTCATGCTCGGTCATTTGCGCCCATCAGTCCCATCCAATGACTTGTAGGAACTTTGTTAGCGTGGAGACTCAAACATGATTCAAGCAAGCTAGAAGCCAAACTTTCGTTCACTCTTGCGATCGCTGACGTCACTGGACCCAACCTAGCCTGCGATTGAAACCTGAAGCCATTACTGTACTGCTTCTGGTATAGCGACAAAGTAAAAAAATAATATTATCTACCTCATCCATTTATTTCCATTACAGAGAGGAACCTACACACACCGAAAGAAGAACAATACTATGGAACTCCTTCTTCTTCCCAGGACCTATAGGAATCTTAATTTGGACCCTAAAAATCAACTTTCCAACTATCTAACCACATCCCCCATCCATCTTAATCCCAATAATGAAATGACGGGTACCAGCAGCCTTAGTTCGAACCGAGGTAAGCTAGATAGTTTGTTGTGTTGTTGTCGTTGTTGTCGTTGTTTCATCATCAGTCTCAAAAACCAGACCTTCGACGATCAAACTTACCCTACCCTACTGTATCCCCCCACCCACCACCACTCACTCTCACTAACCGGGCCAAAGTTACTACTGACCAGTTTAGTACAGTCTAGTCTGGTAGTTAAGTTAAGCTCTGAAACTTGCCAGCGATGAGAAGGGGAGGAGAGTATATACGCAAACACGTGGGGGGGTGAAGTTCTACCTAGTAGTCTAACCTTTCAATTCATGTCGAATATTGATTCTATCAATATTGCCAGGAGTTGGGAGTAACTCTTGGTACTTCACAGGTATTGTTTCATGCTTGAACTTAGATAATGTGTTGTGTTAGCTTATATGGGGGAAAGAGAGGAGTTGTGTATTAGGTGATGACAGTCGGCTGCTAGTTAGTCGCTTATTTGGATAGGGTGTATGAGCTGGTGAGAGAGGGAGGACTACTACTACTACTACTACTACTAGAGTTGGGTTGAGAAGGAGGTCTTTAGTATTAGATGTATCAATATACTGCTTCTTGGTAAGTCTGAATTGGAATCATGTTGCAGTGACGGGGTGGGATTGACTTTTGTTGCAATTTATTGTTGTTTGTATTGCAACCTGTCTTTATACACTATAAGAAATGAGGAGGTGATATTGGGGGATAGATGTTTTATGGATGTGTATGCATGCTGGCAGGTAGATACATACTAATCTACTTTGGCTGATGTGATTATGTTTATGTACTTCAGAGAAAAGGTGCATGCAGTAGCTACCATCCAATTATTTACTTGAAAATCAAGTGCAGTTGTTCTGGTGGTATGATTATAGCAGAGATCATAGGAGTTGCATTATCGTTAACCATCAATATATATATCGTGGCCTGCCGTTCATCGTCATGATAATATGATCATAGTGTACATGTGTTGCTCATCTACCGTCCAACGTACTTCAACTCCAGCTTCCGCAAGGGAATATACGACAAGCTAGTAAAAACAAACGCCAGCTCATTGGCAATGTCTCCTCCATCGGTGCCAATCTTGCGCGCCAGCGCTCCAACATAATACGTTTCGTCCATGCCGACGATCCAACCGGCCGCACCGCACAGGAACGCTGTGAGACCGGCGTAGCCGACGGGCAGTTTCGACGGCGTGTTCCAGGCGTCGAGGTCGTAGTTGGCCAGGTTGCCGTTGCGGAAGAAGTAGTGTTCGCAGAACAAAATGACGAAAAAGGAGGTGTTCCAGTAACCCAAGAGGGAGAGGAAATTATCCAGGACAGTCAGCAGGTGGTCCCGGCCTGCGATACCAATGACAAGAATGCAGGCGAACACGAGTAGTGTCCAAATAATTCGGGGGATCTTCTGGAAGGGTTTGGCGAATAATTGTGCCGAAAGGGATCCAGCATAAATGGCAATGCAGTTCATACCGACTATATTGTAGTGTTAGTAGCGGTTATGACGTGAGGTAAGTGGGTATACTTACTGCCACACAGCACCAGCAAGACCAAGAGGAACTTAGCAAATTTGCGGGGATAGATGATGGTCTGCAAGATCTCTCCAGTTCCTTGGTCATAGGCAGCAGCCCATTCTGGGTTTCCGTCCAGGGCAGATGCGATACACGCACCGAGCAACATTCCGATACAAGTCGGGAGTGAAATACCCAGGGTGGTGTAGATGAAGACCTTGACCTTCGAGGTGTTGACCGGGTAGTGCACATAAAAGTCGGACACGATCGAGCACCACGATGCACTCGAGCCATAGATAACGCTGATCAGGCTCAGAACATTTCCGGACTTGGTCAGCCCGGACACGGTACCGGGATCTGACAGGCTGGCGTGGTGGGCCGATTCACCGTAGACGATGATGAAGACGACAAAGGAAACCATCCAGATGTATTGCTCAATGGTCATAACAGCCCTAAGACCGAAGAAGCTGAAACACAGACTAACGCATGCAACAATGACGACTCCCACGACCATGGAAATGTGATTGTCCGAAACGGCACGAAGAGCTTGACCACCAGTAATACAGCTGACAGAGGCCCAGCCCAGCTGTTCGACGACATTCAGCGCCGCGATGATGGAGGAGGGGTAGAAGCCAAAGGAGTATCTAGAGATGGCGACTTGACGAAGGCCAGTGCCAGGGCCCATCGTGGCACACCAACCCTAGTGAACCGACATGTAAGCCTTTAGACAGACCATAAGATGCGTGCGCCGCATTGCGTCGCAGCGAAAGATAGGTAGAGAAAGTGGTATGCGAACCGTGAGAGCAGCGCCCAGAAACGTCGCGCAAATCATAATGGCGATCGTCTGCCCTAGGGTCAAGCCAAACTCCTTCCCCATAAATCCCGTACTGAAACAACTGAGGTTCATGGTGGCTGATGCCCAGATGAAGGCCATGGCCAAGGTGTTGGGCGGTTTGCGCTCTTCGGGCAGGACTCGATCGAGACTGTTGGACTCGACGCCCATTTTCCGATCCAACAGCTCTTCATAGTAGCGGATGCGGGCAAAGAAACCGCTAGGTTTGACCAGGGTGTGTTCCTCCACCGAAGCGGTGGCCTGCTTCGGTTCGATGGGGTTGCCATCCTCAAGGGTTTTGAAATCCATCCTGAAGAGGAGGGGCAAGGGAGAGGGGGGGTGGAAAATTGCGGGGAGGGAGAAAGAAGCGGCAGGAGAGCAAGGGAGGAGGAGGAGAGGAAAAAGGGCTCACGAGACACCTCTTCTGCTCAACTGCTTCCCCAGAAAACAGGCGTTGAAGGCTGCATATATTTGTAGGCGAAAATTGCCATCGCGCTTGAAGTCGGCGACGAATGGGGAATCGCAGGCCTCGCTAGTCGTGCCAGATTGGTCGTTTTTATCTCTGGCCCTCACAGAAGGTCGGCCTGTTATTTGTGGAACAGGGTTTTCTTATCACAGATTGCCCCAGTCCGTGTCTTTTTAGTGCCAACCGGGCGAGACATGGTCAGATAACACTTGAAAACCTTTTCCCGTGAGTCGCGGTGGTGGACGACAATTGCGGAGGGAGTTCGGCCAAGTCCGAAGTTATAAGGATCCAGTGGGTTTTCGAATTGATAACCGGGATACTGCTGGATTTCATGTTGGATTTCATGCCAGAGCAGCATGGAAGCGCCCTGGCTTTTTCTCTCTCCATGCGAACAGTGCCTGCCCATCGAAACAGCATATCTCCGTTAAGGTTTCTGGTCCACTTCGGCCCAGCCTTTAGTCGCGCGTGCTTCTATCGCAGTGAAGTGGGTCAGGGGGGCTCGGGAAGAGAGCAACAAACAGTCAACCACTACATGTCTAAATACTTCTTACCCGGATGATCAGGAATTTCTCAGTGTGGTGGAGGTGTTATCCTCTTGGTTTTGATATACTAGATTACCTGGACTTGTATAGGCAAAATTGGATTCATCCCACACTGCCATGGTCGATAAGCCTACAGATCGAGACCATGTGCTATGCAACCCAAGGCAACAATAAGATACTTGAACTGCCATAAGTTTGCTGTCTCACAATACCAATAAGATAACATGGAGGACATGAATTGGAATGTGTAACTGTCTTAAACTTTCTAGATGCTTATTTTGCCACCCGCCAGCTGTCACTGCTGAGAGCCAAGCCAAGCCTGGAGGATACAATCTTTCTTTAGAAAACCTCCTCCAGGCTCTTCTATGGAAGGTGATGCATTAATCAACTGTTGAGACAGTTGGCCTATGCTGTTTCAATTTCGATATCTGTATGACCGGTCAGACTCGCTTAATACTCTGCCACCCCCGGTTAAAGATCCACAATGCTGGTGTGGTGCCCTTTTCCAGTAAACCCAGTATATTCACACATTGGGGTTGTTCTTGGGTTATTCTAGAAGCATGCGCTGTATACACATCCATTCTAGGTGTTTCGGTGCGGAACCAAACGGCTGCACGTAGTAGTCATCTTCATCCAGAGACACACTGAGCCCCATATTCTCGCTCATTATAAGCTAGCTACCTCCTTCCAATTAAGTCACCGCGGTCCATGATAATGTCACGTCGATAGAGTGCGTCCATAATGATGCACAGTCAGTTGATGTCGGCAGATGTATCCGTAGACTTCCAAGCATGCTGTAACTCTTACCCCATGAGGACCAGCTACCAAGTCGACTATCGGGAGAGAGAATCGAGAAAAGGACATGGGTTGACTACCCATGCTTGCATTGGAGGCGTTCTCCGCTGGTGGATCGGGCAGGCAGAACTCAGCCTCAACCTGCAAGCCGGGCGCACTATCCCAGCACACCAATCACCTCCGGCGAGCCATGCCCATTGGGGAATCGGGTTTATCAAGGAGGAAAATGGTGCTCGTTGGTGGTCGAGTTCATGATGGCATGGCCATACTGGGTGACGGAATTGACGCACTCTCGGCAACGGCGACCATGCGTGCTTTGGCAATCTGGTTGTTTTGGGTAATGATCGGTCAAGTCATGGCGGGCTAAGGTGATGTCTTGCAGTTGCACTCCATCGAGCACCAACAGGCACCAGTGAAGGGAAGTAAAGCAAAGCGAAGCAAAGCAAAGTGATGGTGGTGAGTGGATTTTCCAGAACGTCCATAAGGTTGAGAGACGGCGGCTCCGCCCATCAGCCCGAAAGGGAATGACTTCCTCCCCCGGGCTTTCCAACTTTCCTCTCCGACCACTCGGGCTTGTTGTCTGTCCTCTTCTCTTCTTCTTCTTCCCTCTCTCCTTCTCTTTCTCCTTCCCCATCTCCAGATTCTCTCGGTTGCCATCGTCTCCCCTCTGGATCGTGTCAATTACATTGACCCCCTCCTCCTCCTCCTTCTTCCTCTCCATTCGCCTCTTCTCTCTCTCCCCCCCTCCGCTCATCCTTTTCCATCCTCCTTCTCCGCCTTTCCACTTTTAGTCTTTTGTTTCCTCTTCTCTCCCACTTCCCCCCTCATTTCCTCAGCTTAATCTTGGGGCACACCTTCGCCATAAATACTTTTCTTTCGCATTTAGCCTCTGCAGGTAGCAATTGAGCTTTTCCCTTCTTGACTACACTTTTGCGGCCCCCGGCCATTATATTTTTGGATCACTAGCTCAACAAGGCATCTCTCCCGCTTGGTGTTAATATCCGGTCTTGTTGGATATCTTTTGGCAGCCAGCTATAATCCCATTAACTCATATTGCTTGTCGGTATGTTTGCACCTCCCAGGCTATCAATTGGTCTCCTCTAACATCACCGGAATTCAGCAATAGTCTCCCTCCTCCGTCCCTCTCCTCCATTCGAGATCTCTCCCGAGTCCACCGATTGTCCCGCTACCATGGCTTCCGAAGTGTCGAGTGTCAATGTGAATGGCGGTGCCAAGTCTCGGGCTGCCATGCTGGAAGAGCAGCATGCCCGTGATGAGGCGCACAAGACGACTGTGGAAGAAGTTGTCGATGAAGAGGATTTGAAGCATCCCCCTCCGTCTTCCTCGGTGAATGAGCCCGAGTCCTCCACTCCGGCGCAGACCCCGGCCCCAACCGCCTCTCCAGCCCCCAAGCCAGCTCCCAAGAAGACCCCTGCCTTCGATGTCCAGTCTGAGGAACTCTTCCCGGCACTTGGAAGTGGTCCGAAGCCCAAGGCTCCCGCCGCCTCTGCTTGGGGAGCCCGAGGTTCCGCCGCTGCTGCCGTCGCCAACGGTGCTGCCAGCGGCGCACAGGCTGGTATGTTCTATTCGATCCTTTGCTGGAAAATTGTATCGTTATACTGATAGTTTCCGAACCAGCCCCCGGAGGTTTCGGTTCTGAGGTTCCCAGGATCATTAGTCTGCCCGGCAAGCACATGGAACAACTCCGGTTGGCGCCCTCGCAAATGCTCCCCCGCGGTCAGCTCAAGAAGCCTCTGCGCGATATCCTGCGCGATATCTCTAAGCGATCCAAGGCCAATGTCGACATGCGCGGTGGACCCGGTGGCTCCATCATCTTTGAGGGTAAGGGCTCCGTGGATGCGGTCAGGCAGGCCCTGAAGGAGGTCGCTCAGCAGGTCGGATCCAAGGCATGTATTTCCGTCGTCGAGGCTTGAGGTGGATTGTCGACTAACGTCCTGCCTTAGCAATCGGTGCGCGTTCCGATTCCCACATCCGCCCGCCCTCACATCATCGGACGCCAAGGTGCTGTCGTTCAAGACATCCAGCAACGAACTGGCGCACGTGTGCAGGTTCCTCGCGCTGAGGAGTCTGCCTCCGGAGCGGACGATGACGACAGCGACACTATTGATGTCCTCATTGAGGGTGATGCTGTTGCGGCTGAGATGGCTCGTCGGGAGATTGAAGCGATCGTCAAGGAGCGCGCCTCCAACATGAGCCTGCGTCTCAAATCCGTCCCGCCGGAGTTCTTCCCATTCATCGCCGGTGCTCACAATGCCAACCTTAAAGAAATCGAGGAGCGTACCAAGGCGCAAGTGCATGTCCCCCGGTACGATACCTGGCAGAGTCAGCCTCCGCCTCAGGAGGCTGATCCGGGTCATGTCCAGTTCGTGCCGGTTCCCGAGAAGCATATCCACATCTCTGGTGAGCGTGCTGCCGCTCAAGAAGCTCGCGCAGAAATCGAGAGACTTGCGGCCGACCTGCAACGCCAGCTCACCCTTCGCCAGCTCGCCATCAACCGTGGCCAGCATCAATTCATCCTTGGCGACAACGCCGATGCGTTGCATGAATTCCTGGCTGACACTGGCTGTGCCATTGTCCTGCCCCCTGCATCCGACGAGAGCGAATTCCTCACCATCACGGGTCCGCTTGACTGCATCGAGAATGGTATCAACCGGGCCATGGATCTTGCCACCAGCATGCAAATGGCAAGCATTGACCTCTCTCGTCAGCACCCTAGTGCTCCCATGGGTCCTCATGCTCATGCTCGTGCCCTCACCCAATACCTAAGACAGCGCCAAATCATCAAGGAGCTGGAGAGAATGTATGACGCTCGGATCGCCCTTCCGCCCAGCTCGGACGGCCCTGTGACCTGGGAGGTCTACTCCAGAGATGGCAAAAACACTATTCGCGCAAGATCCGATATCATGAACTTGGTTCAGGCTCACCCTCCTACGAGACTTCGTAGCCTCGCGATCGACCCCTACTTCCACCCTTATCTGCGCTCTCGGAGCATTCCCAAGTTGCGGAGTGACTATGGCGTTCATCTTCTTGTGCCTGATGAGCTTGATAGCTCCGACGTGGTCTTGGTGTATGAAGGCCCTTCCGCTTCTTCTGCTCAGGTTGAGATCCCTCGTCAGAGGCCTTCTGCCGCTGAACTTGCTACCTTCGAGAAGACCCTCCAGGAAGCTCAGGAGTATCTTCTGAGCACTCTCGGTGACCAGAACGATGTCGTGGCGACGTCTGTGAGCGTGCCGGCCAAGTACCAGGACAAGGTCCGCAAGTTCATCTCCCGCCAGCAGGAAGCGAAGAGTGAGGACGAGATCCCTGTTCGTGCCATTGTCGGCGATGGCCGTAACCGTAACGAGTCCGAGGTTGCTCTTCGTGGACCCTCTCGCCTGGTGGAGGATCTTGCCTCGAAGATCCAGGCGTTTGTTGTGGAGCAGGAGAAGGATGACCTCGAAAGAGGATACACCACGACCTTCGACTTCCCCCAGAAGTATGCCAACTTCTTGATTGGCAAGCGGGGCGAGAATATCAACAAGCTCCGTGACGAGTTTGATGTCGACATCAAGGTCGAGGGGGGTAAGGTCGAGGTCAAAGGACCCAAGGCCAAGGCCGATGCCGCCAAGACCAGAATCATCAACCTGGGCAAGAAGCTGGAAGATGAGACCACTCATGTCTTGAAGGTTCCTGCTCAGTATCACCGGGAATTGATCGGCCAGAAAGGAAGCCAGGTCAACAGACTGCAGGACCGCTACTCTGTCCGTGTTCAGTTCCCCCGTGCTGCCGTGGCTGCTACTATCAGCGATGACCAGTCTGTCGCTGAGACTTCTAGTGACGCAGGTGGCTCTCGCCCCAACCGCCCTCAGCAGGCTCTGGATGAGGTTATCGTCAAGGGGCCCAGCAAGGGTGCTGATGCTGCGCGTGATGAGATCCTTAGCTTGCTTCAGTGGGTGATTGACCACTCCTACACGGCTACAGTGTCTGTCGCTCAAGCGCAGATTCCCTCCTTGATCGGCCAGCGCGGTCGTGAAATGGACAAGCTCCGCGCCGACACCGGCGCCCAGATTGATGTTCCGGGAGTCAACGATGCTCCAGATGAGTCGGGCCGTGTGCAGATCAAGATCAGGGGCACTAAGAAGCAAGTTGAAGAGGCAAAGAAGACCCTGGAGCAGCGGTCGAAGGAGTTCGACTCCATCGTTACGAAGACAATTGATGTGGACAAGAAGTACCACAAGTCGCTCATTGGCGGTGGTGGTGAGTAATGTGTGCCCACTTTTTACAAGGTAGCATGAGTAATTAACATTTTCCAGGTGCCAACATCCGCAAGATCGTCGCTGAGGCTGGTGGCCCTACCGATGGCAGCGCTTCCCGAATGGTCAAGTTCCCTCGCCCAGAGAGCAGTGACTCGGCCATCAAGCTCGAAGGAAACGGTCAGGTGGTTGATAAGATCATTACTGCGATCCAGGACTTTGTCAAGGAGCGTGAGGACCAAGTGAGCACGACCGTTGAGGTTCCCCCGTCTCAACATCGTCTACTCATTGGCCGTGGAGGTGAGACCCGGCGCGGCATTGAGTCCAAGTTCAACATCACCCTCGACATTCCCAAGCAGGGATCCGGACGCTCGGATATCAAGCTGAAGGGACCCAGCAACGCAGTCGCGGAGGCCAAGGAGCACATTGAGTCTATGCTTAAGGATCAGCAGGGCGAGACGGTGGAGGTTCCCCGGAATTTGCACCATGCTATTGCTGAGAATGGCTCTTTCTTCCGTCGCCTGCGCAACGACTACCGCGTTACCGTGGATCACGCTGGGCAGCAGGTGCCTCCCAAGCCTGCCTCTGAAGACTCCCGCGGTGCGGTCAACGGTTCCTCTTCTCTCCCCTTGATCACAGATGAGCCCAGCGAGGCCTTGGAGGCTCACTCATGGAAGATCGTGGACAACAGCCCGTCCGCTGTCGATCCCTCTGAGCCGGCGACCATCCCGTGGGTGTTGTCAGGAACCAGCGACAATGTCGCCAAGGCCAAGTCGGCCTTGGAGAAGGCTATTGCCAATGCTTCCCAGCAGTCCGCTACAGGCTACCTCATCCTGCCTGACCCGATGACTTACCGCTTCGTCGTCGGCCAGGGTGGTAGCCAAATCAACGCGATCCGCAAGCAGACTGGCTGCCGGATCAATGTGCCCAAGGACCAAGCCAAGGGTGAAGCGATCGAGATCAAGGGAAGCAAGGAGGGCCTGGAAGAGGCCAAGGATATGATCCTGGAGGCTGTCCGCGCTGGCTTGAGCGGCAACTCTCGGTCATAAGGGAGGGAAGGCCGTTAGGTGATCCACATATATGGCTGGCTGGTGGTTTCCAGAAGTGATATATGAGAATTGTCGAGCGACCATGATATCTTTTCTTATCTTATAATTTCCTTTCATTCTATCCTTGTCTTATGTGCTCTCTCACCAAAAGAAGACTGTGTTATACATCTACTACATGCATTTGCTGGGCGGTTGACGAATTGCATAACCTGCCTTGAATATCCTGTGATTAGGCCTCACTCCTCTTATAAATACTGTTATATGCATTACATAATTGTCGGGACTTAAGCCTGGAATCTTAGTAGTGGGTATACTGCTAGAATGATTGTCACTGTAGGGACAACGTATATGCAGAGTCAATATCGAATCAATGTTGAACCCCGAACAGCGTAGCGTATTGCGGGTTTCTTTTAAGCATGGATCTATTAACAGCTCTTTCTCAGTTACCGAATCACGAAAGAACAAGCACAAGCATTCGTGATATTGCGCTCTAATTGGGACGAGAATAGGGGAATTGAAACTGAGGGGAAGAAGAAACAAAGGGTATCTGCATTGGATATCACCCAACAGCCCCTAATGCTGACGAAGAAGTGGAACAGAATAGGTAGACGAGATCGACCGGTCCAAGAAACCAAACGAGACCGAATTCCAAACATGGGGCCAAAATGAAGAATCACGGATCGAATCAAGAGAAGGGGGAAAAAAAGGCTTTCAGTTCATATGGGATTCATCTCTTTTTGTTTAAGTTTATTAATTATAATAAGAAAAAAAATAAAAAGGGATATCGTTTACTGCGTCTCAGCGGCGGAAGCATTCTGGAGGTATTGGTAGGCGAAGTAGGCGATCAGGCCACCAACCAGGACGATGCCGTAGAGACCGACACCCAGGCCGGCGCTGTCGCCGGAGCCCGAGGGACCGGAGGAAGACTGGGGTTGAGAGCGAGGGGCAGGATCACCGGGCTGATGGGTTTTCGTTAGTGTGAGAAACTATTGTCATGCGATTTGCTTTTTGTTATCTGACGACGTACCATGCGCTTCAGCTTGCCGACCAGGAGACCGTCCAGGATCTCACGGGCCTCGTCACTGTGTCCGACATCTTCGAAAGCCTCGGTGCCGTCCTGGCCACCGACGTCGAGGAGGACTTCCTCACCACCACTGTTTTTGAGAGCAAATTGTGTTAGTTTGTTTTGTTTCTTCGGTCCGGCGGAGTATTTCCTTGCGCGATTTGTCTCATTGCTTTTTTGGAGGGGGGAGAGCAAGCAGAACGTCTGGAGGCGAGGGGGTGAAGGCTCAATTGGGAAGGGATATGCATGTGGGAAGTGAATGGTGGTGAACGTACGGGTGCTCGTCAACGAAGGAGGTGCAGTCGTAGACCTTGTCGTGAATGACCATGTAAAGATCCTTCTTGGTGTTGTGAGCGCTGACCTCCTGGAAGGTGAATTCCTTTGCGTCGGCCATGGTTATGGTAGTAAGTGTGGCTGTGGAAATAGAGAATGTAAAAGTCAGCGACTGACAAAGCCAAGCAGATTGATCGGTGAGTAAGAACTAGGTGATAAGCAGGGTAATTTGGGGAGAGTTCCAGGACACTTTCATGATCGGGATGCCATCCATGAATCTTGACTTCATGCGATAGGGTATTGAGTAGATAGGCAATACGAGTAACAATTCCAGAAGTATAAGCCACCCCCAGTCCAGCCTGTACGGAGTGCTGGACCTCGGAATGTAGAAAAACACAAGATCGCAAGGGAGAAGAAATGCGATAGAGCGGAGACTCACCGAAGATTCAACAAGAATGGAAAAGGTACGGAAGTACAAGACTCAAAAGAGACAGATCACGCAAGACGATCTAGAGGAGAGAACAATAGAGACTAGAGATGAACCCGAGGAAGGAGAGGGAGAAAGAAAGAGAGGAAGAGGAGAAGAAGGAGGAGGGAGAGGAGAGAAGGAAGCCGAGCATGGGAAAGAGTCGGTTCCTTAGGCAGCCCCCCTGGCGCCTGTGATTCGACGCCGTCTCCGCCTTCCAACTGGATGGTCTTCCAGGAACATTATTCCAATCCCAGCACCAGGAGCCGTGGGTACCATCCGGCCACCGGGTTTGCCTCTGCATACGTTTACCGGGTTGCCGGCAGTCTGCTCCCTCTTCACATTGCACCTCTATCACTACTGCCTGCCTACTGTCAATACGATCTTCTGCACTTCGATCGGACGGTTCCCAACCTGTTCCCAAACAGGCAATCCTGAAAAGTGGCCTGATAGGGATGGCCTCTCTCCGCCAATCACAGCTGGCTTATTCCTGGCTTAGTCAGTGTATCTCATGCACTAATCCTGATCAGGCAGGGTGACTAGAACGGGCCGTCGATCAATAATCAGAAATTATGGCGGTGGATTAGTCGTGATGCTTGCTGGCTTTGCTGTCTGAATGTTGCATATGGTTTTAGATTTGTGGTCTTGGTCTTCAGGATCTTTTTACCTGATTTGGTGTATCTGTTTGCCCGTGGCCATCATAATGCATCTTGCTTCCTCTGTTATCAGATTGTGATCATTCTTTTCAAAACATTCTAGAAGAAGATTAGACTATTCGCTCCACTGAAAATCAACTCTCGGAATAACCTCCGCGGAGAGAGTCACACAAAACAGTAATTAATGTGTTTGACCCTTTCGGTGACTTGCGCTCGCTGCTCCACCCTCCACCACCTTATTGTGCTGTGACAGCCATTCCAGTAATCTTCTAGATAGTATTTCCAATTCCGCGATACTCTATCTTCCGCAGTCTAGTATTTCACCTGTAATAAGGAATTCATACATAGTATGAATTCCAGAGAGCAATGTGCAAGTAACACAGAATTCCACCAAGCATCCAATCTGATGATAATAAAGTTAATGAAACAAATCTAGGAATAACCTCTGAAACCTGGTTCCGTAATTCCGCCCATCTGCCTTGGATGGTAAATCCCGACCCTGCGATCCCTCGATAGCCGTAACCTCGGGGAGGGGATCGTGTCGGGTAGCGCCGTCGGGATTAACTGCCCCAGTTGGTCACTGATTCATTCCCCGCCTTTGCTGCCCGCTTCATGTGCCCGCGCGGAATGTTACTCCTCCTTGGGAGGCCGCCTATCTTCCCGTGTCCTCCGTAGTACGTAGTAGATACACATGGACTTTCTATGGTTCGGCTATATTGTGGGGTACCCTTATGATATGGTGAAAATGTAATCCAATGGTCTATCATCAGTAACTAGATAATATCTATACATCCCATATCGCTTAAGAAGAACTAAGTAAAATAAGTAATAATGGAAATAAATCAATGGCCCAGCCAGCCAGCCCATTCCATGTCAACATGTCTTGCTCAAATAGGTATGGTTGAGGATGCAACAAAATGAAAAACAAAAAAAAAGCAAAGGATATAAGTAAGTTCGTTCCATGCTGATATTCATCCCTCATGCAAGCCCGTGTCATCGTCTCCCGTTGCAATCGCAAATATGATGAGAAAGGAAAGAACCCCAAGTATATGAGAAGATGTCACCAGTCCCTGTGCAACTCTTACCCATGCCAAATCGTAATCAACGCTACATCATGGTCTGTCCCCGAAACCCCGGGGAGAGGTGGATCGTGGGGTAAATGAACAAAGGAAAACAAAAAGAAAATGAGACCTTTATATAGGAACAAAAAAAAAAGACGTCCACCCCCCTCTCTCCAGGTCCCTTACTTGGCGGGCACCCGCTCGTAGAATACAATATAGGCTTGTTCGTTCTGCAGCCGATCTTTCGATCGCAGATCGCGCGGGTTGAAATCGATCACCCGCTCGTCGTCGAACCGTCGCCAGCATTGCCGCTGCGCATCTCGCACCAGAGAGATGTAATGTCCGCTGCCCATCGACGACCCGATATGCCGTAGCACCCCGTACGCATCGTACGTGAACGGAGGCACCGTGGCTGCGATCGGGTCGTGGGGCAATCCGTTGGTCTGCCCCTGATTGTATGCCGAGAAGACAAAATCATCCATCCGAAGTCCGTGTAAAGGGAAGTCGATAGGCGTATGGATCTTTCGTGCAGACTGGGTCTTCGACGCCGAGAACCGCTTGAAGTGGACGACCAAGATCTGCGGCGCCCGCGTGATGATGATCTGTTTGGTGGCCACTCGTTCGCACTTGCAGTACGGACATTTCCACACCTCATCCCCACTCAACATCTCCTCTTGACAATAACTGCGAAGGCATTGATATATATCGCCCGTGCCCGACGGTGGAATCTCCACACTGATGCTATAGAACGCCTCATACGTGGTTGATGTCCGCTTGCAGGTGGTGCAGCGTAGCCGGCTCGCGTGCTGGCCTGCAAAGAGCGAGGAAATGAACGACTCTTCGCGATGACAGTACCGATCCCACTCAATTTTAGAAACCTTGGGAACAGGCATTCTCTCGCGCTGCATCTCCTCCTCGAATGTCAAGGGTCTGAGAGGCGTCCGCTGCCAGTTGATGTTGAGGTCCTCGTGCAGACAATCGACGACAAAGTCAAAGAACTCTTTGGCATCCTGCTGGCGATCGATAGCCCATTCTTGGTTTAATCGTCCGCAGAAGTTTCGAAAGGAAGTCGGCATGATTACTTCCACGTCGTTCTTCCAAAGCGAACGGATCAGATTCGCGAAAAGCCCCGGCATGACGCCTTGGGAGCCCTTCCAGTTCTTTTGTACATAGTACCGGAACCGATTGTCGATGAAGAACTTGCTCAGCACCACCGTAGCGTTCAAACACTGAAGGGTAGAGTTCATGTAACAAGTCACGCCAAAGTTAGTTAAGCCGGTCCTGGGGAGCTTCAGGCGGTTAAGCATCGAGCTTGGTGTGTAGAGAGCTGTTTTGGTGGCAGAGTTCTGCCGCTCCAAGGTAGGTTGTATTTGCCGGCCGTCTGAAACGCCACTATAACTGGGCCGTGGAACTGCAGGCGGAGGCCTTGATGGAGCAACAGGAACAGGGGCAGCATAATTGGGAGCGGGTGTCCCCGCGGGCCGAACATGCGCCGTCACCATTGACTGCTGGATCGCATGTGGTTCCGGGAAGCGCCGCAGGAAATCCTCGTATGTGTGCACAAAGGGAGAGACAGGTGGCTCTTCGGCACCCTCCAGTTCTTCCGTGAGTGCCTCTTCCTCGATATAGGTCCCGGGGTCGATTTCCTCCGTCTTCGACTTCTCCATCCATTCTGTAAGCTCTTGAGGATTCAACGGCTTGTATTCGCGCAATCTTCTCTTCCTCACTTCCAAACTAGAATTGGCACTGACAATCGTAGGCACTCTTCCTAGCGGTCGCCCCGGTCGTCTGACGGGCCTCTTTGCTTGCAAGGATCCCATCACAGCAGCAGTAGAGGATGTAGCAAGAGACTGCTGGCCGACTAGGTCGATCCATGCGTCAAGGCCGCCAAGTAGTAGGGCGGGAGGTCGTCCATCTTTCAGCGGCTTGTATGCGTTGAACTCGTAAAGCGTGTCATACAGCGCTCGAAGATGAGGAGCTGTGGTGCCTACAGGGGATCCGTCTAGATAGCTGACCGATGCTGTTCCCTGGTCATAATAGACGACCATGTCATATTCGTTGCGCCGCTCGAATAATGACTGCTCATGTTCAGGCGACACCACCAAGCGTTCTTCGAGTTCTTCCGCTGACACATTCTCCTTTAGTGCCACTGGCTCAATGCAAAGGATCGAAGAGGCATAGATGTGGCCACTATCATACTGGTCCCGAAAACGCACGTCAATCAATAGAATGTTGTATTTGCGCATATACTCCAGCAGCTGCTGAGGCTCAATCGTAGTGCTGTGTGGGAGATCTGCACTACTGCTTCTAACTTCCTTGGCCTGATGTACACCGTTTGGGGTTTGCGACCTGTAAGGGTTGTCGTCGAAGCCATCATGGCTAAGACTACTGCGAGATGATGATGTAATCTGAGAATACCGTGGGTTGACGGGACGAGAGCTTTCGACTGAGGTCCTGGGTGGGTTTGAGGGTCCTTGTGAAGGCACTGTCCAGATCGGACTGTAAGTTGGATCGGGAGCGCGAGGAAGAGATGTATTAAGGGGCACTTTCGGAGGGATCGTAGGCACACTATGAGAGGAGCCCATACTACGGGGCCCTAGAGGCCGCCGCGGAGGTACTCCTTGAGACATTTGGGACGATGGTCGAGAAGGGAACTCCTGAGTCGGGGGTGTTGAGGTAGTACTGTTTTGGCCATTGGAAATAGACCCTACATCAGATGGAGTAGGTGGCGACATTTTTAGTTTTGCGAATCTCTCAGCAAGTGCATCCCCAGCAGGACTCGAAAAGCGATTCATCTTCGCATTTGCTTCACCTGATCGTTGGAACTGCGTAGGGCTAGGCATCCGCAGGGAGTTGTTGCCAGCGTCAACGGGGCGACCTCTGGGGCCTGGACTCTGCCCAAACCCAGGAGATACCACCTCTGATCTAGGTCGTGGAGGGTTCGAACGAGACACTCCGCCAGGCTGCACGTTGCTCAGCAAATTGTTCTCCAATATTTGTTGCTTGATATCGTCCATTGTCCCTTGCTTCATCCGCACAGCCTGTCACCATCGGATTAGCCACCGTTGTGCGAATCTCAGACATAGCAATTATTCATAGCACTGAATGTGCTTTAGAGGGATCACGGCATACCATCATCAACTCCCCGAATCGTTTGTACCATCCCGGACGTTGGCTGGCAGTGGCTCGGTAGTCAGGGTGATTAGGTATTATGTTGATCGTGATCTCGGATGCTCGCAGGTAATGCACATAAGCTCTATCCAGCTGATCGGTGTTGGCAAGCTCACGGGCTCGATCTATAGCCACTTGCGCTCGTTCCAGCAGAACGCTAAGCTGTACGGAAAGCGGGTCAGACATCAGCAACGTCACCCGTCAGGCGCATAGGGTATGGAGACCAACCGATGTATTGTCATTCAGATCAAGAGCTGCTGCTTCATCCTGAAGATCCTTGATATTGGGGAACCGAGCTGGTTGAGATCCGGCGGGGGACCCATAGCTGTTGTTGGCCTGATACGATCCTAGTCCGGCGGCGATTGACTTCCCGCCCGGCTGCATACCACCGAGGGACAGAGGGCGGCGGGGAACGTTCTCCCACGGTGCAAAGTCTGGAGGAGAGGGTAGAGCCGCTGCATCTGGGGACATTATATCACAGCGATGAAGCCGATCTCAGCACATGACCTGGGGGACGGCTTCGTAGGAGACGCGGCGAGGGGCAATCTGGTCAAACTCGGGTCGGAAATCGAAGGGTACTGGCTGGAATTATAACGAGGAAGTTGGAGAGGAAAAGACCGATGGCAACCGCACTGACAGGCCCGAGCTGAGAGAGCCGAAGGAACATGCAAGGAAAAGAGCGAGCGCAGGGCCTCGACGAGGAGAGAATGGGACAACTGCCAGGCCAAATAGGCAGCCAACGTTGCGGGATGGAAATGGGTGGATTGGGATGTTTCTGGGGTAAGTCGGTATGTAATGCGCCGGTATCATCAGAGCGGTGTTACTCACCGCCCGGGCCTATGACGCCACTGCATGACCCTGGATGCCTGGGGCCGCCCGCTGACTCATGGCGCCCGACCAATGGCGGGGCCACATCGTTGCCTACTGCATTAGGTAAGTTGGTACCTCCCGCCATCATCGCTCGTTACTGTTATCGCTTTCGATCTGCCTGGAGCTTGCTGTCGACTCCCCTTCTTTCGCCCTTGGCTTCCAACTCAGGTCTGTTCCTGAAGCAACCCGGGTCGTGTTCTGGTCATCTCTCTAGCCTCACCTTTTCCTCTACTTTGCCGACTAGGACTGTACCCAGCAGCCCCCCCCTTGTCGCTGCTACCCAACGTCATAGCGATCCTGGGCTCCGCCATCGTCAGGTTATCATCCATTGCGCACTGTCAACATGGCGGGGTGGTTCTCTTCAACGTCAACGATCGAGGATCAGGTGGAAAAAGCCACCGCATCTTCCCTGTATGTCTCCTTCCCTTTCCCACCTCTTACTTGACGGTGATCGGCCTGCGAACGACCTCCCCGTCCAGCCAAACGCCAACTGACCTCTAACAATTGGCGCAGTGAGGACATTGCGCTCAACCTAGAGATATCCGACCTCATCCGATCGAAGGGTGTCCAGCCCAAAGATGCTATGAGATGCTTGAAACGCCGGTTAGAGAACAAGAACCCAAACATACAGCTGGCGACATTGAAGGTTGGCTACTCGACTTCGTTGCAACGACAATTTATACTGACGGGTGGTTCACCTTGCAGTTAACAGACACATGCGTGAAGAATGGCGGTACTCATTTCTTGGCGGAAATTGCGTCGCGCGAGTTCATGGATAACCTTGTTTCGCTTCTCAAGACCGAGGGTGCTCCGTTGAATTCCGACGTGAAGGCCAAAATGCTAGAATTGATTCAGGACTGGGCCATGGCAGCCCAGGGCCGTATGGACCTCAGCTACGTCGGGGAAACATACCGGAGGCTGCAAGATGAAGGCTTCCGATTTCCCCCCAAGACCCAGATTAGCGGAAGCATGCTGGAAAGCAGTGCGGTAAGTTGCTTATGCTGCAGTACCTTTCCCTTTCCGATGCTAACATTCGGATTGTGCAAGCCTCCTGAGTGGATCGACTCCGATGTCTGCATGCGCTGCCGTACTCCTTTCAGCTTCATGAACCGCAAACACCATTGTCGCAACTGCGGAAGTGTCTTCGATGCGCAATGTTCCAGCAAAACTCTCCCCCTACCTCATCTCGGAATCCTGCAGCCTGTTCGAGTGGACGACGGCTGTTATGCCAAGTTAACCTCCAAGGCCCTTGCACCCAGCGGCCTTTCGGACCGAGCATCATTCAAGAACAACTCTATAACTAAATCCAGCGTGATGGAGCCTCGTGGAGGTAGGGCAGAGGGGGGATTCGATGATGATCTGCGCCGGGCGCTACAAATGAGTTTAGAGGAGGCGCAGAACAAAGGCTCAAGTGGTTATGTTCCACAAAGTACGGCAGTCCAGCAGCCACCCAGAGCACCCGCTCAACCGGCCATAGAAGAAGAGGAGGACGCAGATCTGAAGGCTGCTATTGAAGCATCCCTGCGTGACATGGAAGAGCACAAGCAGAAGCATGCTGCCGCTCTGAAGAACACATCGTCGGCAGACATTCCGTCCCGCCAGACACCAAGTGCAACCCCGTTGCCTAAGAATTCCTACGAGCTCAGCCCAGTCGAGGTAGAGAACATTCATCTTTTCGCCGCTCTGGTCGACCGACTACAACACCAACCCCCGGGGACCATACTCCGCGAACCTCAGATTCAGGAACTCTACGAGAGCATTGGCGCGCTTCGCCCCAAGCTGGCGCGGAGCTATGGGGAGACAATGAGCAAACATGGTAAGCCATTACCATGATTGTCGTTTATCACTTGGCGACAAAGTCTTGATGGCTAACGTATGAGATGCAGACACTCTCCTTGACCTACACGCCAAACTCTCGACGGTTGTCCGATACTATGATCGCATGCTTGAGGAACGTCTATCCAGCGCTTACGCACAACATTCCCTAGGGTACAGCCCGGTCCCCGGTGGATCGCCATACCCCAACATCTACCCGCCCATGCCCGCCCATGCGCCTGATGGGAAGACGGGAACTGAAAGCTTTTACTACGGGAATGCGATCGCCGAGAGTCACCAGGCTCCGACGACACCTTATCCCCAGCCTCAGCCTGAAAGGGAGCTGCATGAGAGAGTCGGGACACGTAGTGGTACGATGAGCCCTGGTATCTACGCGCATCCCTCTCAGCCGATTTCACCCACTGTTCCTTGGAACGGCAGTGCTCATGCGGTTGCCTCTCCACAACCTTCGAGCGCCAGTATGGCTTATCCCAGCAACCCTTCGGCCTATGCGGGGCCAGCCGCTCCGACGCAGTTCTACACCTCTCCACCACACGTGGAACCCGACAGCAAACCGGCGCAGCATGCCCGACCAATGGAGCCAGACATGCCTTATCAGGGCTCACCGGTGATGCAGCGGGAAACACCATATCAGCCAACGGCACCATCCGCTCCAGATCTCCCGGCTGACCAGGGGCTGGCTTCTGGCTACGGGCTTCAGCGGCAGCCAACGGACCCGTCCGCTGCATTATATTATGCCCCGCAACCTCCTCAAGGGACCCCCTACCCGGCATACCCCCAAGGGGCGCCCGTACATCCCGGCCAGGCTGTGGGGGATGTCTCTCCCGTGGGTGTTACCCCAGCTCATGCACCGTATCAACAGCCCATGCCATCTCGGCCACCGGTAGAAGAAAGTCTGATTGAGCTGTAGAAGCAAGGGGTATGCAGCGGAAGGGTGGAGATGAGGGGGGGAAGAGGGGGGCATTCCAATGCTTGTTTTTGTTGCTTATGCTAAAGTCTTTTGTCACCGTGATACCAAAACATTGGTTGTTTGCAAGCCACGAAATTGTATGTACAGATGTCACAAATCCTGTGGATGGAAGACTACTACTCCAGAGCCCATTACTATTCTTAGTAGTTGTTATTTGTGGTGTATCAATGTAGGGGAATTATCCGTAAGATTGAATTGAGATTAAATGGAGATAAGGACCCAGAAGAGATGGGGAATTGCCTCGTGGAGAAGCTTGCTGGCGATCGCCGGTCTCAGTGGCAAATGGAAAATGGAAAAATACAGCAATGGATACTCGGTCTGGACTCGGTATGGAAACGGAACGGGGAGGTATTATTCAGTCATTCATTCGTTCATTCGTTTTCCATTCCGGATTCCATCTTCGATCTTCAATCTTCATCTTTATCCATCTTCATCTTTCCCTCTCCTTCTCCTCGGCCTGGGGGAATTGATTGTCTACTTGTCCTGCTCCCCAATGTCATAGACTACTCCTACTCGAGTGTGTCTTTCCTTTTGCTCGTTTCCATCCATACTTGATATAGTCTACATCCACCACGTCTCTCCTTTCTCCCTCACACCTCCCCTAACTTCCTCTCTCTTTTTACCCGAAACTCCCTCCCCTCCACACCTCTTCTTCAAACTGACTGGTGTAACGCATCTCGCGTCAGCCACCAATTGCTTCTTCCCCGCGCTTCCCCAGCATCCTCGCATTTCTGCTGGAAAGACAATCGCTCTTTGCTTTTCCCTTCATATAATTATCTGCAGCTCTTCTGGATCCTGCTGTTGTGAGACCCAGGAACGAACTTACTGCTTACCTGGGCTGGTCCTCTAATACTGCAGAAGTCCTCCAATCGCTTTGATCGCTATTCCTCCGACGTGCTGCTCCTCGCCCGATCCGGCGCTGATTCCCCCCCTCCTCCTCTCTCGCCGGTGTGCCTTTCCCCTCTCAGTCGGGACGCCCTTGCTTTTTTTCTTTGCTCGCCTTGCCTGTGATTTCTTATTCCCGCCATGCCGACCTCCAACACTTCTTCCCCAGTTAAGCGCCCGGGGCTGGGCCGCCGCGCTGTTTCCTCTCACGCGGTCGTCACGCGCTCCTCCTCCTCAACTACCACCACCACCCAAGGCGAGCTGTCTCACTCTCACTCCTCCAACCCTCAGAAGCTTCCTCATCGTCCCCATCGCCCCCATCTGGTTGGCGGTGGTCATCGCAATCACCACCGCAATCCTTCCTTCGGAAAGAACCTGAACAAGCTACAAAGACACCAGTCCTCCCACCAGATCGGTACCACCACGGAAGGTTCCGCTCGCGTGCATCAGCGCAAGAAGTCCGCACCCGCAACACCCGCTGCAAGCCCCCGGGGGCATCACGTCCGCTGGGATGGGGTGTTGGACGAACCACACCGCAGCACCGGTTCGATGAAAAAGAACTACTCGAGCCCGGCTCTCCGACGCAATACTTCGGCTGTTCTGGGGAAGAAAGCTCTAGTGACCGACCGCCCTCACACGAGTTCTGGGAAAAAGAAGACCGTGGGCTTTGAGCTGGCGGATTCCGACAACGACGACGCTGACTGGGAAGACACCACTCAGTCACCTGAAAGTACCCGGCGCAGCTCGGTCGCACAGTCGAAGGAGAGTGTGGAGAATCCTGCCGTGCTGGTGGACCCCCTTACTTTCGTCAAACGCTCCTACCCACAATTTCCTCGAGCAACCAGTCTTCCAGAGTCAACCAGCAAGAGTTTCGGCGAAGACAACCTATCCGACGACGATCAAGACGACGACGACGACGACAACACTCCACAACAGCGTTCTGATTCTGAGGAAAGACACGAAGACGCGGGCCGCGCTCTCGATCATCCCGATATTGCCGCTCGCCTGCTAACTCCGTCCCATTCCGCCAAAGCACCGCCCGCCATGTCTTCCATATCCGCCACGGTGAAGCCGACCGCCGTGGAATCGCTCTCGCGCAATGCATCTCTGACCAACTTGGCGTCCGGGCCTGATGGTGCACGACGGCCCCTGTCTTCGTCTCACAATACATTGGCGCATACTCCGGGTACTCAGGCCCAGGCGACCTCGTCTTCGATTGAAGGAGGCGTCTCAAAGTTCATTATTAATAACAAGACTGGACCACATGCGTTTTCTCGTACCGACTCCGACCCGAATACTCCATCGTCCTTCCTACCACACTATCACCCGCAGACACCACCATCTCCTCGCGGTACCAGCTCCAGGAAGCTACGAGCCTCCCCACCTTCAAGGCCGCAGGGTGCCGAGCCACATTCCCGTACGCAGCAAAAGCTTTGGTTGCAACGTACTGCGGCGCTCAACACGTCACCGCCTGACAACCATGGCGTTGCTGCAACGGTCTCTCCTTCAGCCATAGATCACGCATACATTGCTGTGACGCACGCTCGGCCGGGCGCTGGCCCATTTGAACCCGGCAGGGCCCTTGTCAACGGGCCTTCCCGCACAGGTGGGGCCGTGCATGACAATGAAGTCAAGCATATCCGCAAAGCGTACGAGAAGACAGCGTTGGAGCTCACGGTTGTGCGAAGGTTCCAGTCTCCCACCGGTGACAGCTTCAACCGGTTGAACATGATCCTCAATGATCTCAAGGGTGGTGCTGCCAGCTCCAGCGTGGGACAAAGGTCATCACTTGGCAAGCCGATCAAGTCAGCACCAGCACTGACCCTCCTGCAAGAAGGCACGGGTCGCCATAGCGCTAGCCCAGAGCCCAGACAGCTCATCGGCAAAAGGGATCACGACATGCACACCTCAGTCTCCCAGGCCTACCTCCAAGACCCAGACGATCTTGTGAATGAATCCGATGCAGCCCAGGGACAGAAATCTCAACACCCGTCCCATCGCATACTCTCCACATCCGACGAACCTGTCCATGGCAGTTCAGCCCCGGAGGACATCACTGAAGACACTCTTCGTGCTAATGAAGCGGAGATGATGATCCGTCGCATGTGGGATAGTCGCGAAGTGGCCACCGCCGGCTAATTGTACAACACCTTCCCATCCCACCCTTCTGTTTACTCTTTACCGCTGTCGTTCACTGTGTTCCTGGTTATTCTTTATTAGCAACCATGGCGTTCGGTTCTATTCGATGTAGCGCTAAAGGTCGTTTCGGAGTCACATATTCTTCTGCGTAAATGGCGTCATGATGAGATATCACCCTGGGATGTTCTATGCTGTTGCTTATGCCTTTCCCTTTTACTTGCTTTCTCTTCTCGCTTCTCCATTTTAGCCTCCTTCCTTCTCTGTCTATCTTGTGTGCTACGATTATAGATACTCTTTACGTAATAGTGTAATCAATTGTTCTAACAACCACCTTTCTTAGTATTATTGTCCATACTCCTTTCTGTGAATTGCGGGCCTTTCTGTCAGTTATAAATAATGCACTATATATGATGTTATTTTATCATACATATAGTGTGATATATACTGAGCATGACTTGCCTACAATGAAGGATAACTAATTGAATTCAAGTATAGAAGAGAAAGGTAGAGTATTATTATTCGTCTCTCAGATAAACCATACAATACAAACATACAGAGTTACCCAAAGGCTTAGATGATTTGAATAGAAAAACCCCAAGTCTATCCTGCTAGAAACCTCTTTCTTTCTTTCTTTCTTTCTTTCCATCGCTCTTCCCGTCTATAAGCATAACTAATATATCATTGGTCCACATAACGTAAGGGTAAATGTAGCAGGGTATGCACACATCCCCACTTCAAATGGCATGGAGGTCGTAGAAGATTCATGCAGGTGATATTGAAGTGTTCAAGCAACTTTCCCGCGTTCTCGGTTGCCTCTACCGCGAGCAGCACCTCTACCACCGCGACGGGAGCTGCCACTAGCTGGGTCTGGGTGGTTGCCATTCGCTTGTGGTCGCTGTGGTTGTTGCTCATGCCGAGGAGCGGAATGTGTCTTCTTTGGCTGCTGGTCCTTCCGTGGAGGTTGTGATGGTGGTTGTGGTGGTTGTGATGATTGTGAGGTAGGATTGTCAGTGGTGCCATTGGGACCGCCTTTTCCGCGCCTCTTACGCTGCTGGTGTCCCTGACCTTTGCCACGGCCGCGGTTACCTCGAGCGTCTCTGGCTTCTTGGGTATTAGTGTCTGGGGCAGAGCCGGGCTCCGGGAGTCCTTGGACACGTCTGCTTTCTTTGTCCCACCATTCTTGGAATTGCTGCTCCAGTTGAATGTCTTCAAGATTGTGCTTCGCTGTAGCAGCTTCGTGCAGTTCTTCTTTCTCGGTTTGCTGTTGCATGAGGATGGTGGCTAATGAAAGTGAATTTGATGATGGGGTATGGAAGCTAGTTTGGTAGGGTTCAGGTCGTGGTATGTGACGGATGGATTGGATGGAAGGTTGAGGATTGGGTGGGTGGTTAGAAGGAGATGGTACAGCGGCTGATGGCCCTGGAAGTGAGGGCTTAGATGGCGTTTGGACCTTGCTGGGGGTACTGCGACCCTGACCTTGGACGGGAGTGGTTTTTGACTTTGTGATAGGCGGCGGGGTGCCAGCAACTGTCTGACGAAGAGTCATCGAGGGCTTTGGAGTAGACCTGGCGGATTCTTCGGATGGACTCGCTTGCTCATTGACGGGAGCGGGACTGCTCGTGCTCGGCAGTTTCCAGGGGTTCTGGGGCCCTTCCTTCGCTTTTTGTTGAGCAGCAAGCATATCTTGCATCTGCTGCTGCTGGATCTTCTTCCGTTCCTTTTGGGATAGCTTGGAAGTAGCATTGTTATTCTCACGACGAGCCCCCATTCCCAAGCTAAGGTTCGATACCCGGTTTTCCGAAGCCTCACTCATGATGTCTTTAAGGCTCTTCTTGGACGACGATAATGCTGAGGAGCTCCAGGGGGGTTGAGCATCTGGCGGGGTCAGGGATCCGTTCCGCTTCTTGTAAAGCGAGGCAGCGCGAGATTCGCTTGGCGACTCTGGAACTGCAAGATCTCGCGAGGAAGCCATCTGGTCATCCAGGTAACTTCGACCCCCGAACGAATCACCGTCGACTAAGCTAAACCCAAGAGCGGGCGAATCGAGAGACGGCTTGTGCTTGTTTGCAGCGGGTGATTTATCCTCTCGCACGATGCCCTTCCCTTTTCCGGATTCCCCAGGAGACAGAAGATATTCATCATCCATCTGGAACATCAGGTCACCCACAGACTGCCTCGATTTGAGCAAGGGGCTGCTACTAGCTGGAGTCGAGCTATCCTTTGTTGGAGTAGCTTTCACTCTCTGCGCTAATGGCGAGACAGCTGCCTTGTCACTATTCATCATACGTGGCTTGCCCTCGGAGGCGTCAATGCGATTGAGACGGGACCTGATCCTCATGGAGTCAATCCTCCGCTTTCTGTCTTCCTCTATTAAGGATACTACTTCGGGGTACTTTTCGAAGACATATTCTTCCGTGTTTCGACCCCGCGAAACAGGGAAGCTAGTCATCTGGTTGTCGCGGCAGACAGCGTCAAGCGCACCGAGCAAGACGTCATCAAGGTCCTCCAATAGCCTGCAAAAGATGTGAGAAACACAAACATGGTTGTACAGTGTGCTTGCTCTCACCTGTTCGCCAGCAAGTCCTCCAAATTCAAGCATATGTACTCCAGAGCAGCATCCTTGAATTCCGTCACAAAGCACGGAGCAATGGCATTGAGTAGATGGCATACACTGCGTGTGTTCACTAGAATATATTGATAAGTAAAAAATAACCAAGAGACAAGGAGTGTTAACTTACCAAACATTCCAAGCATCTTCTGGCAAATCTGAGCCAATCTGTCAATCATCAATTCATTGGCCACGAATGCAACATCGAGGACCAAATCTATAAAGTCTTCCAGATCCCTCGATCGGACATCATCAAAGAGCTCAGCTTCCGTGTCCGCATACATGTAGCGAAGGACAAACTTGAAAACATGCGGCTCGAAATGCCTGAGATCAATGCGAACCATGTGTTCCGAATCTGCCCGACGTGCCAATAGCCACATGCCTTCTGAGCGGCCAAAGAAGAGGGCATTGAAGAAGGGACATCTCTGGCAAATGACTTGGCTGTGTGCCTTCACCTCACTCCCATTCAGCTCGATGACCACATCAGCACTGTCAAAGAAGGCTGGGTCCCTGATAGCTCGCTCCATATCAGCTTTGAGAGATTTGGTCGGTTCAATCATAAGCCTAGCAGCCCTTTCCAAAGTCGAGAACCCCAAATGGCTAGCAATACGCATCACCTCGCTCCGAACTTGGCGATATCTAGAGGCACTCTCCGGCGAGTACCGCACCTGCTGCCAGACGTCCAAGATGCTGTCCGTGTATACAAAGAAAGCAATATTCAGGACAGTGAGTACATCAACGGCATGGATGATAACGTGCGTCTGGCCCCGACCGTCACGCTGGATAGTCAGAATGTCAGGAACAGAGGCGTGGTCAGTACTGTGGAAGTCCTGGAATGCTTTCCGCAGCACCATGCTGCGTCCTGTTAAAATGAATTCGTGCACCGGTATATGTATGTCAGATTGGCTCGTGCCGAGCCACACTGTCCCAGTTGGTGCTCTGGACTGTGATGTTTGGAATAATGGTTCGATCTCTGAAGACGACATGACGGCTCTCCTGATAGCTATGGCAGGCTCCATGTCCGCATGAGCGTCCTTCTCATCATTATGACTTCCCGGGACTATGGTTTCCTGTAGCGATTTGAATGGAGACAGGGGAAGGAGGTCCTTCCATAAGGTAGACTTGTCGACGTTGATTTGCTCTTTCGTGACCTCTGAATCGCGTTGCACAGCTGCATATGCCCCAAAGGCATTGCTGCATACGCCAATGACTCGAGATAAGCCGGGTACGCGAGCAAACTTGTAATCCTTCGATGCACCATCCTTCGTCTTTCCTCGCTTCTCCTTCCTCCAGGCTGAACCGGAGACGGTACAAATGACGATCGAACCATCCTGCCCAACATCTACATCTGCAGCAGCCATATGGGCTTTCTTGATGGACCAAACGCGAGTCGGCTGGGACAAGGAATTGCGGGTTTTAGATGGGTTGGTCGTGGATGTCGATATGGGCGGATGTTCTGTCTTGTTGACCTGAACTGTATATACTTCACCAAAGCTGGACAGCGCACAGATGGTATTTCCACCAGACTTGACCTGAACGATCTCGTTGACAGACGAACCATATCGTGTAGCCATGAAACTGTCCTTTATGAACCTCGAACTGACGTCCAGAGGAAACAAGAGCTTCGAATAGCCGTATTGCGAGAACACCCAGACTTCATGATTCTGGAGAAGAACTGCTGTCGCCTGATCGATAGCAGACACACTTTGGATCGGGGCGCTGAAAAGGGATGCTCCTACCCGCCGGGGCGTCGTTTGAACTTCGAGTGAACGAGCATCGGAGTCCACCAGTCCCAATTGCCCCTCGTTTTTACCAAATGTGTAGAGACCAGAGGTACTGAAGACCACCGAATGAATTGCCGATGCTGCTGCCCCAAGAATAGCCTCCTTCTTAAAGGGATTGAAAATCTGTCGAGGCGAGTTCTGTATTGGCACGTCGTCCCGATTATTGCTCCTTGGGAGACTGTAGCCAAGTTGGCCATATTTGTTGCTGCCCCAGCTGAAAATTTCGCCGCGGTCAGTGATCGCAAGAGTGTGGTCTTGGCCTAGGGCAACAGAAATCACCCTTCTATTTACCAGCCCACCACTATCTATGCAGACAAAACTAAATCGAGTTGACTCGTCCCCCGTACCTAGGCGCCCGCCGGGCCCGAACCCACAGAGGAAGAGGTTGGACTCGGGGTCAGTAGTGAGAATAGCTGTGTGAAGCTTCGACATGACTATGTTCTGGATCTTTATGGGCTTATTCTTCACCAACGCTGGCAGGTCCGTTTGGTGTCCGGATTCTTGATCGGAGTCAACCCTATCATCATCCGACCGTTGCTCCAGGAATTCACGGTAAAAACGTTGTAGGAGGTGCTCGGGTCGTTTGAGAGTGACTCTTTCGGGGTATTGACGATCATCTTGATCTCCAACTCCTAGATTCAGATTCTTGTTGCTCCCAAAGGTGAAGACTTCGTCACCAGACAGGTTAATCCTGGGCTTCATAATACTCCTCGCACTGCGTGGGTCTTCATCTAAGCCTTCTCCATGGGACGATACATCGGAAGCAGCATCACTGTTATCCATATCTGTAAGAAGACGGTCTTGAGCTGTCGTCCGGGAGCTGATACTTTTGATATCGCGGGTCGCAATCGTCGCACCATACACGTCGAATGGACTATAGCCTTCTCGGTCCTTAATCTTAATCAACCCTCCGCTTGGGTGCCCGGGATTGCTTGCTTTGCTGAAATCTGTAGCATCGCGCATATCCCGAGCCATCAAGGCCTGGGCGATCGTTGCATTTCCTGCGTATAAAGCTCGATGTAAAGCCGTCCAGCCACTTTCCCAGTCTTGCGCATAGATATCAAGAGCGGGAATCTCAAGCAGAGCTATGGCAAATTCGATTGCAGTATCTTTTGACGAGGACGCCACATGATGAAGCAGGGTTCGACCGTGATGATCCCGTGCATTCAATTCCTCCCGAGACAACGTCTTGCCGGGGCGCAGGCTACCACCCCGATCCGGTATGGGAGTTCCTGGGGAGGTCCCCGTCAATTTTCTGCTCTTCGTCGACGTACCTGGCGAAGAGGCTATCACGGACCCGGGGCTTCCCGGCTTGAAGGGAGAAGCCCCTCCGGTTCCCGTCCGCTGGCTGCCACTCGTATAGGTGGCCGTTGCCAGGAACCGCCGAAAGCTCTCAACGTCATCGTAAAAGAAGAAACCCCAGAGCTTGCTACTCATGTGCTCAAAGTTGTAGTGTGTCAGAAACTCTTATCAACCCAGAACCAGAGCGTCGCTGTAACCGCAGAGGGTTGGCGGCGCACCAGCAAGAGTGTGGGTGACAAGAGTGTTCTGACCGGACAGAAAAGGAGGGGTTGACGATAGTCAACGCGGGGAGGATGCAATCTTTCGGAGGCTTCTCGAGAAAGGATGTCTGGGCCGTAGATGGAGGGTTAGGACGTGGTAAGTGATGGCTTTTTGCCGATGAGGATAGTGAAGCAAATCGAACGCGGAGATGCGGTGGCGATGATAGCTATACGTCGGACGAATATTGGACTCGGAGTCTTGGTGAACAGTGGGGGAGGGAAGGGCTCAGCGCGTCGGGTAAGCTCGAGGGAAGGTACGCGACCGCGAAATCAAGTCGGATGACCGGGTTCAAGGAGGGATGGAGGCTATTAGCCGGACAGGAAGTAAGATGGACTGAAGGGCGTTCGCAGGGAAGCACAGACTGATTATGCCTTTCCTTCTGATCCGTGGATAATACTGTCCGGGCGGTGGCCAATCGCAGCGGCGCACCCCTCCATGTTCTCCGACGGACGGCGAGGAGCATTTCATTAATGAAGTAAGTATGCTATAAGGGAAATGTGTAACCACCATCTTTTACAAGACTAGTATCTCTGCTATTGATGCTGGTATCGGAGATCATTTGTATGATATCCAGGTACTGAACACAGGTATTGCAACATTCATGTGTACTTATCTCATGCCCTACAACCCGTGCTACTACATAAGTATATCTTTTGTAGATCCAGCCGTTCGGTCGGTTACATTTAATACTCATTAGAGTATCATGACTACAGCCTACAGCTTGGCAGATTGTATACTACATACCTCTATCACCCCCGACAATAGTATACCAAATGAGGCGATCTCACAAGATTAAGTTATCATCCAGACACTATTATCATGATCCTGGCGTATCGCATAGAAATCGCTAAATATCTATCCATTAGTAGGCCCTAAAGTATTCTTCTGGCTTATATATCAAATCATCTGTAGATCCGCCAACAACAGCCCGGTTAGCTCAATTGGTCAGAGCGTCGGACTTTTACGATCACATGTGATCCGAAGGCTGCGAGTTCGACCCTCGCATCGGGCGATCTTTTTTTCTTTTTCACTTTTTCACTTTTGTCGCAGTAGCTTAAATTTTTGCTGGCATCATACGTAATATCAGTCAGAATTGGGCTCAAAACGAATAACAGGAACAATGGTGATGACCCGAACAATACGAAATTGTGCTATTTCGTATCGCTTCAAATCTGGTACACAGGTGGATCTATCTATCTCCACGGTCGTACATTGGCCAATGTGGCCCGCTTTTTGCTCATCACATTCAAATCAGATAGATATGCCGTCACGTTATCAGAAGTTGCCCGGTTAGCTCAATTGGTCAGAGCGTCGGACTTTTATGATCATTCGTAATCCGAAGGCTGCGAGTTCGACCCTCGCATCGGGCGATCTTTTTTTATTTTTTGTCCTTCGCGCGGCCGATACCAACACCACATCAAATTTAGTATTGTCCAATCTCGCCCGTTATCTGTGAGGTGGATATACAAATTAAGCCGTCGCACAGTCATACCGGACTAGACAGTCTTCAGCAAAGCACTTCCTAACTGTCAGTGAGTATTCTAAGTGCTTGCTTGCCACACTCCCAAGTTCCTTTTTGTTTTACATGTGCTCATGGCTTATTTATTCACTTACTACATCTCTCAGATGTATTCTACGCTGTCGCCGTTCTCGTCGTGTTTACCCAGACTCAAACCCTTACACTATTGAGGGCCCCCCTTCCTATTGTCTTTGTCCCATCATCCATGTCAATCAGTGGTTGTACTAAAAATACCCCCTTCTATCCACCTTTATCACTCGACGTATTGCTTTGTCTATCCAAAGTGACATAGAACACCCTGGCATGACCCTACTGTACGTCGCTGTCCTTGTGCATGTTGTCAGGTGGACACTATATCCATCCATCTTATCACGATATATTTACAGGGATGCGCACAACTGAGCGAATACATCATACTGTCATGCTCTGCTTTAGTCCCTGGCAAGCATTTGTTGTCACTCACATCTTGCGTAGGCTTTGCTGAAAATGTCAATGTCTCCACATTGTTGCAGGGACCCTGGTCGGCTGTTGTGATGGACAATGCTTAAAGCATATTCAATCGCCAATAATGGAGTTTTCAGGGCTCTATTGGCTACTTGTGTCAACCAGATTACTAGGAATGATTTTGGCCTGACTACTTCTTTTACCAATAATGTTTCTTCGACGCCGTATTCAGAATATTCTTAGCTGTTCCGTAGGTATAGATTGACTGCATACAGTAGATAGCGCACTACGGAATCCGTGGAGCCTATTGTCAGGAAACATAATAAAATCTTCTTCTTCTTCTTCTTCTTCTCTCTTTTTTTTTTTTTTTTTTATAAAGGTTTTGTCTTTTTCATTCCTCCCCCCAAGTATTCCACAAGGAAGTATACTAAATCATGACCCCTTCTAGGCGTAGATCCTCTCTGCCTCAGGCATGATGAAAGCTTCTTCCGGGGGAAAGAAGGCGGTGTGTAAGCTGGCACAGTAGTAGGTAACTATGTGGCTGCCTGTACTCCGTAGTAATCTCAGCAATCACGGGTCTTCACATACATTCTATCCATCAGGTAGGCAACAATCGGCCACAAGGCTACAAACCCGTCAAGAAAACAGTCCAAACAAAGGTACGAAAGATGAAGTGTCCAGACCCTATCATCGTGATCTAGGTTAGCGCATACAGCTGTACCACCAACTGGCTCCAAACAACCACATCCAAGTCTCTTGAGAGATGCGCCAGAGCCGATTCCCATTGGCTTGCTTGCTTTCTTTACTTCCAAATTTACTCATCCTTTTTTTTTCCCCGATAGAGTCTCACGCTTTTCCTGGGGATGATGCATCACCTATCATTTTTCCCCGATTCGGGGTCTACGATGAATTAAGAGTCTAGGTTGTCTAAGGGGTCTTAGCCAGCCGCCTAGGCTGCAAACCTCGCAGTTCCGGTGCATCATGCCGGCAGTGTGTTGTACAGTAGGCTAGATTGAATTGGCTCGAGCTGAAAGGTATAGCTACAGGCTAAGGTACAGTGCCTTGTAGACCGGGCAACTGGCGTCTGCTCTCCACCTAACCTGCAGGCCGTTGCAGGTGAGGCAGCCAGTCCCAGGACACTTGGGGGGTGTGTGGTCCATGCTCTCGGTGCTCGGAGGCTGTCTGCGCTCTGCGATCCACCCCCATCTCGTCGGTCTGCGTCGTAGACATCCCAAGCTGAGACTGTCAGTTGGCTCTGAAGCCTGTTTGGCTTCAAAGAAATTGCCGACCATCTACGACAGCGGCTCAGAAGCAAGACATTGCTGTGTAGAAGGTTTCGCGGGCACCACAGGAAGGGCTGAGATGGCTAAAGTTAGAAAGTATGGAATGTTGTCATGGATAGGGATTATCATGCAAGTTGATTGATCGCCCAGGCGCAAGCGGTAACCTTGGGAGGCTAACCTCCTTAGAGGATAGTTTGAATCTAGTACGTAGTACCGTTCCAGATGACAAGAGCCCCCCTTCTCTTTTCAATTTCGGGTAAGATACCACGCATCTAACGGGGTAATTACGAATGCCTGGCAGGTCCCCGTGCCAGTTGGCAGCCAGCCACGCCTATCAGGCTATGACTTCATGCTATCACCGCTTGATCAGCTTTTCCTTATCTCTCGGCCAATACCGTTCTGTGACGCTCACACTAGACTGGCCGTACCTGGTTCATACTGGTTCATACAGAACTGCAGCCGCAGCTTGCGGCTTGACCGCCTTCCAATCGCCCGTTTTAATCTCCAGCTGCAACTCCTGCGCCATAATCTTGGTCCGTCCAAAAATACAGAGCACAAGAGCATTCCCTCGATCAAGTGGAAGCTCCCTTACTGACTGAATCTCTCGTAGCCATTGATTGTACTGTCCCAGATCGCATGGTTTATTTGATTTGGGGGACCTGCTGTGGCACCCGTCAGCCTGACTGACTGACCGCTCGCACTTGACCTGCTTCCTTTCAAACCACCGAGTCACCGGGTGTGCGTCACAGACCCTCTGCGCCCGTACGCTTGACTGAACAGACTGACTTTCATTACCATAACGCTCTGTCTCTCTCTCTCTCGCTCGCTCTCTCTTCCCTCTCTTTCCTCTCTTCCTTTTCCTCTCCATTCTTCCACTTCCTACGTTTCATCCTTCTTCCGTGGATCCTGCTCTCCTATAACTCTTCCCCCCTTTTTGACCATCTCCTCTTCTTCCCTCTCCTGTAGTCCCCATCATGCGTTCCTAAAACCCCTTGGTTCTCCCCATTACGGTGAGAACGCCGTGCACCCCCGGACGCCTGGATCCGCCCAAGTCGTCAGTGCGGAGAAGCTCCCAAGGTTGTCTAGACCGCATGCTCCAAATGCTCCAACATCTTATTGTTGCCTGAGCACAGCAAACGATGATATCGGCGTTCCTCATTTTATCTCAATCAGTGCCTGTTACTTAGCACTCAGCCTTTCTCCCCCCCTCTTCTTCCATTTGCTTCCCTTTGTCGACCTTAACTCGGGCTGTTGGGCTTGTTAGCATGGCCTTCCGCAGTGGGACCGTCACCTCCCCATTTCCTTGATCTACAAACATACACGCAGCGGTCGTTCTGGACGCTGTATCCGCTTGAAGACGACTCAGTTACATTTTATTTCCATTTCTTAAATTATCCGCAGTTTTTATCATGCATCAACACCCCCGATCTCCGGCGCCCGCGGCGCCTCCCTCCGCATCCAGGCCGGGCGCAAACCGCTCCGATGACCGCCCGAACTCTCCAGCTTTCGACCCCAGGGTACAACTTACACGGGGATTGGGCATAGAGACGGAGGCTAGGTCATCTGGACAGACATCCAGTTCACGCCCAGCGAAAGAAGCAATATCGAAGCTCAATCAGCTCGTAACGGTATGGCTTGGAATCGGCTTCTAGTCCCCTTATCTTTGTTACAAAGGGCCCATTGATTAATCGTATTGTGCGTCTAGAATTATCACACAAAAGCTGCTCTAGTAATACTGGCTTCCCGGATCGACTTCACTCGCTCAGACGATACACCGAAAATAAATCCCAAAGTCAATCGATGGGTATGCTACGTCCCCACATATGCAGAGCCTCTGCTTCCCAT